GATTGTGTCCGACAGATCGTGTGTCCAGTCGTTCAGGAGGATAGATACCGCATCTCTCTCAGCCTGTAGCAGCTGTTCACGCTCAACCGTGCCTGCAGCCATGTCTTCAAACGGTCGGCGACGAGAGGGTGCTGGCCGGATCATGAGGGGGCCCCGTATAGCATCGTTGTAGTAAGCGCGGAAATGAGAATGATACCAGTAAAACCCGTACTCGTCTTTCACGGAAAATCGGTATGTAAAATTCCCTCCAGGGGGTATTTGGTACTATAGAGCCAAGTTAGTAACCGCTCTTTTTAGCGCTTGAAGGGCGGCACAGGCACCTGCGTTACTCCTGGGACCCCATCCATGTCCGGTGTTCCACGTTGTAGTATCCCTGAATTCATGTGCTTAGTTGAGCCGCCACATATACTTTGACGATAACATACCATGCCAATGGATAGTAGTGCTAACTGGCAACTCATTGCGAACGAACACCTCCACATCATCCCCTTCGTCAACTTCAATCATTGGACCGGGCTGCTGTCCATTGATTAAGTAGACTTCACGAGAAAACCCATCTATCAGCAACTAGGATTAGCTGTCTTGGTGACGAAGGCAAGGAATCAATCCGCAAACCTGGGCTGCGCTGGGCGGTATGAACTGTGAAGTTGAACGCTCGTAGGGAACCGAGAGCGCCTTGCACTGCAAGAAGAGTGCATATTACACGGAGCTGGAATGCAACGCCTGGCATTTTATGGAGGAAGATAATTATAAAGAGTTCAATTTTCTGAGGGTGATCAAACGTCCTTGCAGTCGTAGGAAGCAAAGGGAGACGATTATATTCCTGGAAGGGTCTAGGAAATTCCATGCGGTGTTTTCGCGGATTTTAGCGGCCCTGGGCGAAGTTTGAAATATGGAGACCAGCCGTCCAATGGATAGTAGTGGACCCTCAAGCTCTTTTCTTGATTATACAGAGGCCATGAAAGTGGTTCAGGAGATTTTGCAAAGATATGAGATTCTATCACGCGGTTTCAAGCTCCTTCGCAGGTTATATGTTCGAGACGGTATGAAAGGCTTCCATGTATTTTGAAGTCTCTCGGCTGGTATAACAGCTGTCCATTCGGCTGGGGACAAAAATCCGACGATTTGTTATCATTAGTGACGAAAGTGTGGAAATATGACTTTCACTGTTGACTTCGCGCTGCAGCAAAGCAGCAATATGACCTCTTCCCTTTCCAAAGAAAGTAAAGAAATGAAGGGGCGCTGATAAGAAAAGGCAAATAAACCTGGCCAAGATTGCCTACCTATGAGCCTGCCTCTTTTTTAGCCCACGTCCACTTCCTTCCCAAGCCTTCATAGACTCTTATCAAAAGCCTTGAGTAAGTCATCCTTGTTGTGAAGCGAGGACCTTGGTGGACGATGGATATTTAATAGAGGATGAAAGACAGTCATTGCAAAGTTTGCCATCACCAACTCTTTCTTGTGCACTGTTGCAAACAAGTCCGATTTTAGTGCGCGTATCACTTTGCAGGATTTTCTTTCAAGTCATTCAATCCCATTTTTGCCCGTGTTAGAACTCAATCCTCAATACATTGCTTATCAGGATGGACACGGAACTGTTACGCTCTCTCCAACGGGATACTGGCGACAATACTGATACCTGTGAAACCGGAAACGAGTATGACGGTCGGCTGGGCCTCCGCGTTTCATCCATTTTCGTCATCATGGCTGGCTCGATGATAGCGGCAGTTTTTCCTGTGCTAGTGAAACGTTCAAGCACAGTTGGCGCTAAGTGTAAGCGAATCGCACACTGGGTGTTTTTTATAGCCAAATATTTTGGCTCTGGTGTCATCATTGCAACTGCTTTTATTCATTTGCTTGCTCCAGCGGAAGAGGCCCTAAGGGATGACTGCTTGGCTGGTCCGATCTCGGAGTATCCTTGGGTAGAGGGCATCATTCTCATGACCATCATTGCTCTGTTCTTGGTGGAACTGATGATTATGCGCCATTCATATTTCAGCACGAGCCAACAGAGCGACATCATTGATAACGGAGGTCGGTGCCTTGGCGGCGTTGATAATTTTGGTGGTTGCAATCAGGTTAAACATCACCTACCGATGGACGATAATTTGAGCCGGCCCCAGGAACACAAAGACGCAGAGGTGGCTCGAGGCAACTTCGCGTTCGTGGATGACTATGCAGCCCAGCTTATCGGGGTTTTCATTTTGGAATTTGGAATTATCTTCCATTCCATATTCATAGGCCTGACACTCGCAGTTGCGGGTTCTGAATTCACCGCGCTCTATATCGTTCTCACCTTCCACCAGACATTCGAGGGACTAGGTCTGGGATCTCGCCTCGCGATGATTCCATGGCCGACTTCCAGGCGCTGGACGCCTTATGTTCTGGGTACTGTCTATGGTCTGACTACCCCCATTGCCATTGCAGTTGGCTTGGGAGTGCGCAATACCTACCCACCTAGTGGTCGGACGACACTGATAGTCAACGGTGTTTTTGATGCTATCTCGGCAGGCATTCTTATTTACACTGGCCTTATCGAATTAATTGCGCGCGAGTTCCTGTTCAACTCATTTATGCGTCGGACTCCTCTTCGCACTGTTTGGTCGGCATTTCTTCTGCTCTGCCTTGGTGCAGGACTCATGGCACTGCTCGGCAGATGGGCTTAAGTGTATATATTTTAAATTACTGCGGGCTGAGTGCTTTAGCGTTAAGCCAATGATGAGAGGAAACTAGAGAGGCAAGAATTGAGAGTTGAGAACCGACGAATGTAGCTAAATGTTCCTCCTTGAGAGTGCGGAGCGTGTGCTTTCCAGTCCATCCCCAATGCGATGTTTTCGCGGGTTTTAGCGGCTTCGCAAATGCTTGGCCAGTCAGTCTTCGCCGCCGAGACATCAACCGCCAAGGAACTCAAAAGAACGCGAAAATCTCTCACGTTGGATCAGTTCCCCGCGAAGGGCTGGCTTACACCCATTTGTCGCTGTTTCACGACGACAGGCTCCGTTCTCTTTCTGCAGACGAGGATGAAAGGGAGCTCCACATGTTTGCTGTATGTGCAGGCTCCAATTATTGAGAGAATAAAGAGTTGGGCCCTGAAAGGAGTTGTCTTAAATCGCATATCGATACGCCAAAATCGACCTCAAAAGATAGAGTGGCCACACTGCGACCGAGAAAAAGAGAAACCAGTATTATCTCTATGCACTCGTTATGAGGAGAGCCTGCTATGAATAAAGAAATAATAGTATCATTGCACGGGCCGATGAAAGTCTAATCGAATCCCTTTCTGATCCAAACGAGCAGGGGTCGAGGAGATACGGAGTATTTGCTCTGAATATCAGCGAGGGATTATCGCTCCTTTTAGCTGCCGCGTGTTAGCAACATACTCCAGAGTACATTCAATTCCCTTCGCAATCCGAAGGAGAAAATGCCGCATTCTGCGAGCCTGAATAGCTATATAGGACAAAATAGGGAATTTGATCGTGTGGCTAAGATATTATCATCTCATCTCAAGGAATCACCCAAAATGCCGTGTCGCGATTGTTCGGCTCCTGCGAAATCTTCCAGACCTAGCGCCGACGACGAGGGTCTCTCTGGGCGCGCTCATCGGTTGATTTCAACTATGCTACCCGAAGGATTTGCTTTATTGTCCAGTTCATGTTGCTGGCTACCAGTATGCTCCATGCAAACTTGTACGGGCTTTCCTTGTATTCTGACCATCGGCAGACTATGCTTGACTTTATTTTTGCTGGTTCTATTACTGCAGTTGGCATGCAAAAGCTGCGATTTTTCTTTTTGGCTATTTCTGTCTTGACTCTGTCCGCCAGCATCGCGCGTGAAGGCTTCAGCCGTGGTAATATTCGGCGCGCAATCATTTGTGCTGGTCTACTGGCCTGGACGCAGTATAGTCAGCGGGTTCAGGGTCATCATAGCTGTCACTGACTTCTACTATCTTCCTGTTTAAAGACAGCTACTTGCCGGATGGCTGAATGAATGTTCTAGTATGGGAAGGGGATGGCCTCATTTATCAGCAAAGGCATCCAAGGAGGTGATCCTAGCTTCGGTATCTTATGGTAGTCCGGAGAGCGATACCTGGTACCCTGGATACTAGTTTTATTACAGGTTACTGCAACTGGTTTGGACGTAATTCTTTCCTTTACTGGTTTCTAGGAGTCTGAGTTCTGAGGCTGAAGTAGGTCCTTGTTACTGGCAAGAGTTATAGGACTGCAGCATAGTAGGTCGAAAACAGCGGGAGAGAACGGCAAGTCTTGCGTGGCCTTTTCATGCTGCCAGGTCAAAGGATCGTAAATCTGTTGAAGGTGCCGTGCGAGGATTTGAGGTTTGGCGCGCAAATGGCGCATCGCACTCCTCAACAGTGGTTACTTGAACGCAAAGTCTGGCTGTACCAAGTAGTCAATTCTTGCGGCATTATCGCGTTTCCTGAATCTTCTTCTGGCATACATAACTTGTAGATTTGAAATCAGCCTGGACAATGGATATATAAAAGCTAGGCCTTGCACAAAGGGCTGCCCTCAAACATACATTCGGCTCATACTTGCCTCTACAATCATGGCTTCTACTGAGCAGCGTTTGCCACCCGAATCGAGGTTTAGCACCATCTTGGTGAACAACCTCCATTGTCCCTCATGTGTTTCTACAGTGAACAATACCTTATTTTCTCTCAATCCACCCCCTTTCTCCGTGTCGGTATCCACAGTCCTGCACGAGATCAAGGTTGCGCATCCCATTGATCTGAGTCCCTCACAAATCGTACATGCCCTAAAAGATGCTGCCTTCGATATTGACAACGTTGTCGAATCTGGTGATTTCACAAACGGTGGACCTGAGAGCGAGAGTCTTCGAACGTGGCGCTCAACCCGTCCATCAGTCGTCAGGCGCGCCTCTGACCCGGATCCTAATCATGAGTCAGAACAGCATATCCGGCAATGTGATGCATGTTCTGCACAGCTAGCGACGCAATCATCCAGGACTGGTGACGATCTGCCAGTTATTCAAAAGAACCTCAGCCCCCGGGTCGTCGAGTCGGACAGCCGCAGAGATAATGACCTCGTATCTGTCGTCGACGACCATCTGACGGGAACCCGCATTCGCATCACACTATCAATTAGTGGAATGTCTTGCAGTTCATGCGTCGGGAAGATTACCAATGCTTTGAACGACCAACCATGGGTGCAGTCGGCCAACGTTAATCTACTGACTAGTAGCGCGGTGGTCGTTCTCCTGGACCGGTCGCGTGTGAACGAAGCGTTAGAGACAATTACAGACTCGGGCTATTCCGCCCAGCTGATTGATTGTGAAGATCTCCTGCCCAAGAGACAATCGAAACCGTCGGCGTCGATCGAAATATGGCGAGCCTCCTATGTTATCGGGGGCATGACCTGCAGCTCCTGCGTTGGGACAGTTACAGACACGCTCAACCGTTACGAATGGGTCACAAAAGTGGACGTGAATCTTGTGTCAGGGAGTGCGACGGTAGAACTGCATGGGAAGGAGCATCTGGAAGAGGTCATCGCCATTATCAGCGAATTGGGTTACGTAGCTGCACTCGGCGAGGTCGAGAGCAGCGCCCCACCCGAGCAACGAGCCTTGAACCGGACCGTCACTATCCAGGTGGACGGGATGCATTGCCCAAACTGCTCCCAGCGGATCCTAGATGCTCTGAGTGTGTTTTCTAATTGTGTCCAGGTGACGGACCCTTTTCGAAAGGGACGTCCACGGCTCACTATAGCGTATACCCCCGACAGCCCCAATTTCACCATTCGGCATATCTTACATGCGATCGCCCAGGTGGATAAGGCTTTCAAAGTATCTATTTACCATCCCCCCAGTCTCGAGGAGCGCTCCCAAATAATGCAACGTCGACACATGTGGCGCATCGCCCGCCGCCTGTTATTGGCGGCGTTGACTGCTATCCCAGCGTTTATTATCGGGATCGTCTATATGTCTTTGGTACCTGGAGACAATTCAGGGGTCATGTACCTCGAGCAGCCCATCTGGGCCGGTCAAGTCTCACGCATGGAATGGGCGCTGTTTATTATGGCGACCCCGGTGTACTTCTTCGCTGCGGATCTGTTTCACCGTCGGATGCTCAGTGAGCTTGTGGTACTGTGGTGGCCAGGGAGCAAGACCCCAATGCTCCACCGATTCTACCGCTTTGGCAGCATGGATATGCTGATGTCTCTGGGTACTACCGTTGCGTACTTTTCCTCCATCGCTATTTTGGGTATCAATGCCACTCAGCCCGCCGACGGCCTCAGAGTCACCCATGTTGAGTCATTCTTCGATTCTGTTGTTTTTCTAACAATGTTCCTCATGATTGGTCGGTTGCTCGAGGCTTACAGCAAGGCTAAGGCCGGAGATGCCGTGAGCTTACTAGGCAAGTTGCGTCCGACGACGGCGGTCTTGGTTGCGTCGAAGGAGACAGAGCCCTCTTCCCCATCTGTTACACCGCACACGGTCCCGATTGATCAGCTGGAGCTCAATGATGTGATCAGTGTTGCCAATGGTGCCTCTCCGCCGTACGACGGTATTGTTGTTGAAGGAACATCACAGTTTGACGAGTCGAGTTTGACAGGCGAATCAAAGCCGGTCCCTAAGTCCATTGGGGATGAAGTCTTTTCTGGGACCACTAACCGAGCAAACCCCGTTCTTGTCCGCATCACCCATCTCTCCGGTGACTCGATGCTGGACCAGATCATCAGCGCTGTTCGCGAAGGACAGGTTCGGAGAGCACCAATCGAGCGCACGGCAGACTTGATCACGGGCTACTTTGTCCCCTTAATTACCCTCATCGCTGTCCTGGACTGGATTATTTGGTTGTCATTAGGTGTCTCTGGCCGCTTGCCGTTGTCCTGGCTGGAGGGCAGGGCCGGTGGATGGGAGTTCTGGTCGTTGCAGTTCGCTATTTCTGTCTTCGTTGTTGCTTGTCCATGTGGGATTGGACTCGCTGCCCCGACCGCACTCTTTGTCGGCGGCGGACTTGCTGCTCAGTATGGAATCCTAGTTAAAGGAGGCGGCGAAGCGTTTCAAGAGGCTAGTCAGCTGGATTGCATTGTCTTTGACAAGACAGGCACGATTACCGAAGGGGTCCAGCCGTCCGTCACCGACCACAAAACGGCCCGCGAAGAAAATATTGATGAGGTCTGGGGCGCGGTATTGGCGCTCGAGCAGAAAAGCAGTCACCCGATTGCTCAGGCGATGGTGTCCTTTGCTGGCTCCAGGAGACCCCCGGCCCTCACAGCCTCCGCTGTTGACGAGATCCCAGGGAAGGGTATGAAGGGATCCTTCCCTCTTGGTCACCGGCCATCGTCTATCCTTGACGTTATCGTGGGCAACGAGGCCTTAATGCTTGACCACGAGATCACCATCTTGTCTGCGAATGCCGCCATCCTCACAGCTTGGAAGCGCGAAGCTAAGTCGGTCGTTTTGGTCGGAACTAGAGTCCGAGAAGGGGCCGGAGATACCGAAAAGGTGCATTGGGTGCTTTCTATGATGCTGGCTGTGGCTGATCCTGTACGCCCAGAGGCCAAAGAGGTCCTGCATGCTCTTCGCAAAAGAGGAATTTCCGTGTGGATGATTTCGGGAGACAATCCGACGACGGCTCATGCGGTTGGTAAAATAGTCGGAATATCCCCGGAGAATATCATCGCCGGGATTTTGCCGGAGCAAAAGGCAGAGAAGATACAATATCTCCAGAAGACGGTGCCGAGACCCTCCAAGAGGAGATGGTTCAACTGGGGGAAAGAATCAAGGCACACCCGACCACTTGTTGCTATGGTTGGTGATGGAATTAATGACTCCCCCGCGCTGACAGTGGCCGACGTTGGTATTGCTATCGGATCTGGCTCCGAGATCGCAATCTCATCGGCAGAATTCGTCCTTATATCCTCCGACCTGACATCGCTCTTGACTCTCATTGATCTCAGTCGCATTGTGTTCAAAAGAGTCAAGTACAACTTTGGTTGGGCTCTGGTATACAATTGTATCGCTATCCCGGTGGCCGCTGGTGTCTTTTATCCCATCGTGAGCAATGGCAATCACATTCGATTGGACCCTGTTTGGGCTAGTTTGGCGATGGCTTTGAGTAGTGTCAGCGTTGTTTGCAGCAGTCTGTTGATGAGGACTCGATTGCCATTGGTCGGTTTCAGGTCAGCTAAATAGAGTATCTTTAGTTAGGCAGGGTTTACGTACATGATTTCTTTTGTGTCCTGGAAAGGCTGACCACCCTGTCAATTATTTGAGCGAAGTCTCTCGTGTTACTGAACTGAGCCTTGTCTGTTGCTACTCTAGGACTAGCCTAGAACAAGTTTAATAAGAATATCACCATCTGAAATATCCGAGCAGCGTCAATTCCAAAGCACTACAGCCCGCCTGCGGGTATAGACAAAATACAGGAATATTGTACAGCCCAGCGAGCAACTTTTGTTGAAAGGTAGTTCATCCATGCTAAGGCAACAAGTTTCAGGTCGTAGTCAGTTATTGCAGAAAATAAAGTGCTTTTATTCTTTATTATTGCAGAGCGTCGATCCTTGTCATTTACTATCACGATCTAACAAGCAACCTCTGTTACAATAACGGAGACGTCTCCTAGAATCCCGTAGCTAGGGATACCAGAAATATTGACTAGATACTTTGCACTGTTGACGTTTGTTGCCTCAAACTGATTTCCAGTCCGGGCCCAGGGACCATTCCAGTGCAATGATGCTATTCGAGCGTCTCCATGGTATAAATCCAAGCTGCCTTCGACTCCCAAGCCGTAGACTGCACTTCCACAGAATGATGCCGTCCCTTCCTCGCCATGACATATCACTAACTTATTCAGATCTTCAGGCGCTATCAGGGTTGGCTTCCGGCCTCTGTTGTATGGTTCGCCACTGTCACGAAGGTCAATACAACTTCAGTTCCAAGATAGGAGGACTCTTCAAATACCGTGTTACTAAAGTGTTTCTAACCGCGATAGTACCGCCTTGGTGTAGATTATTTTTGATAATGATCGATAGACGCTGTGTGATATGGTCATCCATTACTCTGGATTGTAATAAGATTATCTGCGGAGAATATATGGTACGTATGGCGTCCTGTTAGATATCAATGGCTTTAATATTTGATCCTGAGCTGTTTTTGCGTCCTAAATACATCCTGACTCGGTAAAGCATGTCATGTATTATGCCGCCTGGTAAAATAGAGTTTCCTGTAACCAAGGCGCCTTCCTCCTCCGACCAATCAGCAAGCCGCCCTTCTGCGCGATTTGTGCCCTCTATGTGAACCTATTTTAAAAAGCTGGGTGTGCTAAAGATAACCTATTCAAGGATAATACGCCGCATCTAACATTAGCCCATGATTTCTGCAACACGCGGATACTAACAGAGGCAGACCTGTCATTCTGTTCAAAAGGTGGTACAGATTCTGTTATAAAATGAGAGAGCGGAGTCCCCGCAATAAGCACCTCTCAGATCACATTTCCAAACAGTAAGTATTTGCCGTAGGGGACCCTGTCCTGCTGAACTCTGGCACTAAGAGACTTGTTCTTCCTTTTCGGCATTTCATGTTCTCAGCGAATAAAATAGAAAGTTGCGATTATCCAGACCACGCGAAACCAAATGATTGCGCAATTATTGCAAGGTCCAGACGATTTTATTTTAATTTAAGCAAAGATGGAGCTCGTTTTCCTTTACGTGTTTAAGAGCAAGCGGATCACGTAAGAACATAATAGAGCATCGTTGGGCAAGATTTATTTAAAATGATTTGGCCTTCTTCCTGCTTGTCGCCATCAGCATTCTCTCATTCTCGCTTTAATTAGATCCCAGGAAGACTGGTAGGCAATCAGCGCAATTACGTGATGGTGGCGCTGGTATACTGCGAAGTAGGTACGATATCGCAATATTCTCAGCAAAAGCAATGGTGGGATTCAATGTTGTGGCCCTTGAGATAAGTGTATTCTGTAAAAGCATCCGAGGTTGAGAATTGGCTGAAACGACAGCTCCGAACTTCTCTCTCGAGCTCTAACCCCTCCTTTGTTGGGCCCGCCTTGTGTAACCACGAAATTCTTGGCTCATCCTTGTTGTTGAAGCGCCCTAGCTTTGCATTCCAGGCTATATTCCGCTTTTCTCTTAAAGATAGTATTCTTCTTTGAAGCCGCCTTTGTGGTTTGAGAGCGACGCTTCTTTATCCAAGAGGACTCAGGAATTGCATAGAGCTCGTGCGCCATCTAGGCCACGACGCTATTCCGGGGTTTCGGCGCGGTTACAAACTATGGCAACAACCAGCAGGAGCAGCTTTCTGTAAAAGTATGTTAGTATCGAATTTAAAGTTATCGCGCTGGCAAAAATATACACTACACTGTTTCTCTGAATCTGGACCAGCAAATTCCCTATTACTCCTCGTCCTGGTACATCGCCATGCGGTCGTATCTTGAAGTCCACCCACCTTGACAACCTTTCTCTGCGCCATGTGCCTAGCCAAAGCATGCTCTTGACTAAGAACCATGCTTCTAGATGTATCAGGGCCTTGTTATTTTTTAGTGGGTGTTCAGCATCTCTTCCACCTCCTGAACCAAGGGGAAAGAACCCATTACAGGCGTGAAGCAACTCGAGTGTGCTCTTGCCGCATAGTAACGTGAAAAGTCTAATAACCACGAGCTCGAATCAACCATCTGTCAAAGTTAGTAACCGATGAATCTACTCAGATCCAAGATAAATACCTTATTCAGTAACGTTTCAAGTTGGTAGACGTCGAGATGGTGTTTCAAAGAGTCATTCTAGGAGACTCCCGGAATATGTCTTGGAATCCCACCGTTCAATTTATCCATACACCCGTCTACATACGGCCTCGACTCATTGGTTGGCACTCCATTCAAGAAAGGATTAGGAGGAACTGGCGGCCCTTCGGCGCCAGACGACCAGCAAAGTTGGAGATGTGATGCGGAATAGGTGCGCAATGAGATTGTTAAGGAGGGGCTGATGTTAAAGGCCCAGGGTACAGCAGGCGTTAACATTGCCTAACGCCTCGTGGATGGAAGGGAAGGGAGAGACTGCCGCGGTTTGTCTTTCTCGTCGGCGGGTCGCGGTTCCAAAGGTGAAACGTATCCAGGACCTTCGTTTGTGGAAGCCGTGGAGTAGGGATACGAGGGATGCTGGCCCCAGTACATCGCTGTTGGACAGGGGACGAGCGCAGGAGAAGCGGCTGGGGCTCTCGAACATAGAATGTCTGGTGTCCGAAATTGATTCGGACGACCACACGACAGGTCGAAGGCTAGAGGGTCCGATGGTGGCCGGGACTGTACGATTTGAACAGTGACGACATGATCATTTGAGGACATGTCATGGCTAGAATATCCTGTACCCGAACGACGAAAATAACGGAGAAAGCCACTTGTCGAAACACGTGCGGAGGGCTACGGTAACGCAAAACTGCCAACAATGCAGTAAGCAGCAGTCCGAAGCTGGCTCATGAAGTTCTCGCGCAAGCAACAGGCGGTCAAGGGGTACCTTTACGAAATCGAGAAAAGTCTGCAGAAGACAGCATAGGCCGGAGCTTGAAGACAAGAAGCTGAATTCAAAAATCTTTTCTGCTAGCATTCACTGGGGCATGCTGTACAGACAGACCTACAAGCACCTCTGGCTACTCGAGCAATAGGAGCAAGGGGTGGAACTTAGAACGTGTTTCTCTTTTTTGATCTCCTAGCAAAGGAATCTTTATATTAGGCAAGTTCAACCCTTGGGCTCCCAGAGCGGGCAGTATGCTCTTCCGCGGTGAGAGACTCTAGCCCATTCCCAACCGGGCCGGAGGGAACAAAGAAAGAAGGTGAACTGCTTTTCCTCGACTGCTCTCTTAGTGCCACACTTCGAGCCAGCGAAGCGCCAAGACGACACTGGTCTGAACAGAACAGGGAGCCGGGTGTTTTTTTTCCACAGGACACACACTTTTCAAATAAAGTTGACATTTGAGATAGCAGCGACAGACTTGCGGTCAATAGCTCAACACGAATGGCTGAAAATGATGACCTTCTTTTAGAATATAGTACGAGTTCGCGGGGATCTCTTTTTAGTGTTGCTGAGTTTCTTAATAATGACGAGCGCGCGAATTGTCTTACGTCAGTTAGTCCCAAACAAGGCCAATTCCGGGGCAATTGATTATGACAGAAGGTGCTGCTCCGCCATTGTGGTTAAAAGGCCAGAAAACATGATGCACCCAGATTCACCCATTTAACATGTTAAATAGTTATTTGAGTCTTAGGAAGCCCCTAGAAAGAGAGCGCGCCCTCTCCGAACCCCTCCAGCTCTTCCCACTTCTCGCTATCGGTGACATCATCATCGCTTTGATCAGATTTCGGGGAAGACATCTTCCATGGTCACTAGAACTGGGCGAGGATAGCACTCCTGTTATGTCAGCGAAGCAATCTGGGTTAATTTAGTGAACCAACCTACTAGTCTTGACAAGGCGCCAAACCACGTTCCTCCGGTTGAATCAAAGACATATATCTCGCCAGTCTTTCTAATCTTGATAGCCACCAGGGTATCAGCCTTACATTCCAGGCTATATTCCGCTGCTCTCTTAAAGATAGTATTCTTCCGCCTATTTTTCTGCTGTGATGTCGCCTTTGCGGTTTCCGAGTGACGCTTCTTCACCCAAGAGGATTTCCGAGGCATGGTGAAATATGCTATATTGGGTGGGCTTTCTCAACCCAGATCTAAAGAGAAACGCATCGCCCCCTAAATAGCTTTGAGCACATGTCATACTTTAAGATGCTCACTGAATCCGCGAGATCATTTACCTAACCCTCTTGGTTGAACTACATCACCGTTCAAAGAGAACGTGAGGTTTTGTCCCTTACAGTACGTAAACTCTAGGAATGCCAGACAATTTACAGTAACTCAGCGCTCGATGTTCATCCTGCTGACTTTTGATGAATGGGTCTTTTTGGAGTAGTTTTGTGGAGAGGGCAGAGTGAAGAGGTGGGTTGCCCCCAGCGTCCAAACAATAGCATCGGCATTTCGCTGTTCAACCCTTGAGTATGTTATGTACTACGGTATTCTTGAGAAGGCAAGAATGAGAGAGGGTAATATTTGTAGACGAGGAAATTAGCTGTCTCTCCCACCTTGAGGTGGGAGTACAGTTAAACAGTACAGGAACCAGAATTTTGAGGGAAGAGATTTCTCCCAGAAAGTGGGCGATGCCGTTGACCCTGACAGGAGTGGGGGCCCTATGAGTCACCTACTGTGACGCACAGCGATACAGTTGGCTAAAAGTAGCGCGGCGTGACATGTGGGTCGTTTTTAGGCTGCTCCAGTGGTGTTCAACTCATCTCGATTTTAAGAATTGCACTTTAAGGGGCTCAAAATCTTTCGTTCATATATTTCGGCTGGTGATTTGATGAGCCTAATTATTTCCAGCCCAGATTGTTGAACAGAATGTTGAACAAGCTTTCAAAGGAAGTGTGGCCTTTGAAAGAAACCGGGGGAAAAGAACAGCTTTCTCTTTGGAGCCACCAGACTGCGAAATCTGGGCTCAGAGCGACTTCGTCCGGCAAGCAACAGCAGGAGTGTTTACAACCGGATGGATGGGTATTATTCTTGAGGTTCGTATCCGCTATCTCATTTCCCCTGCCCCTCGCGAATAAAAGCGATATGCAGGCTACCTACAAAAATATATCTTCCCTTGTATCTCTATTGTACATGATCACATTTCTTACGGCCAACCTTTAAGCCTCGCCTAGGGGTCTGTGGTGGCCGTTTGCCTTTTGTTCTGTATGCTTAAAGGCGCTGATGATGGGTCGTCCTGAGAAGCCGACGCCAGAAGCAGGACATCCTGGGAGAAGGCGACCGACCGGACCGAGCTGCTATGAAGGTGGGAAGATAGAAAGCTGCAATTATCTCGAGATTCAGACCACGCGAAACCAATTGATAGCGCAACTACTGTATCGCGGGGTCAGATGAGTTATTTTAATCTATATAAGCACAGATAGAAGCTCGTTCCATTTTACGTGTTTAGGTGCTCGTCAGCAAGCCGCTGACCAAGATCAGAGTGGGATGAAGTAAGAGGTACGTAGTGGAAACCCTGTGGATAACTATCCCCTGGGTTGGTATTCATGCTCAATGTTGACTGGCGTCCGTAGCCGCATCGGCTTGTTGATGGAGTGGAGATAGGCGCGGAGGCCAATCTTGCTATGGACTTGTTCCTGTTGTTGGCCTTCTGAGGCTGAAGGTCTGCCTGACAGGGTGCTGAAGCGCTGAAGTGAGGTGTTATCCAATAGAGATGCGTAAGTTGAAACCGGTCGTTGCGCTGAAGGCGCTACAGTAATCCAGCGCAACATCGTCGCTCAGCGCTCCACTGTTTCAGCCGTCTTTTTCTCTTCTGCTCTTTCCTCCATAAGCTATCCTGTGCTGCTATTTTCTAGGCTTACCCTTTTCCCTTATCACATAATCTACCATAATTAGATCCCATCCTTTCCAAAGCAGCTCTTCTCGAAGAAGACATCAGGAGCATCAACATGTCCATCCCACCGAATGCGAAGCTAGATACACTAGAAATGGAGAGAAAGCTCCTTCGTCAACACCTTGGCCTGGGACCAAACCCCGGTGATCCTCCGGCCAATTCTCCTCCCCAGAGGCAGCCGTTATTCTTCATCGAAATGGCACCGGACTCTAGAGGGGGAGCGAAGTGTAAACTTCCCACTTGCGACGAGATTATCATGCCTGGAGAACTACGTCTCGCTATGAGCCCGGCAATGAGTTACGGTGGTTGGTCCAGGTTATCAGCCAGTAAGTCACTGCTTCGAGAAACTCGCCGATTTCACCCATGCAGACTTTCTAGATCGAATCCAACCCTTGACCCGACAAACGTGGAAACTGCGAGGGCTAAACGCGGGTAGTGTGCTAGATGGAAACTATCTGGTACCGGGCGGGGTTGAACGGTTGGTCCTCGAATGGAAAGTGACCCATGGGAGATGGATTGATAAACGAGATGGGGTCTGTGATGAATCCGAAGAAGAGAAACGTGTTCACGCAGACTTCCTAGCTCTGCTTCGCAATGCGGGCTCCTCGAAGTATATGCAGCTGATGAAGCCAGCCGGATTGCCTCTCGATGAGTACAACAACCTTCTTGTTACTCTTGCCCCATATGAGAGTGATGGACCTGATGACACGGAAGAGTGGAATCTATTTGACACGTACCTGGATTCGACTGTAAAAGCCTTCAATAATCCTCATGCTCTGAGCACAATGTTGCAGCGCTGGCATGATGATGTGGTGAGTTCATTCTATACATCGTTACGCTTGATGCAAAGACATATGGCTAACCAGGTATAAGACACTAATTAGCAAAGAAGCGGATGAACTAGATGAGCAAAGCAGAGCAGCAAAGGCGGGACTCGGTGCAAAGGCCATTAGAGCGCTCAAACGTTTGTCCGTTATTCCGATGCCTCAACCTAGCTACCTGACTTCCTTTTAGAGTGTAGATAGGATATTGTTCCTTACACCACGTACAGGGTTATTTGTATAGTCACTGAAGTGAGGCCTCAGATTATGTTTATCTGAGGGTTACTCATCAAAGTCGTGAAAGAGAATAAGCTCCAGGAAACCGTCATAAGTTCCTAGGAACGACGCTGGCTCTTCTAGGAACACCGCCGCTCCGACGACTACCCTAGCAATACGCTGTAGGGAAAAGATGGAGACGAGTGGCGTCCTGGATTGTAGATCATCCTTTATCCGAGCTAGAGCTGGTCGGTCCGATCCTTCGAGCCATCACCTTCGGCCGTCACAGAAGAACATAGCAGTGTTGGACAAACTCTCCAAAAGTGGTTGGTCGGGGGCAATCAGAAAGAGAACACTAAGTACAGAACCACTTCGTCAGTTTTACAGTATCAGGTTTAGTCAGCCACAATGAATAGTTAGTTAAATCGGAGCCCCTATGCGAGCCCAGCAATTCTGTGCCCGTCTAATTTTCTGCCGAGATTTCCCGCCTTTGCAGTTTCAATGCGACAATCCCTCCGAACATTAGTTCCTTGGCATGAGGACACGCTGAAGCTGGGGCTCCACTGTAAACCAATCAGACGTACCCAGGGTCGCCCTGAAGGCGCTCGTCCTTCAGCGCTCGCAGCAACCAGCTGCATCCTCCTCAGCTCAATGGGAATTGATCCCGCCAAGGCTCGTGGGCTTAGAAGGCGCTAATGTTCCAGGCATGAGCTAAAAACAGACTTTGGCCCATCACGAACTTCAGAACCATTCTTCACTTGCGCTCTTTAGGCTTGCCTGGAGCTCATATTTGATTCTTCCACTAGAGGAAATGGCTTAGGACCTCATCAAGATTAGTAGGCTGGGCGAGGACCTGCTAACGTAATTCCCGGTCGATCCGATCACCCACCAAAAAATCATCGCCAGTTCAACGCGTAATTATTCAATCACCAACCATGCCACGAAAACCGCGTCAACCTCGTCGAAATTTAGCTGAGCAAGAGGGGAGGATTCAACTTGCAATACAAGCCTTAAAAAAGCGCGAAATATCGAGTATTCGTCAAGCTACAGAGGTTTTTAAGATACCTTACTCAACACTCCGCGATCGCATGAAGGGACATCAATTTAAGGCAGAACATCGCAACCACTCATTCCGACTATCTAAAACTTAGGAAGAGGCATTAGCTGAATGGATATTATCTAGAGATCAACGAGGAGTCGCTCCTAGGGTCTCGCATGTGCAGCAAATGGCATATCTTCTCCTACAAGCAGAATCAACAACCCCCCCAAAGCCGCTTGGGAAAAACTGGGCCACCACCTTTATTCAGCGCCATGAAAGCATTAAAAGTCAATTCACGCGCAAGTACAACTATCAGCGCGCCCTCTGCGAGGATCCTAAGGTTATAAAGCAGTGGTTTAAGACCCTAGAGGCCTTGCGCAATAAGCACGGCATACAGGATAAAGATATCTATAACTTTAATAAAACTGGCTTTGCTATGGGCCTAATTATAACCTCGCGGGTTGTTACAAGGGCTAAGATGCCTGGAAAGCCTTACCTTATTTAGCCAGGCCAGCGCGAATGGGTCACCGCGATTAAATGTATTAGGTTAAAGGGATATATTGTTCCACCATGCATAATCTTTAAAGGGAAGGTTTATATCCAGGGATGGTTCGAAGAACTAGGTCTCCCAGGTGACTGGAGGATTGAATTAAGCGCGAATGGGTGGACCACTAATCAGATAACTCTCTAGTGGCTTTAAAAGTGCTTTATTTTTTATACAACTAAGCGCACAATTGGAAGTCATCGACTGCTTGTTCTGGATGGTTATGGCAGTCATTTGACTCCTAAATTGACAAGGTTTGTAGAGATAATAAGATTATCTGTATCTGTATGCCTGCACATTCATCGCACCTGCTTCAACCGCTAGATGTTGGTTGCTTTGGGCCATTAAAGCGAGCTTATGGAGGCCTAGTTAAAGCAAAGATGCGCCTGGGCTTCCACTATATTAACAAACATGACTTCCTACAGGCCTATCCTAAAGCTCGCGATAAGGTCTTTACAATTTAGAACACCCAGAGTGGCTTCCGCGCGACTAGGATACTACCTTATAATCCTGAAGAGGTCCTAAAGCGATTTAATTATTTAATATCAACCCCGACCCCCCCCCCTAGTCACGGAGGTTCAACATCATCCTCTATGCTTGCTACGCCTCATACAGTTCAACAGCTACATAAGAAAGCTTCTTCTATCAAAAAGATGCTTGCTAGGCAGTCCCAAAGTCCTTCTAGTCCTTCTAAACGTGCTTTAGATGAGCTCATAAAGGGTTGCGAGCTAGCTATCTACAACGCTGCATTTACGCTAAAGGAATTGAATGATCTCCGTGCAGAAAGTCAAGTTCAAGCGCTTAAAAAGGGTCGATCAAAGCGCCAGATGGCCCCTGTACAAGGCCTCCAAGTGCAAGAAGCAAGGGACCTTATTTCATTAAGAAATGAGCAATTGAATCAGGAAGATGGTGGTGGCGAGGAAGCTGATCAAACTACTCCACCAAGTTTAGAACCCCGAAAGCGTGCCCCACCGAAGTGTTCTGAATGTGGTACTCGGGGCCATATTAGAACTAGATGTCCTAATCGTCGCACGACTTAGTTTACTGTATTTAATTAAGAATTGAGTTGTTGGGAATAGCTTCAAGTTCGATGGGTAGAAATATATTTTGGTGGGTGATCGGATCGACCGGGGTGAGCGGATCGACCGGGAATTACGTTAGTTCGTTCGCTGGATCACCTCGCTGACATAACGGGGCGCATGCTACCCTCTTCCAATCCCAGAGATCGAATCTTGAAAACGCCTTTGGCAGCAGCGGCGCTGACGGGCTGACGCGCTGAAGCGCTGAAGCGGGACGTTAGCTCTGAACCAACGAGACATACGGATGCTGAAATCAGTACAACCAATGGACGTTCGCTTTTTAGAGGAGTCTGGCGCAAATCTAACCGCGGTAGATCTAAATGATTCGGCTAAGCGCTATATAAAAAGCTACCTTTTCCCTGCCATTTGCTTCATTGCTCCTTTCACCCTCCCGATCTCCCCGACTTGACAACCTTGCTCTAATCCTGGAGCCGATTGTTTCCTAGAATCCAGTCTATTCTTTACAATATTCCTATCTGGCTGCCTTCATGACGCCTCCTCCCGAACCTCGTGCTCAACCTGGCGAACACCAGTTCTGGACCGATCCTATCCTTTGCAAGGAGACTCAAGTTAGAGTGGGACATTTCCGCAGTCTTGGATGGCTCCCCACAAACTTCAAACCCAAGACCCCATCAATGAGATATGATTTAAGTCGACAGGCACCCCAAGAGCTTGGGCGGAATGCAAGGTTTGAGGATAATCGTGAGTTTCCCACAATTCGACTTATTTCTGTGGAGGGTTATCTACGTTGGGAATAGACTACTCCTCATACAATATCTAACGACTAATCTCAGGGAACTTTACCACCCAGGAACGGCAGAGGGTACTTGGCCAGTCTGGTAACGCGGTTTTCGAAAAGTACTATCAATCGCAGTTTATCTACCGTGATCCTCAACCTGTAGTTACGCCTGAGTTGTTACAGAGGAGGAGATTGAAAATATAGCCCAATATTGCTACAGGACATACCAAAGCCGGAAATTCCGAACGAGAGACCACGAACTTTCCGATATGCTCTTGTTGAGTTGGTGGCCTGGACGATATTTTTGTACTATTACGTGGAAAGTTAGGAGTAAATATACCCCATCTGAAAGGAAACGTGACAGCCACAACAGGGGTAGCTACGGTCACCGTGATAGCGACAAGAGTGTATATGATTCCTGATTTTGCGGTGAGAAAAGCAGCAGTCTCGCCAGCTCGAGTCTATACAGTATCAAGCTTCGTTACCGTAGCCGCAAGACAGCACCGCATCACATCAAGATGCAAGCCGTAGGTATGTACATTATCGTACTGTAGAGCAGATCAAAGTCAACATCCCTAGTGCCAGCCCATAAGTGCCTTGACGTCAGGATGCTGAAGCGCTGATGTGGGTGGTTCCGCTGTAAACTAATCAGACGCAGCCAGTCTCGCACTGAAGGCGCTAGTTCTTCGGCGATCAATTACATTCTCAGCCAGACTCGCGGCCAACAAGAGCCCATTTTATTGGAACCTGGAGCCTCAGGAATTTACTGGCTACAAGGCTGCTGCGTTGAAGTTCAGGCCGACGCGAAAATGTAATCATCATTTTCAGCCATTCGTGTTGAGGCATTGGCAATGGGAATGTGTTAGCTGAGCGTTGTTGTGGATGTTGATGGCACAAGGCCATCATCCTTTAGTGGCTTAAGTATCTTGCGATACTGTATCTAGCTTATATACAATATTTACGAGTTAGGTCAAGGCATCGGGTGCCCCTGGAAAGTACATAAGACTAGCTATCCGGGCAAATACCGTACTAACAAATGTACCCTTCAAAACAAAACTAGCATCCTTCCACACTCTCATCGAAGCCGCAATCTCTTTGAGCGACGCAGTAGAGGGTCTGTAACTTGGGGTTTGTGGGGCTCCAACAAGCGCGGGTCGATGTTCGCCATCTCAGGACCCACGGAAGAAGCAGGAGTATCAGTGCCCGAACAACCACCAGATCCTACTGATTCCACTGTGCTATCCACGGATGAAGTATCGCTGCAAGTAAGGGACGGTTTTGTTGGGAGATGGTGTAGCTTAATGTCGATGTCATACGCATGCACAGTCACAGCATGCGCTAAAAATTCAGTGACTTTAGTGAACTCAGGGATGCCATGGCACGCTGGCCACGTGCAGCTGATTCCGTCATGCGCATGGGCGAGATGAGAGTCAATGAGATGACGACGGACTGAATCTTTCCGCTTGGCGGGAAATTTGTGTGGAGGCGGATTGGACGATGAAAGTTGAGATTGACCGCAACAGATAATGCAAACATCCGTAGGACATTTCAATGATTCCTCTTCGGCAGGCAAGGGTTCTTCCGGCTTCTCAATTTCATCATCCTCGGCATCCCAGTTGATTCGGTTGCCTCGCCGGTTTGGCTCGCAGAGCAGCGAGAGCGCAACCATGTCCTTGGTAACCTGAATCCGTCGGGCAAGTAGCTTATCCTCGTCAAAGTTCTCTGCTCCTGGCCCGTAGAAATTCTCCACGAGTCGCACCCGCTCAGGAAATACGTAATCCGGGGTTGGGAGCTCCCAATCCTCATCCTCGGAGCTGTCGGAATCAGATTGGCCAACGTCAGACTGGCGGAGCAGTTGCTCAATCTGCCTGTCGACTTCAAGCACAGGTGCAGTGTGGAAATATTCCTTTCGAGCTGTCTCTCGCGTGCTGCTTGCCAGGGTTTTCCTCAGCCGGGAGAGCTTTTTCTTCACTTCTTCATGCCTTTGATAAAGGTGAGGAAATGGCTCCCGGGCTTTGCCTATAGTGCCGGCCAGGGACCGCATCTCCTCCATAAGCTCTCTCTTTTCTCGTCTAAGCTCGAGGACTTTAGGGTGCTGACGAATGGTGCGTTTCTGCGCATCATTAAGATCGGACGGAGCGAGAAGGTCCCTCTTCCTGAGCATGCTTCCAGCAACCCGCAGGAGACCTTCCTGGGGTGGTCGAAGAAGGACCACATGCTGAAGGTCACGATTGATAAACTGTGATTGGTAGTGCTTTTCAAAAACCGCGTCACCGGATTGGCCGAGCACCCTCTGCCGCTCCTGGCTGGTAAAGTTCCCTGGGAATAATAGTTAGATATGGGAGGATAAGTGGTCTGCCCTAGAGTCTCCCCCAGAACAAGTCTAATGGCGAGTAACATACGGTTAACTTCATTTGCAGTCCACCGGCGGTAGTTATAATGGCCTATTTCATCCTCGAATCTTGCATCCCGGCCTAGCTCTTGGAGCGCTTGTCGACTTGAATCATAAGTCATTGGCAAAGACTTATGAAGTTCGTAGCCATATGGGGTGCGGTCAAGACGGCGAAGGAGAGGAGTATCCAACTTCTCCGGCTTCCATCGGAGCGGAAGAGATTGGCTGCGTTTTGGAACTCGGAGGCGCCATATGAGCTCTGGGGTTAATGCGGTATTAAAAAAAGCCTCATCGCGGAAAGCTAACGAGATGATCTGGTTAATTGGGCAGTATGCAAGTTGATAATCACCGTGCATGAAGAATTTGGTTCTATGAAAAGGAGGGGGGGAAAGATTAGACGTGTTTGTGATCCAGAGTGGAGATGCCTTACCCATCAGCGCCTTCCGGTCGACCTTTGAGATTGCGGAACTCGATGATCGCACAAAGAACATCGCGCTTGCTATCCGGGTCCTTGAGAATAAAGAGCTCGATATCGCGATAGCAGACTGATGATGGAAGATCATCTACTGATACATATTTAGGGAGGTCGCTCTGGAAAGTCTGGTCTCTTTTGCGTTTGTCCAGCGACGTGTCTGATAGAGACGCTTTCTGCGGGAGGAGCACGCCTGGTCGAGTTCCAGTAATGGCAGACCAGAGCTGGACCGTGGCAAATTGAACGATCATACTCCCGTGGCGGAAATACTTCGAATATACCCAATGATGCCGGTAGATGACACAGAAGACATCCACGTCCAGTGTATTCTTTGTCTTTGTTCGCCTAGATATTTTGCGTTCGGCAGGGAGTACATGTTCAAGGAACTATTATCCTTATTAGCCCTCTATCTGCGAAGTCCAAGGAAACATAGCATACCCGTCGCATCTGTTCGTGAACGTTGCCATTCACACGGCGCCGGGCAAACAGACCAAAGTATTGACAAAGGCGTCGCCAGTATTCATCATACGATTGAAGGAGTTTCTTCCGCGAGGTCTTGTACATCCAATCGAAAAAGTTCATGTAGATAGCTTGATCCTCCAGGAGCAGGTACTCGACGTAATCCTCGTTTAATTGGATGCAATACCTATTGTACGTTAGTTCTGTGCCATTGAATTGATATCCAATAGCATACTTACTTCCGCCAATATCGTTCGACGACAGCAAGACCCTCCAGGGTCTTGGGCTTGAAGTTTGGGGGGAGCCATCCAAGGCTGCGGAAATGTTCTAGTCTAGCTCGAGTCTCCTCGCAGAGAATTGGATCGGTCCAGAACTGGTGTTCACCGGGTTGAGCAGGGGGGATGGGAGGAGGCGCCATGAAGGCAGTCAAGATAGGAATATTGAAGAGAGGACTGGATTCTAGAAGTGATGGGCTTCGGGTTGGGGCCGAGATTGTCAAAGCGGGGGAGGGTGGGAGGATGGAAGGGTGAACGGAGGAACGACGAAGAAGCAGGGGAAAGGCGACATTTTATAAAGCGCTTGACCAGACCGGTCGGAGCTGGGGAGCTGGATTTGGCCGCGAAGGAGGCCATTTTCGGCGTCGCTTTGGTCGTGAGTTGAAACGGACTGACACTCACTGATGTCGAGCCGCGAGTTCAACTTCAGCGAGGTCACTAATTAAGGCTTGGCGGGTGCAGAATAGTGGTGCGAAACACGTGGGGACGTGCGAACGGTGGCTCACCGCTTTGAGATTTACGGGTGGAAATGCGGCCGTTTATGGCCTCAGTAGCTGTCATTTTCGGCGTCGATTTCACAGGTCCTCACATTCTAGTTGTAATTCTTGTTATCATTGTCAATTGGGACCCTCGATGATTTTTTTTGCCAGTTGTTGGTATATCATAAGCATTCCTCCGGCGGGGTATCTCTGCCTCAGGCAGCATTTGAGGGGTCAAGCGCAGGACAACTGAAGCTCTCATTCGGGGGACTCGATGGGTAGATAAACACTTCTTAGAAGCAGGTCTCACGAAGCAGAGCTTATACCGACCTTACTCAGGATTACCAACTCAGCCGATTGATTCACGAACGGTTCGCCAGTATTAAATAATAATTGTTGATCCGAAGGTCATCGGAATCCCTCGTCCAGTAAGTTCAGAACAACCCTGAGCTCCTATAAAAGGCGATTGAGTGCCCGGTGAACAATCTTCTCTCCGACCCACCCCAATACATCATTATTCCCCACCTGCCACTTCCATTCATCTCAACCCCTCCGCCGCCTTTTTCTGTATCGTGGCCCCCGATCCATTATTATTATTATTCTTGCTCCATCCTCTCTCTCTTCCTCATCTCTTCCTCCTCTCCTCTCTTCTTCTCTCATTCAACCACTCATCCCATAACTAGAACAAGGCGGGTTTAATCAGATCCTTAAACAGTACGCCCCTCTTCTTCTCACAGCATTTGCAAAAGCTCTCTCGTCACAGCTCTCTAACTCCGCCTCTTCTCAACAGATACCGCCATCATGGGTTACTCAGAAATTGATCAATTGGCCATCAACACCATCCGTCTTCTTGCGGTATGCTCCCTTGCTTCTCCAAGCACTTTTCCCCCGCACCGTTCTCTACATATTTCAAGTGTGCTTCACTCCGTTGGGTTTGGCGGCGGTGCCAGAATTCGAGGCCGCGGATATGCATCCGACAAGCTCTGCCACGGCCAAACTAAATTCATCGGGAACTTTGGCCACTCTTGTGATTTGACTGCCCTGCGGAAACTACTGCCACGGATCTTCGCACTTACGACTCTGTGCTAACAATATTTCCAGGTTGATGCTACGGCCAAGGCTAACTCCGGTCACCCCGGTGCCCCTATGGGCATGGCCCCCGTGTCCCACGTTCTCTTCAACAAGTTCATGAAGTTCAACCCCAAGAACCCCGACTGGGCCAACCGTGATCGATTTGTCCTCTCGTATGGAGCTTGTTCTCAGTTCTCTGGAAGACTTCACTGACGAAATCTTCCAGCAACGGCCACGGTTGCATGCTCCAATATGCTCTCCTCCACCTTTTCGGATACGCTCTCTCCCTCGATGACCTCAAGAACTTCCGTGTAAGCTAACCACTCTGGGGGATTTTAAGATCCATCACTGACCCGATTGTCTCCTAGCAACTCGACAGTATCACTCCTGGCCACCCCGAGGCTCACGACACCCCTGGTATTGAGGTGACCACTGGTCCCCTCGGTCAGGGTTTCGCCAACGCCGTTGGTCTGGCTATCGCTCAGGCCCACAGCGGTGGTGTTTTCAACAAGCCCGGATACACCCTGTTCGACAACCACACATACTGCTTCTTCGGTGATGGCTGCGCCATGGAGGGTATTGCTAGCGAGGCTGCTTCTACTGCTGGTCACTTGAAGCTTGGCAACCTGATTGCCATCTACGACGACAACCACATTTCCATTGGTGAGCCCTGGACTGTTCTGCTTTTTGAAGTTTTCCGCTAATAATACAATTAAGATGGTGACACCAAGTGCGCTTTCACCGAAGACGTCACCAAGCGCTTCGAGGCCTACGGCTGGCACACCGTCTGGGTCAAGGACGGTGACAACGACCTCGAGGCTATCGAGGCTGCCATCAAGGAGGCTCAGTCTGTCAAGGACAAGCCTTCCATGATCCGTCTGACCACAACTATCGGTTTCGGTTCCAAGCTCCAGGGTACCGGCGGTGTCCACGGTAACCCCTTGAAGGCCGACGACATCCAGAGCGTCAAGGAGCGCTTCGGTTTCGACCCTGCCCAGTCCTTTGTCGTTCCCCAGCAGGTCTATGACCTCTACCACAAGCACGCCAATGAGGGTGCTGCTCAGGAGCAGGAATGGAACCAGCTCCTCCAAAAGTACGCCAGCGAATACCCCAGCGAGCACGCCGACCTCACCCGTCGTCTCTCTGGCCAGCTTCCCGAGGGTTGGGAAAAGTCCCTCCCTGTCTACAAGCCCAGCGACCCTGCCATTGCCTCCCGTAAGCTCTCCGAGGCCGTCCTCGAGAAGATTCACTCCGTCATTCCCGAGCTTCTGTCTGGTTCCGCCGATCTGACTGGCTCCAACAACACCCGCTGGAAGAACGCTGTCGACTTCCAGCCTCCCGAGTACGGCATTGGTGAGTGGTCTGGCCGCTACATCCGCTACGGTGTCCGTGAGCACGCCATGGGTGCCATTATGAACGGTCTCGCTGCCTACGGCACCGTCATCCCTGCCGCCGGTACTTTCCTCAACTTCGTCTCCTATGCCGCTGGTGCCGTCCGCCTGTCCGCCCTCTCCCGTGTTCGTGTCATCCACGTCGCTACCCACGACTCCATTGGTCTCGGTGAGGACGGCCCTACTCACCAGCCTATCGAGACTCTAGCCCACTTCCGTGCCCTCCCCAACTGCATGGTCTGGCGCCCTGCCGATGGTAACGAGACCAGCGCTGCCTACTACTCCGCCCTCACCGCCAAGCACACCCCCTCCATCCTGGCCCTCACCCGCCAGAACCTTCCCCAGCTTGAGCACTCCAGCATCGAGGCTGCTCTCAAGGGTGCTTACCCCGTCCTCGAGGCCCCCAATGCCACCGTCACCCTCATCTCCACCGGTTCCGAAGTCAGCCTCTGTCTCGAGGCCGCCACATACCTCCAGAAGAACCACGGTGTCGTCGCCCGCGTCGTCTCCGTTCCTTGCTTCGAGGTCTTCGATGCCCAGGACAAGGAGTACAAGCTCAAGGTTATCCCCGACAACATCCCCGTCCTGTCGGTCGAGGTTTGCTCCACCATGGGTTGGGAGCGTTACTCTCACGAGCAGTTCGGTTTGAACCGCTTCGGTGCCTCTGGTCCTTACAAGGAGGTCTACGCCAAGTTCGAGTTCACACCCGAGGGCATCAGCAAGCGCGCTCTTGCCACCATCGACTTCTACAAGGGTGTTCCCGTCCGCTCGCCCATCAACCGTGCTTTCCAGCAGATTCTGTAGACGTCGTCTCGTTGCTAGCGCCATGATTCTCGCATTTCTTTTTGTCGATGTCTTCTCCCGCTACGAGTATCTCACGGGTTACGGAATAAGGAAGCGTTCAGCTCGCAGAAAACGAGCAAACTTTGAATGAACGGCTTCCTTGGTTTAATGTCCTACGAATTTCCTTTTGAGAAGGGTAAAAAAGCTGCCATCTACGGGAGGTGGTGAGGCTATTTTCTGGTAGATTTAGAGAGATCTGCATAAAAATAAATACCTTTATCTGTTCAATTGCTTCGTCACGTACTAGAGAGTTACTACTTTTGTGTATACACAGTAAAAGGTATAACAAGCGCAGTCTGGGAAGAATTCTTTTGGTAAATCATCATCATAGATCATTATTATCGGCCTCCCCTTTCATACACCAGGGCGTCCTAGATCCTCATATCAAGAAACGACACCCAAATCGATATAGAGAAAACATGAGAGATATGTAGAAGGTCATTTTTTTGAAAAGTGAAAAAGGGCGAGAAAAAGGAGGTATCTAAGCATCCAAAGCCTTACGAGCAAAGTTGGGCAAGACGAAGCTGGAGCGGTGAATATCCTGGTTGTAGTAGCGGCACAGACGCTCCTCCTCCTCGCGGGACCAGGAGCGGACGGGCTCCTTGACGTTGCGGCTGGCGTCCTTGCAGCAGACCATGAAGCCGATCTGGCCGGAGGGGTAGGTGGGGATGGTGGTGTAGGCGTATTCGGCGACGGGGAAGACCTCATTGCAGGCCTTCTTGAGGTTGGCAATCAGGGGGAGGTGGAGCCATTGGTTCTCGGCTGTAAAATAGAAAAGAAACACGAACCCAAACCGATCCCGTTGTGTCGGGTGGTTTTGGGACGTAGACGAGGTTAGCCTTGTGGTCTTGTTGCTGAACTGGGAAAAGAAGAGAGAATGGAGAGATAGGGCGAATCCGGGGGTGGTTAGGATAGGAAGGGGGAACAAGAATCAAGAGGAAACATAGCAAGATTTATAGATGAGGAGAGGCTGAGAAGAAAAGAAAGGCGACGAACAACCTTGGGTGGTGATGACACCTCCATCACGCAGAGCGTCTCTGAGGAGCTCAAAGTAGGGCTTCTGAAAGAGGCTCTCGGCGGGGCCCTCGGGGTCAGAGCTGTCGGTGATGATGACGTCGAACTCGTTCTGGCGCTGCTTGAGGAACTCGAAGCCGTCGCCGACGTGGACCTTGACGTTGGGGTGCTGGAAGCCAATGCTCATGCCGGGGAGGTACTTCTTGGAGACACGGATGACGGCCTGATTATGAACTTGTGAGCCTGGTGACCAAGTGCATAAGGCAGCCTAATTGATTGTTGTTACCTCATCAATGTCGCACAGGATAGCCTCCTCGACGGTCTCGTGCTTGACAACCTCACGGAGAACACCGCCGTCTCCACCACCAATGACAAGGACCTTCTTGGGGTTGGGGTGGGAGTTCATGGCAAGGTGGGTGATCATCTCCTGGTAGCTATTCGGTAGAGATATAATTAGCACCCCGCATCAAGGTTTTGTTCGGGCAGGATTGGAAGGGCATACGAGAATTCATCACGCTCAGTGCATTGGATGACGTTGTCGAGGACGAGAACGGTGCCGTAGTCGCTGCTCTCGAAGACAAGGACGTCCTGGTACTTGGACTTTTCGTGGTGTAGGATCTGGTTGACCTTCAGGTTCATGGCCTGACCGGGCCACATGTCGGACTGCTCGGAGAACCAGCCATCTGGGGAAGAGCGATATCAATACAGGAATAAGTAGAGAAAAGGGCGATGGCTTTGTTGACTCCAACAGAACTAAATACTCCTCAATTGGAAGTAGCGCTCGAGTTTTGAGTACTGAGGGCGGGGTAACGTTGGGCTGAGATAGAAAATATACGTACCCTTGATAGTGGGGTGAGTGATCTCGCTCATGGTGACGGTATGAAGATGTCGAAGGCGACGAAGGGAAGTCAAATGAGTGATGGAAAGAGGACACAGGAGAGAAGATGAAGTTGAGAGAGAAAAACGAGAGAAGAAGACAGGAAGAGATGAGCGCATGCGGAGTGGGGGGAAAATTGAGGGAAAAAAAGCAGTTTGGAGGTGTATTTTAAGATCGTCACGGTTGGGTATTTGAGTTACAGAATTTTCGATCAGGCTCAGATGTCGCTGTCCAATGGGACCATATCGATTCTGGATTACGAGGACCTCCCAGAACTTGGATACCTACAATTGAACCTCGTTGATAAGGTTCACAATGTTCTGTCTGCATAATTGGGTATCCCAGAGTTTTTTTTTTTGCTGTTTTCATCGTGTATATGGTCCGCATAGATCAGTCGTCCAGAGAACCGAATGTCCCGAAACGGAAGGACTTCCGCCAGAGAGTACCTTAGCATAGTACACAAATATCCCAGCCTCGGTGAACCAACAATACTCTCTCCGTGGGGGTCATGTTGTACTTCTTCCCGAACGGAGAAGACTGTTGACGTAGTGCATAGGACAACTGAAAACTCAACTAGCGGCGTACTCTGTTTTGCAGCCTCCGCGCGGTCTCTTGCTCGAGAATCGAGTGCAGACAAATGAAATTGCAATTCGTTCGATTGCTTCTAGTTACTGTACAGCGCAATCACAAAATCCAACTGCTTGCTCTGTATACCGTTCACAAATACAGCACATCCCACCGGTTGTCCATCCCTTTCAATGGGAGGAAGCGCTTATTCCACACCACCCTCGGCCAGGCGGCCGGGCTTGGAGTTCAGGTACTCGTTGCTATATCAGATAACATGTTAGCCAGCTTTCCTTATATCGAATATCCGAGCGCTAAGTGACATCAGGGTGCTGCAAAAGCTTGGGAGACGCATACCGCTCGATGGCCCAGTTCATGGCTGCGTAGGCGGCAACGAAGGGAGGAACGACGTAGAGGACTTGGTGCCTGAAGCGGCGGAATGTGTTGAAGACAGCAGCATGAGCAGCACCGGCAAAGGGGCGCTGGCGGTTAGGAGACAGAGCGTAAGTCGTCACACGCTGGGGAGTCGGGCAACCTAGGCGAGGATAAATCAGTATCCTTTCATGTGATGACTCATCCATTGAAACTAAGCAGGCGACAAGCGACGTGTTTCAGAATGGTCGAGGCGCTGCCATATAACTAATGTGTGCCGATTGAACGTCCTGTATTGATGCCGGTGCTCGCAATTGCCGAGGAGGGACTATGTAAACGTACCGAGATCACCCCAGTTGCCCATGAAGCTATATGACACACTGATCAGTATCTTTCAAGTAATAGTGTATCAAGGTCAGAGGGTAGAGCCAGTCCAGAGAGAGGGAGGGTGCGAGTTGACTCGGTGAACGATGTCATACAGTGACTGTCCCGAACAATCACGGCGGCCCCGAATCGGCACAGCAAACTGGAACCAAACTTACATGCCGTTCTTAGGATCAACGTGACCACCCATTGTGAAGATATGAAGCGAAACGAACGAGTTCTAGAGACGCGAGGTGCAGGAATAACGGCGGAGAGGACGGCGAAGGAGAAGAATCGACGTTCGGGCCAAAACGGCGGAAGATGGGAGTGAGCTGCGCTAGTCCAAATTGGGCCAGGCTCAAAAAGACCGCCCGCGACATCATCCAGAGGTTCGGCTCAGAAAGGCTGCTCTCCAACCCGTCAATCAAACCATCTCCACGCCTGCATTTACAAGAACAATGGCGGCTAACGGTCTCTACAACATATACCGCTTGGCTATTCCCGTGGCTACGGGAGTCATCGTCGCCAACGCCTCCCTCTACGATGTAAAGGGCGGAACTCGAGCTGTCATCTTCGACCGAATGTCTGGTGTGCAGGAGAAGGTTGTCAACGAGGGCACGCATTTTCTGATCCCCTGGCTGCAAAGAGCTATCGTATACGATGTGCGCACCAAGCCGCGCAACATCTCGACCACGACCGGAAGTAAGGATTTGCAGATGGTCAGCTTGACCCTGCGAGTCTTGCATCGTCCTGAAGTCCAGAAGCTGCCGGTCATCTACCAGGTATTCAAGCTCGTCTCCGGATTATTCGGATTTATTCTCTAATAACATATCTACTAGTCTTACGGTACCGACTACGACGAGCGTGTCCTCCCGTCCATCGGAAACGAAGTCCTCAAAGCCATCGTCGCCCAATTCGACGCAGCCGAGCTCATCACCCAGCGTGAAGCCGTCTCAAACCGCATCCGCACAGACCTGATGAAGCGAGCCTCACAATTCAACATCGCCCTCGAGGACGTTTCCATCACACACATGACATTCGGAAAGGAGTTTACGCGAGCCGTCGAGCAGAAGCAGATCGCCCAGCAGGATGCCGAACGAGCCCGGTTCATCGTCGAAAAGGCCGAGCAGGAGCGTCAGGCCAACGTTATCCGCGCCGAGGGTGAAGCCGAGAGTGCTGACATCATCAGCAAGGCCGTCGCCAAGGCAGGCAGTGGCCTCATTGAGATTCGTCGTATCGAAGCTAGCAAGGAGATTGCCCACACTCTGGCCAGCAACCCCAATGTCACATATTTGCCGGGAGGTGAAGGCAAGGATGGTGGAAAGAGCACAAGCCTCCTTTTGGGGTTGAGGAGCTAGGGGAGTCACTCAGTTTGTCTACAAAAAGAACTGATCTGATCTGATGTGTATTTTTTATGCGGTTAATCCTGTTTTACCCCGTTCTGGTTGGACCTGGGCGTGTGCATGACACCACGGCGAATTGTTGAAGCTGGTGTTCCTTCCTCTCTATATGAACTGTAGCAATAGCATACCTTATTCCTCTCTACATAAATCAAACCCCAATCACAAACCTTACCCAATTCATACACGCCTTCATCATATCACATAATTCTGTACGGAGTCCTCTCATAACTTCCGGTAAACATGAATCTGAAACCTCATATCCTCCAACCCAGCCCCTTCCCCAACATCATACCACAACCTCGCCGCATCTCTCCTCCACCACCTCGAATCCTGCGAGAATATCTTTTCCCACCTCCCCTTCGCAACCGAGAGCAGCGTATGATCAAGAAGGAACTTCATCGGATACTGCCTTTCCTGCGGCGCGCCTGAGCTATCATTCTTTCCTAATTTTAGCGTCGAGTAGCTGCCAGGACTATCAGCGACGAGAAGAATGGTTCCGGCTTGTAGGAGGTCTGTTGTTTTGAGTAAAAAGGCCGTGGCTTTGGCCATGGATGTTGAGAAGAGCTCGTTTAGGGTGAACATGAGAGTTACCAATGTTGTTGGTGTGGTACTGGGTGATTTGGAGGGGTGATATAGAGTATCGAGCTCTGAGTCTGATAGGGAAAGAACGTCGAGGCGATTGAAATCCACGGTGAAGTTGGATTGGGCCGGGAGTAATGGTGCAGGGTGCGATTTTGAGCTGGGAACGTTGGGTGATTGTATAGTCGAGGATAGCCTATCCACAACCGTAGACCAGTCACCAATGTCGACAGCTGTGACTGAGAGAGTAGGATGGGAAATCTTTATCTGTGGCCTTTCCTCTTCTTCTTCTCCTTCCCCATTTGCGGTATCCAGGCATACAGCAGCAAGGGCATTTGACATCTCGTCGTTTCGATCAGCCATAAAGTCTCTCCACGCCGCTGCAAGGGCAACAATCTCCGCACCTGCACCTCCCCCAATACATACGACATGGTTCGTTCCAGGCTGCCCTTCACCTGAAGCACTATTTGGTTGTTGCTCTTGAGTCAAAACCTCCAGGATCGACTTGAACAACCCCGCATACCCCAATGCGCGCGCAGCACTCCATCGTAACGCATAAGCGCTAAGCAGCTCCCCACTCGCATCGGCAAATGCAGACTCAAAGTCTCGATTATACAGATGAGACTTGAGCGTCTGAATTAGGGTCTTGATGTCGAGCTGTGGCTCTCCCGCCGTGCCTGCTTGTGGATCCTCCTGGACGTGGGCCGGGGAAATAGGAGTATTGCTCTGAAGCAAAGCAGCCTTGAATACATTCAAGAGCAGTTGTTGGAGAGTTAGCGGGATCCTGCTAGAGATATCGATCTTGTTCGCGCCCTCCTCGTCGGACGAAGATGGCTTTTGGTGCTGCTGCTGCTGAGGTTGGGGTTTGCGGCGGGATCCAGATGCAGGGTCATTACTCTTCCTGTCTGGCTTTGGCGCCTGCTTCGAGGGTTTCCGAGATGTATTGGATTTTGATGGGCCCATTTTCTCTATTGTTTTGTCGATTTGATCAATCTTTTAATTCTCAATCAACTCGCTGGGAGCCAAAAGTGGTCAAAGGATCAAAGGCTGAATTCCGCGCGTTGGGTCTGATCCATGAATTATTGCAGCATGATGGTTCCAGGAAATATTCAAATGTTTGTTGATGCAGTTCTTGGATAAAAACAATCAGAAATATGAAACTATGATCACAAATAGAATAGAAAACCATATATAAGGAGGTGGTTACCATGCCTGCAAATATGGTCCGCGGCATACGGGAATCGAACCCAGAGCTCCTTGGCGCGTATATAAGCTACTAAAGGCTATCAGTGAGTTACGGGTGCGTGGGCCTAGCTCAGAATCCATTTCTTGCCTTTTACCAGAGATGGCCGTGGGCCACGCAAAAGACCCTACTCTACAATCTTTGGAATCCTCTATTGACATAGTCGTCGATTTTTATTTTTGAATTTCTGCTGTGATTATGGGTTCTTCAGAATTGAATTCATTTGTCTTTTTCTTTTCTTTGAAGGATTTACCCTTTTTTTTGCGTTGGAACAGGGGCTAATGGGCCGTGCAGAGAAGCATAAGGGTGTGTGAATATGGAGATGCTCGAAGCAGTGGCGCACTTCACATACGCCGTCTCACACCTGGTGACGTAGATTGAGAAACCCTCAACGCCATTAAGTGCGCCCTCTACCATTCCTGTTCGTATAGAGATAGTGACACGGAGTGTAGATTTCATTGTGTAAAGGCCTATGGCCAAGCTTCTCAGCTAACATTCACCTCCCAAAAGGATCGGGAAAGACCCCAGGATCAGATGCAGAACTGGCTCGCGCTGGAATCGGCCAGTAAACTGTGTAAAATAAAGTAGACGAAAGAGGATTAAATACAAAGGATGGTAAGAAGATTATGTGAGCTCAAACGACAGATCGAGACAAGAGTTGTAACAAACGATTTATCAGCGCAACCGGCCATAATGAGAGACACGAACAGTGAGAAAGAAGGAGTATCATACCCTTACGCTTGAAATCAAATACCAAGAAAGAGATTCGTCAGGTATCCCAACAACTGAAGGTAGACCGGGTAGCAGAAAGAAACAGCAAAAAAGAAACAGGCTGAAAATAGTAAAGCCTTGAAGCATTACGCCGAAGACGCGATGTCAAACGAATCATAAATGGGGATAGTATGTACAAGTGTCGAAGTCGCTTTCGAAGCAGCATTTCGTCATGATGGCGGCTATTCCTGAACAGCGGGTTCATTCAGCTTTTCTTTGTCTTTCATTCTCCAGAAATGCATCAGTCGACTAATTCGGCGACCCTTCTTCTTTGCCTTCTCTGGTTCGTCGGTCGGAGGTTTCTCTTCGTGACTCAACTTGCTCCTCTCTGCATGCGGGCCAACAACAAGTTTGGAGAGACTTGCGAGGCTTGACCTCTTCGAGGTAGGTTGACTAGAGCGACGATTGACCGCTGCAGAAAACGATGCTGAACGATCCGTTGACAAACGAGGTCGCGCAAAAAAGGTAGCAGAAACGCGATTTAACGTATTCGTCATCGTGGACGCGCTGCTAGTTAATGAAGGCACATCTTCCACGGATGTGTGAGGAAAGGGATCTGTTGTCGACGAAGTTGTGATGGAACGGGGAGCGTCCGAGGAGATGGTGAAGTCAGGCGATGGGAAGGCTGAGTTTGGAGGAGAGCAACCGCCATGAAGGCAGAACGGTGGAAGCGCAGACGGAAGTTCGGTGGGAGAGGTAACAGGCCGGTAATCAGCAGGTATAAAGCGAGGGGAAACTTCGGGACTGGGAGGCATCCGGCTGGGCCAATCCTCCTGTTTCCCATAATCCATTGGAGTTTTAGGTCGACCGACACCAACCGTCAAATTCTTCTGTGACTGGCTGGAATAGAACCGGGGCTCCGTTTGTGTCGGAATGTCCTGAGGCAACGAAGCAGCTGCTTTCGCTTCCTGCGTTTCGGTTTCCTGGATGCCCAGGCCAGCCTGCTCGTCACTACTTGCGGGCTTATCCGTCGGTGGGCGGGTCAGGGTATCTGAGCTTTCCCCACTGTGATCCGACTTTACGTCGATGGGTTCAATATCTGTAGGCTCGCTTTGGAGATGTTCCTCGCTGCCTTTGGCAGAGTCGCTGGTGGCCGCCAAAAAAGCATCTTCCTCCTCTTCGTAGAACACATCCGGGTTCTCCAAGGACGAGGAAGTGGGAAACCGGTGGCTTCCTAAGAATGAGCGATCAAACGGAGGCATCTCAGGGGCACTCTCTGCCCGCCGGTGATACCGCATCTCGGGACCTACAAACTCGCCGCGCCGTCCGCCGGAATACATTCGCTTGGTCGCAGCAGAAAAGCCGCTCTCTGGAGCACGACCAGAGCGCATCTCTGGTGTGTTGAAAGGGCCCAGAGCCGCATCTAAATCGATGACAGGGCTCATAGAACCGTTAGTCGTGATTTGTTCATAAAAACTTCTCGGCTTCCATGAATTCTCCAAGGATGCCCATGAATCAGCCTCGTTGACAGCTTGTGTGGTTTCAGGGTGAGTCGGGTTAGTAGGGGTTCGAATCACGACGATGTTGTCATCGTCGAATTCTACATCCAGGCCAGAACCAAGGTCTGAATTCGTTCTAGTCAGGATAGGCGGAACCTCACCAGAATCGGCATCCATAGCATCTTTCTTCGAGCTATGGCGCTTCCCCTTGCTTTTTATCAACAGAGAGCCAGCCCAAGAACGAACTTTTTTCTGCCGATTCTTTGCTTTGGACCGTTTCTTTGGCGTGGGAGCAAGTGATTCTGCGGTCTCACGAGGATCATCTGAAGATGTATCGGAATCGTCATCGGATGAGGACTGTCTGAGAGGTGATGGCGTAAGGCCGTCATTTTCAGCGTGGCTCCTTCGCAAAGCGGCATTGAGTATTCCGGCCGACATGCTTTTGTGGCGAGCGTGCCCTACGGCGGATCGAGGGCGCTTAGTTGGCGACTGGTCGTCGTCGAGATCGCTTCCAGTCGGTTCAAGCATCAACGAAGCATCTGCGGTCCTCGGTCTCGGCCTTGATTTTTGCGGTCCGGTGGGCGATTCACTTTTGGAGAACGGAATTGCAGTGTCACTGTTCCTGGCTTGTGGGCTTGGGCGCATTGCGATACTGGGTTCAGATATTTCCGATGGCCTTTCTGTGGAGAGGATTTGGTTCGAAAGTGGCGACGCCGTGGGGTTTTGTGGATCTAGGGGCATCCCATCTATGAGTATCCGGGGAGATTCTGGCGGGGGTGCCTGCTGAGATATACTAGTGGCAGAGTGCGACACGGATTTCGGGGGTTCGCCAGGAGTATTATCCCGGACCAAGTTTGCTGGGGTACATGGGGCGCTGTCGGCAAACGGTCTGGTATCAATCGCATCTGAAATAGCAGTCAAATCCACACTTGAAATCGCGGCTGAGCGTCTATGGGCGTGTCGACGACGGTTCGCTGCACTAAAGCCGGGTCCAGGGGGCGGTAATTTCACGGGCGTCGTTAAACCATCATCATTCGTATGACCAGCAGTAGTATTTCCAGGCGTAACCAAGTGCTCACTGCCGACAAATTCACTATACTGCCGACGATGGCCGCTCGCTCGGTGTGAGGAAGGGGCGGGAGTCGATGGTTGAGCTGAGCCGGTAGATCCTGGATTGAAAGAGAAAGCCGGAAGGGCCGGTCGGGTATGGGTCATGGTCCCCGGCGTTTGGTCTTGTGCTTCATCCGGTTGCCGTGCCGGGAAGACAAAAGGCGGATTTGGAAGTGGTGCGGACATGCTTTGGTTACGCCGGCTGTGGCCGCTCGGCGCTCGGTCAACCGATTCAAAGTAATGAGGAAACGCCGAGGTGGCCTGGGGCTGTACGGGTAGAGAAATGGAAGCCATTGCTTGCAGCTACTGTATCAGATAGACTCCCGATGATGCCGACCTCGTAGGGAGCGCAATACCAAAACAGTCCGTACCTGCGCACGGGAATTGGTAGTAAGCAGTTGGTGGTGATCCAGACGCACGAGGACCTCCAGACCAACGCGACTTCCCCTCCGGTGACTGGAAAGCCCAAGTTCGTCTGGAGGCCTTTAGATTTGCGGGGAGAGCATTGATTTCCTCAAACTGGGTTAACAGTCCAAGGGAACACCAACAGCGATCGGAAGGAGAATTTCTCTGAAATTGCAGGAAAAGGGGTGAAGCGGAAGAAGGGAAGAAGGCCGCGAGTGTTACAATGGATTTTAACAGAAAGTCAAGAAGTAATACCGCAAGTAAGGTCAAGGCGAGGGAGCGAGGTCGAAGATTAACGAGCAGGCGTGAAAGTCAAGCAGCGATGATAAGGAGCGGACGGCCACAGGAGCGGGCCACGATTGGAAAGAGTAGTATGGACCGAGCGGAGGAGTCGAGAAGCAGAAGTAATAAAGAAATCAAACCGGAGAAGCGAAATCGAGGCGAAGGGAGGGAGGAAGGGAGGAGAGGGGAGGGCGGAGGAGGTTGAAGTTCAGGTTGAGGTTGAAGGAAGAAGAGGAAAGACTCAAGTCAAGGAACAAGTTCAGCAATCATGGAGACGGCGGTGGAGTGCCTGAGGCCCAGTAAGCTTGGTTTACACTTACTTAGTTTGCAACGCTGAAGTGAGCAGTCGTATTGGGCCCGGATTTTGATTGGGCGCTGCATTTACACCATGTTACAAGCGGTACTAGGTATCCTCAGGTCTATTTCGATCGTCCCTCTGCCACTCAGCGAGGAAAAGACGATAAATGATCCATCCTGGACGGTAACGTACCGGCCTGTATAGCACCGGGCTTGGCCTTCATCCGCTCTTGTTCTAAGCACTAGTTTCAAATGTTCATGGGGAAGTGAGGAACAGTTCGGAGTGCAATCTCCTTGATGGCCCGGCGGACAAGGAGGGTATAACACCACGATAATATAATATAGGAATCCGTCCAGCATTTCTCTAACAGCCAGACTTCAGCGCTCATGGACGTCATGACTTGTAAGACTTGCCACCACATAAAATTGGAGAGAATGCGATGTCAAGCCTCATGGAAGTTGAAGCCGGATTCGGCATGGCCGAACCTACGGAGTGGTCGGATCTTGAATGGGAGGAGATTCAAGCCACGGAAATTACCTGTCCAATAAAGGCCCTTTTTCGAGTGATAACAGAATCTCAGCCGGCAGGGATTCAATCAAGCCAAGAGCCTTGTCAGGTTGGCTCAGACAGGCCTTGTGAAGAATTGAGGTCAAGGCAGGAGAGGTGATTTGAGATTGTGACACACTGGCTGCTGCTCTGTCTCTCAACCCCCATTGTATCCGAACTGTTCTGGAGAAGTGGCAGGCATCAGCTAAACTAAGATCCGTTCCTGAGACAAACGCCAATCACGGCGTCCAGCAGCGGAGTCGAAATCTCGCTTGTCTTCGGTGGAGATAGTCTCGCCCCACCTCAAAACCCATAGCACTAAGCCGGAATTAGAGTTAGTCTAATTGCGCCAGACTGCTTCCAGCCGTCAATCATCACGAATGATTCGAATCCAAGCCATGCGCAATAATGCAGCCAAAAGAGTTGACAACTTGACAGCAGGGTCTCTCGGAAATCGAGGACAACAGCGACTATACTCGCTCGAAACAGATAATTGCCGAACAGGGCTGGGGCATGGAGGAAATGAGACGGGTGTGTCCCCTTGATTTGCGGGTGTGGGATCTGCAAATATTAAATTCATTTGAATTGCTGAAGACGCCCAAAGTTCATTTATTATTGCATCCTTTCGTGCTCCTACTCCACGTGGTGACCATTTCAAGTTGCCATCTCAGCCACCTCCTCACTGCCTTGACCTTCAATTGAGACGCGAGAGCCTATCGCTCTGTTCGACAGTCGAGAACGTCGCCGTTTCCGGGCGGACAAAGAGAAGTACCATGCAGTTTGCTCGGGAACTTTGGTCTGCCCGCTGCCGCGCAGACTGACAGTTGGCACCGACTCACAATCAAGGGCGGCTAGACTCACCCTGCTGGATCATGAACCCCTTCTCTACACCCATTGGCTACTGGTTCATGCAGGACATATCAAGTCGTTTCAACGTTATTACTTAGTGGTCCCAGATGGTGGCGACTGCCCGTGAGACGCCATCCATCCAGGCACAACCGTTCGTGGGATAGCACTTTGCAGGATCCAGCTCTGTTTCGTCTCACAACAACAACGTTCTCTGCTGCCACTTTCTATGTAGCAGTCGGAAGCTTGGACTAAGGGAACAAGCCAATCATGAAACGTTAAGCGGAATCTTGGGAGGCTCAATATTGCAGGTATCTAATATTTCTCCCTTGATACAAGATAACTAAGTCGCCCCCTGCTCATGATTATCAAGATAGGCGCCGTATCCAATCCCTGTCAAGGTTAGTGTCACGTCTCTTGCGCAAGCGTCCGAGATACCGAAATGATTCCGGGCGGATAATTTCCTCTTCGAGGCCTGACAGCTTGCACAAGATTTCATTTTCCTTCAGGATCGATCCAGGCTTGGGACACTCCTCCTTGTCCATTTGGTTTGATAGCGTGACACAAATCAGTGACCTGGCACTCAACGTCTTGCCAGTGATTCGGTAATATCTTTCTTTCGGCGCGGAGAGGGTCTCTCGAAACACGCCCTCGGCGGGGGAGAAAGATAGATTTTTGGCCCAGGGAGGGCAAGAATGTCACCGCAGTGCCCGTCAACCTGAATCTTTTACATCGTAGTCTCGTCTTCTCGGATCTATTTTCCAGGCTCATCTTAGGTCCACCACGTTGGGCGCCATTGCGGAGTCCTCAAGTCAATCGTCGTATGCACGCTGCAAGGGGTCGTCGAGGTTCTGAGCTGTTCTCCTCGAATCCCTTCCAATCATCCCATGTCAGGTACTATCCCTGCGCAAGTAGTCACCCGGTGCTCATTGGCGTTATCGATCCCTTCCTGCCGTGCAAATGGCGCAGATAGAGTCACAGACCTGTCCATCGCCCTTGCGTCTTGCGTTCCGGAGTACATACACTGTCCACTCCGCTCCCCTTGCCTCGTATTCAACGTCCGCTTTGTCTGTTATCCGCCGTTTCTCGACCCATGGTTCGCAGCGGGATCAACTCCATAGGCCTTCTGATACTGGTTCCGATCTTTCCCCCACTCACAAAGGCTGGCCCATTGAAAATCGATCCTGCGGCAATTTTTCCCGATCGTGATGTCAGCTACCTTCGGCGTTGCCGGTACTAGCAAGTAGATACCCAAATTCCGCAGAGACGTGAGTCCTGTACTTTGCGAGGACCGGTTCTGTATCCTCAGGAACACGCGTTCGGTGACTCCGTACCTCGGCCACGTCCCTCCTGCTTAGCTAGTCCCACATGCCTCGTCGATCCGCCGGTGACTTGGACTGGTCCCTGGTGCATTCAGGTCAGCCCTACGAGTGAGGTTCCAGCCTCCAGCTGAACTCTGGGCTCGGGCTTACGGAAGATTGACTTTGGTGCTACCACTACTATTCGTTACCTAGGTACCCATTATTAAGCCACTGATGATGACTAGGGGCCCAATTCTGTGTAAAAATGTATCAGTCTTACATGTACCAACCTTCTTCAATCACAAAATCCCGATATGGTAGATCACACTGTTCTATTACCTAGGTGAGACATAAGTTGTCAAGCCACATATCAAACTTGGGCAGAACGCCCGGGATCCTTAGTGGAATGAGGAGTCCAGCTACCTACGTGTATGTACGGCCTCTACAAGACTCCTTCCTCTTTCAACTCTCTTCAACCTTCCCTATACAATCGTTGGAAAGCAAAAAGCACGCTATCCGTCGCCAAACTCAAAAGTAGGTAATCGTACAGCTGCAGGAAAAGCAAGCAAAACAAAAAAACGTGGGCATGGAAACGGCGTACCTCGACTATCCACTCTCGAGTCTTGAGCATGGCTCAAAAATGAGAAACCCCTCAGCTCATAAGGCTTGGGGCTGACATCAGACCAACAGTTGTGGTCTCTGCGCAAAGCACAGCACACTGAGCACAACCCTTAAAACTCAGACTGAGCCTCAGCAGCATGTCATTGTCACAGGATGTCGCATGATTCAACCTTTTAGGTTTCAATAGCGCCAGGGGAAATCGCGATGATAACGGCTAGCGCAGCTACAATCAGAGCAAAGGCTACAAAAGCAATCAAAGCAATACTTCCGCGACTCGCAGGGAACTTGCCCCGGATTATCCAGTATTGGCTTTCGAAGTAGCGGTGGAACCCAACTATGAGAATGAGTATAGCAACCCCGATAAAGGTCGTTCCCAGCGGCTTGCCGAGACTTCGAAGGCGCTCCGATGTGTCGGTTATTCTGATCATATCGGAGCCATCGTCAGCTGGCGATAAAAAGGAGGATATGCTCTGCGGCGCAACTTCCATGCCATTTGCGCTTCGCATAGTAGTATTACTGAGACGAAAAAGCTGTGTCACGGCAATTCCAATAGAAGCAAAGGCTAATGATGTCCGCAGCCACGCGAGGAATGTTCGTTCTACAGGGTGTCATTCACTGTTAATATCTCTGACATTATTGGGGAGGGTTGGAGCGACCGAAGAGATAGACACACGACGCACCTAAGGCCAGATGATCTCGAGCAACACTCCCTTTATTTTCCAGCTCGAGGCTACCATATCTATCTGCGACCTGAGAGAGCCACGACGCATGATGCTCCTCGGCGTCTGCGCTGGAGCCCTGCCGACTCGGGTTTCTGAGGCCTGTCGGAGATTTTACTCGCCCCGCATCCCCATTTCTGAGAACATTCTCCATGGAGTTATACCGTCGTTGCTGGAAGCTGTTGTGGCTCACTATCGGAGTTACTTCGTTGACAGGCTGCGGGGGTTCCTGGCATGAAGGCATGGTCGCCTGATGCGGTGAGATAAACTGTCTTGGTTCGTGGAAAGGTCGATGGAGGGGTGAAGATCGTTGCGTGGCAGGCGAGACACTGACCTCCCCTGTGTGTCGCGAGTTCGAATCAGAGTGGTCCATGATGGCGTGCTCGCGGGATAACAGGGGCTTCCACCGCTTTGAGGCGCAAAATTATGGGAGAAAAGGTGGGTAGCGGATGAAATACCCCAGCTTTTTGTGGTGGAGATCCCAGGTCAATTGGTGCTTTGACCTGTGGGTTCATTCATTCTTGAATAGTTGTGCTGGTAGATAGAAGAATGAGAAGCAGAAAGACGTCCAGGACGCAGAGAGGGCGAGGTTCCTGCTTGGAACCCTCGCTTTCGGTCGCCTTCGTTTCTTCTGCGCTGCTGCAGCTGTTGCAGCAAACCATCACGCGCCACCGCAATTTTGCCCGCGACCAACTGATTCCGGCATAGCGCTTCAGCTCTTGATCCGCTCCTCTCGGGCCATAGTGCTCTGGGAAGGCGGTCAACTTTCAGCCAGATAACCAAGGCTTGTTTCTCAGGTGACCTGATCCCATGATCCTGTCAGCTCCATACGGAGTACTCACAACAAGATCGGTTTCGAAGGCGACAGTGATATTAAGAAATGATTTCGCCGTGAGCGAAGCGGCGGTTTATCGGGCGTGTCGGTGAAACATGCAGAACGCCCGCAGCCTGTTTTCAGCCAGGTGCAGCGTTCTCTCGATTTCGCTCTTGATAGCCTCGCATACTGGAAAACCAAGCGGGACAAATACTATTGCACAAATTCACAGTCTTGTGGACGGCCTTGACATTTTTCCTGAACGTTATCTATTTAGATTACCTATCAACGATTCTTTTCCTCGACCAGCGACTTGAATCCGCGCAGCAAGTCATTCTTCAAATCTTCCCAATTCTCCAACCCCACGCTCACTCTCAGCAGCTTTCTATCCACCCGCGCGTCTGACAGGGCACGCCACTCAATCAATGACTCAACCCCTCCCAGGCTCGTCGCGTGTTGGAACAAGGCCAGCTTACTAGGCAACTTTCGAGCAAAGTCCTCATCCTGCAAGGTGATGGAGAAGACCGGGCCAAAGCCATTGGGCATCTGCTCCTGCAGCCAAAGCTCCGTCTGGAGACTGGCATGGTACATGTCCTTTAGAACAGCCTGTACAAGGTGCTCATCGCTGTCCGGGCCGGAAGAAGGTGTTTCTAGAGCCTTGTGAAGCCACGCTATTAGCTTCCCTGAGCTCTCGCTCGCCCGTTGCACCCGAATGTCCAGTGTCCGCAAGCTCCGCAGCCCAAGCCAACTCTCCATGTTGCCCATCACATTTCCGAGCGCCAAGCGGTCCTCCATTAGCTTCTTTTGCCAGTCCTTTCTCTTTGTGGCGAGAACCCCGCATAACAGATCACTGTGGCCTCCGAAGTACTTTGATCCCGAATGCAAGATAATGTCGGCTCCCCACAGGAAAGGCTCCTGCAGCGGAGGAGGCGCAAAGGTGCTGTCGACAATAAGGTATGCGCCTCTTGCATGGGCCTTTTCTGCATACTCCTTGATGCTGAAAGCAGTTCCCAGCGGATTTACTGGGGTTTCGAGTAAGATCACATCTCCTTCTCCTAGGCTCTCGGCAGGACAGTCGAGTGGCAGCTTTTGCAGGCCTGAGAGACGGGATATGACAGCAATAACTTCATGGCTCCCGTGATACCCTTCACCCACGGAAACGCGCCGAGGATTCAGGAGCACCAAAGCGGCATGCAAGGCAGCCAAGCCTGTAGAGTAGCTCACGGCGTAGCCGTCAAGTAAGGACGAAAGCACAGCCTCGAAGCGTGTAGCATTTGGGGCGAACTCGCGAGAATATACATAGTTGGTTCCGTCGAACTCTTCCTGCATACATGTGAGTTATATCACCGCAGCGGATTGGAAGACATACCACAGGATCTTCAGATAAAACCAAGTTTTCAGGCTCTCTGGGATATCTGAAGGTCGTGGACAAGTGGATTGGAGGCGCAACGTCCGTCACCAAGTTGAGGTAGTCGTCTGCATGCAGGGCCCTTGTGGAAGGCTGTTGGGTATTCGAAGGGGCCATTCTGGAAATGAGTAGAGTTGAAGGAGTTAAAAGTGTCGTTGATAAAAACTAAATCTACTACTCCTTTTTTATATATCCTGGACATCAAGTCCAGTGCTTTCGATGAGGAACCATATTCCCAGGTTTTCATTCTTCACGTGTGGCCCCACTCCAACCAACTTCCTAAAAAAGAAGTTTGGCCATCGCTGCGCCGATTGGAACAGGCATTGGAACTTCGAGAAGATCCCAGATACGTAAGAAACACACAGAGGTTACTATGCACATAGTTGCATAATCGCCTTCCATTGTGAATAGAGCTCTCTGTGGTTTGGCCAAGGTACAAGAGCTGTACGACCTGGTAACGGGTAGCGGAACAGTAATAAGGTAAGAGGCACCGGGTCTTTAGGCTTCCACGACGAGACGAAGACTCGCACTCCTTGGCTCCCTTGGGATTGTGGACAGATTTTGAATCAGTTCTGACCATTTCGAGCAACCAGTTGGCAAGCCTCTGATCGCCCCTGACTTGACTCTCAACGACAACGTAACCTGGACGACTATGCAACGCGAGATTCTATGATCATCTAACCGCTACGGTCGGATGGCTTGCGTCAGGACCGGCAAGAGCTTTCGTTATTCGGTAAGAGCTGGCTATGTCGGGAATCGACCCTGCCTCCAGAGATCGGGCTAGTGAGTGGCAATATAGCTCTGCTTACGTTGAGCAGTGGTAAGCTTAGTACCAGAGCAATGTGTGCGTAACCTGCGCGGCAGTACGTAGAAAGCTGGCAGTTCTAAGGCATGTACACTCACGGCTCAGGCCCAAAATTGGGGCTTAGGCTCGTCGAGAAGGATGATCCTAATGGCGACGGCTGTATTTTGTGTATATTCCACGCAAAGCGGCCATTGAAGCACTAACTGGCCGGGTAGCATGGTAGAGAGTTGCAAGATATATAGCATCTGTACTGGGTTTTCAAGGGGAGTGTGCAGGGCCGGTGCAGCTAACTCTCTGTTACAAGCATTCTTCAAGAGAGATTGAGTATTTGTGCTAACGAGATCGAGTTCGGACTAGCTGACTGAGTGCCATACTATATTGATATGTTTGGAGGTCGATAGCCATATTCACCGACGACATCTTGAGACTTCGTTAGATTGCCATATCAAAGCCTGTCAGCCTTCTGCGTATCGTAGCACGCTTAAATGTGTCATCTCTAGAGGAGGGAAACTTATGAGTCCTTCATCTTCGAGCAAACAGATGTCTTCGATGCGTTTGAGTCGAGACCTTGTCAGAGTATAGGGTTATTTAGCGTGCAGAATCAAGCTTCGGGGGTAAGTTCATCCGCTCTGATCGCCTTGAAGCGGTGCCCACAACAACAAACACATCGTATTCGTTTCCAATGGACCTCAGCGGAGACCTTTCAAGCTAACGGATCGCTCGCACAGGGTAACGACCACTCTGCTGCTCGGACTCGGCCAAATACAAGGGTCCGGTCAAATTAGTCAAGCACTCATCTCTCTCGCATAATCGATGTTCCGTGGGTTGTCTGTTGACTGCTCTGGCCCCGTCCACCAAGCCAGCGTCCTTCGAGAATAGCGCGTCCGATAGCTCAAAATCTGTGACGATCTAGATGAGTTTAACGGCTGTGAGTGGCCAAGGAAGAAAGATGGTTATGGGGGTGAAGGAACAGTGGAGTTGGACATTGAAAGGTCCTGAGAACGAAAATTGGATGAAACGTGATCCAGCGCGAAAAAAAAGAACCCCTGGATTTTCTGTCTCCATTATTCGATGTCAGCCGTCAGCACCACACGGGACTGTACAACTCGCGAAGCGCTCTTCTATTTCTTCTCCTCGTTCTTCTTTTCTTCACTGTCTATTCTTCAGTAACCTTTTCGTCCTTGCCTTCTTCTTCTTCTTCTTTCTTTCTCGCTCGCGTCCTAGAGCAGGTTCCAATTGTACTTCGGCCTCGGGCCCTGCCTCTTCCAAGGTTGTCACGACACGTGGTTGTTTAAAAAGGTCTAGGGAGCAAGCAAACAGCCGTGCCTGTTGAACTTGAATCATTGAATTAGACCGATTTGGGACGGCGATATCATGGTCCGCACACGAAAGTCCAGCAATCTCGGAGCTGACATTCGCGGTGACACTAGCGCACCTGCGATGTCCACGATGAACGAAGTCAGCCCGATTGATGGCGAGCCACCGAAATGGGACAAGGTAGGGAGTCTGCGGTCGTTGTGCACCATTCCCCTCCGGTCCTTCTGCTCACTCTTCTCCTCAGGTAGCCCAAGCTACCACAGACAAATCGTCAAAGTCGCACCAGAAGCGTCGCAGAAGCCGCTCCTACATTCGTCGTTTCAAGGACAAATGCTTGAAGCACACATGGCTTCTCCCCCTCCTGATCTTAGTCGTCCTTCTCGCAGCATATGCCGTTAATCCAACTGAATCGAACCCGTTGCATTACGCCATCTTCCTATCCTACCCTCAACCTCCCAAGACTCCTGGTGATCCGGTTATGTATGGAAAGGGCAAAAAGGATATCGCGTTTGTCTCGTTCTACACGATCGTGCTCTCTTTCACTCGAGAGTTCTTGATGCAGCGCATGATTCGCCCATTGGCTGTCTACTGTGGAATTCGTGGAAAGGGAAAAACTGCTAGGTTCATGGAACAGGTTTATACGGCTATCTATTTCGCAATCTTCGGACCGTTTGGCCTCTATGTCATGAGCCGCACAAACATCTGGTATTTCAACACTACTGCTATGTTTGAAGGATTCCCGCATCGGGAGCACGACGCTTTGTTCAAGTCCTATTACTTGCTTCAAGCTAGTTACTGGGCGCAGCAAGCCATTGTTCTTCTCTTGCAGCTGGAGAAGCCGCGCAAGGATTTCAAGGAGCTCGTGGGTCATCACATTATTACCCTGGCTCTCATCGGCCTGAGCTATCGATTCCACTTTACCTATATTGGCCTCGCAGTCTACATTACTCACGATGTCTCAGACTTCTTTTTGGCTGTAAGTTCACTCGGTCTCTCGGTCTCTCGAAAACCCCGTATCTAACTAGCCACGCAAAAGACATCCAAAACCTTAAACTATCTTGACGCTTATATTACTGCGCCATACTTTGGGTTCTTCGTGTTCGCCTGGATTTATCTTCGACATGTCTTGAACCTCAAGTTCCTCTGGGCTGTCCTTACGGAGTTCCGGACTGTCGGACCGTTCGAGCTGAATTGGGAAACCCAGCAGTATAAGTGTTGGATCAGTCAGTACATCACCTTCGCCTTACTCGCGAGTCTTCAAGCTGTGAACCTCTTCTGGTTGTTCTTGATCCTTCGTATCTTGAAGACCTACCTCTTTAGCAACATCAAGAAAGACGAGAGGAGCGAGGATGAGGACGAAGAGGAGGAAGAAGAGATCGCCCAGTCAATTAACAGCGCTGCCACCCTCGCCACAGGCACCGAGCCATCATCCCTGACAGCACGCGCTGCCAACGTGGAGAAGCGAGCGCCCCAAGTTATGGTCAACGGACAACCGGTCAAGCGGTAAAATCCGACTTCCCCACCCAAGCAAAGGGCCTTGAATTGGCATTCCCCTAGATTATCCTCGCTACACCTCGGATCATTTTCCCGTGCAACGAGAAAGGAATACTTCATTTCCTCTCATATAGTGGCCGTCCCACAGCCACTACATGAAACCCTTTTCTATTTAGAGTTTATTGCATGTGCTCACGACCCTTCGTGTCTCTGCGCACACACACATTCTTCTTGTACCACCTTTGGTTTGTCTCGCCTTGAAGACATATTTGAATGGATATAGCGATGATTCATGAAGAAGTAGTCATGGCGGAGTAGCTACAGTTCACTGTTCTTAATACTAATGTTAATGCAAAGCCCGCACTGACCTTGAGTCGGAGAGATACTGGTTTCTAACGATTCTCCCCATCTTGTGCAAGACAGTAACTTCACAGTACGCTCAGAACTCATTCTTCCAGTCCACGACCGCATATGACAAGACAACAGTACAAACATTCCCTTGCGCTGTTGCTCAATGCTCATCTGCCTTGTGCTCGTGATGTCCCTTCTCCTTCTGGCCAGTCTGATAGATATAATATATCGCGGGTATCGACACTCCGATGGATGTGACGGCCCTATGCCAAATTAATATTAGCTACGTGTTGCGCAACACCCAAGCGTAAACTGAAGTGGGACTGACCAGGGCAAATCGCTGCTCTTCTTCACCTCGTGAGTAGCAGCATAGGTCCGTCGTGCGAATTGCTGCGAGGGGTTCCTGCCGAGGCTTGCGACGCTTCTGGCAGATGTGCGCATCAAAGTAGGACGTGCGAGGAGCATGGCGATAGTATGCTGTAGGAACTTGCGAATGAATTGAGATGCGGCTGGTGTGTTTATGATGGAGGAAGCGTAAACTGCAGTGGAACACTCGTTTATTGACGAGAAACACGAGAGATGAGAGACAATTGGAAAGGAGGCGCTCATGCCCCTACTTCTCTAGCCTGCATGGATCCCTTGCGTCACACAATAATGCGGGGAAATCCCTAGGAGTATGACTTTAGGTCTTGGCTATCGTCAAGTAGTTAGAGAGTGACCAGTCCTTGGTAATGACGCGAGCGGGTAAGCGATATACAGGAAGCAGCATAAGTGTCTTGGGATTTATCGATCGATCCAAGCTGATACTAAATGACTTACATTGACCCACTATGATCTATACAGGGCAGCAAGCTCCTCTGTACCTAATTGGACCTAATGGCGTCCCGTAGGAGCTCAGCTTCCGCCTCAGGCAGCCATTCACATCGTCCCGCTCGGAGCTGTTCAGCGTCTCTTTGACAACAACACGCGAATCTTCCTTCTTTTTCCTTCTTTCAAAGCTTCTTCGGCCTCAAAACCCGTCTCTTGAAACAGGACATACGACAAGCCTTTCTCAAGCTCACTCTCTTCTCTTTCCACCATCCCACCTTCAACCGTTGTACACTTGACCTGAGCGGGGTTACCTTCGAGATGGCGGACCGACAAGCAGTACAGCAAAATATCAATAACCTGCTATCGAAGCTGGACGATGCCGATCCAGATATGAGATACATGTCTTTGAATGACTTATATGGAGTTCTCAGCGGTCCTAACACCAACTTCCTGCCACATGATCAATACCTATCGACCAAACTCGCCGAAGGCCTACTAAAGGCTCTGGATGACCAGCATGGTGACGTCCAGAATCAAGCCTTAAAATGGTGAGGGCGTCAGATCCAATGCGCATTTCCCAGCTAACGGTAGAACTTCCGTCTCAGCCTCGGTCCTCTTGTTGTCCGATTGCCTCTCGACAGCCTTCGATTGCTCCTAGAGAAACTGTCAAACCTCACTACTTCCCAGACGATCGACACATCGGTCCCAAATACCGCTTTACGAGTCATAGTCACAGCTCTCCCACGGCCTCAGCGTGGCCAAGTACCGGAATCCGATGTCAACATGGCGTACTCTGCTGTTTCAACCGTTCTGATCCCACGCCTGATCGGTCCCGGCCCCTCGACCTCGCAACGGAGAGGCTCAGTCACAAAAGGAATGCTGGATAAAGATCCCGCGAAAGGTTTTAGCAGTGATGCTATTGATGTTGTGGTCCAAGTGGCCTCGTGTTTTGGCACACTTTTGAAAGAAGAGGAGTTGACGGCGCTCGAAAAGGCAGTAATGTCCATTATTGATAACGATACAGCTGGTACTGTGGTCACGAAACGGGCATTGGCTGCTATCTCTGCCCTGGTTCTTCACTTCTCGGACAGTCAGCTCGCCACGTTCGTCTCCGAACTTGTAGAGCGGTTCAAATCTCCCCAGCTTAGCACCGTTCATCGTCGACACTTGGTTGCTACCGTTGGAAGCTTAGCAAGAACGGTTCCGGGCAAACTCGGCCCTCATCTTCCTATCCTCGCGCCTTTCATCTTTTCAGCCGTGGGTGAAGAGGGTTTAGAAGTAAGCCCAAATCCCTTGTCCTTATGTGATCCCCCCTCATGACTAATGTGCACGCTAGGAGTTAATACCACGCGCTCGACGCTCCTAGCCGCCTAGGATCCAGCTATCACTAGAAAGTGATCCAGCTCGAAAATGTCTACGGAAGGCGGGATCCGATGTAATTTGAATTCTTTTGTCTAGATCTATCTCATCACGCTGGGCGCGCTTATGATAGAACAGCAAATCGTGGAGTCTATTCCCAAGCACTGATGCTCAATGATCTCTTGAAGTAATTTTTGCGAAGAAGGCTTTGAGCTTTAATGGGACTGCTCTGTATCCCACTGGGCATAGTTCGAGGCGCCACGCGGAGGTTGTCTGGTAGCATTGCACTCTTCCGCCGGTTGTCGTCCCTCGGCCGTGGCTGCCAAATATCAAGCCGTCACAGCCGCGATTGCCTTTCGCAGCAAGCTACCTAGGTACTCATCGTTCTTTCCTTTGGGGCCATAGGAAAGCTCCCAGCCATGTCGGAGCTCCTCTGTTCTCTTCCCTCCCCATCATCCTTCTTTGTCCTACCTCCGGTGTACACATTACGGATTCATCTCATATCTTATATCATTTCTGCCAAAACCTTTACCAGACCATAGAGCTCTCAAGATGTTCGTGCCTTATCTTTTGGTTGCTTCGAGTCTACAGCTTTCGATTGGTGTCTTCGGACGCAACATCATCAACCTTCATCCAGAGTACGATACAACCAACGTCCTCCACAAGCTTCAGGGTCCTGGCATTTCCCAGAATCTACTGGATCGTGACTTTGGCGGTGCGAGATGTGGCTCAGGCTTTGGTCGCTGCTCCAACGGCAATTGCTGCTCTACTGCAGGTATTTGTGCTAGATCCTTCCTCGTTCTGAACTGCAGGACTAACCATCCGCAGGATACTGTGGAAACACAACGAGTCACTGTCGTTCTCCAGACTGTCAGATCGACTATGGCCATTGCGATGCACACGCCACCCCAGGGGGCCCGTCAACGGAGGGGATTGCTCGCCCCAAGCTTGGGAGCGCTCTGTACGGTCCAGCCGAGATTCGCCATTGCACTACCCCCCGAACCGCTGCTTTGACCTACGATGATGGTCCCAACCAGTACACTGGCGACCTTCTCGACCTCTTGGATAAATACGGAGCGAAAGTCACCTTCTTCGTCACCGGGAACAACAATGGCAAAGGTCAGATTGATAGCCCTGATGTACCATGGGCGCCTCTCATCCAGAGAATGGTGGTCAGCGGACATCAGGTAGCGAGTCATACCTGGTCTCATCAGGACCTCAACAAGATCTCCCAAGTCCAGCGTCGAACTCAGCTTCTGTGGAATGAAGTGGCACTTCGGAATATTCTTGGCTATTTCCCCACCTACATGCGTCCCCCTTATTCGAGCTGCACCACGGATACCGGCTGCTTGAATGACATGGGAGATCTCGGGTACCATGTCATTCTCTACGACATCGATACCGAAGACTACAGCCATGACAGCCCAAACACCATTCAGCGCTCTAAAGAGATATTCGATGAGAACCTCAATCAAAACAAGGGCAAGGACCAATCCTGGCTTGTCATCGCCCATGATGTACATGAGCAGACTGTCCACAACCTCACCGAGCATATGCTGAAGAAGCTGTCCGCCGATGGATTCCGTGCTGTGACTGTTGGAGAGTGCCTCGGCGATCCCATCGAGAAGTGGTACCGCAGGGACGACCAGTATAAAGCCCCCCGCAAGGGCAAGCCCCTACCTGCTCCAGAGAATATCACAGCTGATGGGAAGTGTGGTGGAAAGGTTTCCTGCATTGGATCTGCATTTGGTGTATGCTGCAGTGGAACAGGTTTCTGCGGGAACTCGACTGAATTTTGCGGAGCTGGCTGCCAGGCAAACGCTGGTTACTGCGAGAGCGACTTCGACGGTAGCCAACATATAGGACCTGGGATAGTCGGCTCAGATCCGCTCGGCGATAGCATCACATCTGGCAAGAAGTATGTCAAGTCGGATGCCACCTCGACCTCACGAAATGTTTCCTTGATGTTTGCTTTTGTATTCTTATTCACCTCGACACTGCTGTGATCAATCACTGCCCGCCCCTTCAACATTATTCTATTCCCGATTTCTAGTCCTGTTAGTTCGCGACGGATTCTGTTTAGGTGCCTTTCCGGCAGCAAAAGAAGAACCCCGGTCGATTGAGTCATCGGCGTCTATGCAGTTCACAAAAGCTTATGAGTTATGTGCTAGGCCTGCGTTACTGTCGTTAGTTCTTATGAGCTCAACGTGTAGGTAGAAAATGGGAACTTTATGGTTTGTCTGATTGTTATTGCACTTTCTGTGTCAAAGACGGCAACGTTGGCTTTTCTCTCGCCTAGGTTCAATCAGCTTGGATGACTAGAAGCAACAATATCTGAAGTGACGATATCTTAATGCGAAGAAAGGGAGGACAAAAACATTGTAGCCCTAAGTGAACGCCGTTGCTCCTTCGCCATGTATCATGAGTCGTGTCAGTTAGCAAATGCGCCACATCACCTTGACTTGCATATAAAAGTTGCATCAGCAAAGTAAAGTATACACCTGAAGAGCAGCATGGTATCAAGGAAAAAAAACATAGCCCCCCAGAAATCAGATCACTCAATAGCATCAAAAGCAAAGCTCTGGATCACCCAGCAGGTAGCACATCATTAACACACGAAGTAAAGTGTTAAAGAAGGAGTAGAGAAAGACTCTGTCACGAGTTCACCGCTTGATGATCTTCAACAGCGGCGCAATCCTCGCTCTCTTGCTCAGCCCAACCCGATAGGGAACCTTGCAGGTCGAAGAGATAGGGCTATGCTTTCCAGGTCCCTTCCCAGACGGTGTTTTGGGATCGGTGGTGGGCATTGAAGGTGTTTCGGGAGGCTGGGCTAGTTCGTTATTGGAGACGTCTTTCGTCGGAGTGGTTGAGGGTTGGAGGACTTGGGGTTCGTTATTGGAGGTATCGTCTTCGGGGATGGGATCTGGGTTTGAGATGTCGGGGTTTTGAGGCCGCCGCGTGCTGTTGCTGAGAACAACTGAAACCCCGGCCTTCTGGTGGGTGTCTTCTAGCTCTTCCTGGTTGCTGGCTTTCTCGAGATAAATCGTGGGGTCGGCTTGCGGCCCAGCTTTCGCCTCCTGGTCTAGCTGCTCGGTTGTCTTCTTCCTCTTCCTGCCGCGCTTTTTAGGGGCCGGTGTTGGGGCTACTTCAGCTTGTTCTGGGTTTGGTCGGTCTTCGCGACCCGTAGGAACAATGGGTCTTTCGTCTATCCAGATCACGTCGTCTTCAACGTCCGATTCGAATGCTTTAGTGAGAGTAACCGATGTTATCTTGCCGCGTTTCAATTTCTTCCTGCCAGGCTCCTTTGCGAGTTTTGGAGGCGGTTGCATATCCTGTTCCAGGCTGTTCTCGTCGAGTGATATGGTCTGGAAATCTCCCGAGCGCGAAGCAGGTAGGGCCTGAGGAGAAACGTTGTCATACGTGGCTGAATCTTCAGACGGTGCCTGTAGCGTAGCGGCGATTGTTGTATCTCCAGATAGATGGCTCGGTGCATAGGAACGCTCAGCCGGCACCGGGTTCGCGCTCTTGACGTTTGCGTTCTTAGAGGGTCTACCCGGTTTGCGCTTCTCAGGTTTATTTGGTGTAGCTTCGCGAAGCGCAGTATGGAAGAGCTCATCGTCTTCATCGTTCAGAGGGAGAGCTTGCTTCTTCTTGCGCCCTCTCTTCTCAATCTTCGGTATCTGGATGGTTGCAGGTAGCGCCAGCTCATTGATGCTGGGTGTCGGCAGGATTGTATTCGGCACAAGGCTATCACTCTTCACCCTGGCAGTCTTGGGAGAGATTACCGATGAGAACGGTTCGGTATCATGCGGAGACGAAGCCGCTCCCTGCATGGAGGTCCATCGCCGTAGCTCGAAATTCAGCACAGGTTCGGGCTGCGTAATGGCACCCGAGTCGCGGAGGAAATCAGCTCGGTTCAGTTGATTGGATGGGGTTTGGTTAGAAGACTCGAAGATATTGTAAGAGGGTGCCGATTGCGACCAGTCGTCACTGGGGGCTGTGCCGTGGATCTCCACGCGGGGAATTGAGTCGTGTGCCGGCGTTTCTGGAGGGCGCTTGGTGGAGAAAGCCTGGTTACGTGCCATGTATTCTTGGTTGGCATTCTCTCCATACGGAGCATTTGACTCTGACTCGTGAAATTCAGCCGGTGAATTGGCGGGCTCGTACTGGACCTGGTGGTCATCGTCAAAGAGCCGTTGTTGGGCAAGGCCAATCTCCATCATGGTTCCTGAAAAGGTCCAAATATATTAGCGGTCATTCTAACCAGTTGTAATGTCTACTCAGCGTCATCCATTGCAAGACATCGAGAGATCAAACCGAAGCTTACCCATTGACCCAGTCCGACCCTCAACTGGTATCCATCTCTCTTCTCTCCGCTGCTGGGCAGGAGATACGTTTGTTTGCGGAGCGTCCTGTGATTGAAGAAATTGATCAAAATTTACCCCGATATGTGAATCATGATCCACTTCATGCTGAGCTCGGAGACTCTCTGCACCGCGGGGTCCAACATGATTAGTTATAGAAACGCGGGTCGGTTTTTCTGGGGAAGGCTCCTCGTCATCGTCGGAGTCCTGGATCACACGGTCGAAAAGCATTGCAAGATACCAGAGAGCAATAGAGGTAAATATGCTCTAAGGTCAAGTATGAAGGTGAAACTGCGCCATTTACGGGGTTACCAGTCTCGAACGCGGAGCTTTCGTTACTTCGTAGGCAAGCAGCGAAAACGACGCGTGTTCACGTGCTGATAAGATCCTTATCTCAGCGCCCTGAAGTTCAGGCAGCAATGAACTTATATACAAAAAGGAATCAAGCCGCGGGTATTTCCTACTCCATAGTGCTCTGTGGCCGCAAGACGCCTCTTCCAAAAAACTCGCTGACAATACCAAACCGATCCTTGGACCTTTGAAGCTCTGCCTTGAAGAGATCATGTTGGTCTGCTGACTCGACCTGTCTCCTTCGGATAGCCTTGATGGTTGAATGTTCCGGAGCGCAGACGGGACATTCAGCGTCTTCATCGACCTTGTTGAGACAGCGTTGATGGAAGGAATGTTTGCAGAGGAAATGAACTGTGGGAAGATCAAGTGGCCTGTTGCATGATATACAACGGCGTGCCTGGAACACAACAGGTTTCGTTCCAAGTTGTTCGAGCTCCTGCATTTTGGTCTCGGTCTCAGTGGTATAGCTCGATATTAATCGGCGGTTCTAAAGGTATCAGTAAGCTTCACCTAATTGAGCCCTTGGGTATGGAGACTTACAGAAGATATCTCCTTGCGTTCTCGTTCGATGTTGTCGCTCAGGTACTTTTTGACCCTACCCATGGTCACAACTGCATTGTTGCTGAGCGCTTGAATCACCTGAAGTGGCGACATTAGTCCATCCTCGGAGATTCGCTTCAAAACAGCATCAAGTTCGTCCCCAGCCTCCGCAAGTATCTTTGGACTTGATGCAAAATAGGTCAGGGCATCTACGTAGAGTTGTGGCTCCTCGGGTCCGTATTTTTTCAGCGCCCGAATAGCGCCTTGCGTGTCCTTTGCGGCAGTAAAGGACCGAAAGATATCCGAACGGAGGCCAGCTTGCTCACGGACAAGCGTGGAGCCTTCCTGAAATTCGGAAAGGTCAGAAAGAAGCAAAACGCTCGACGTCGATATCGGAATCTGAAAATGTCAATCGCTTGATTGCACACACTGAGGAGGTTGAGTCCTTACATCTTTTCCCTCAATTAGCTTTTTCGCCTTACTCTGCCACTGTTCCTTCTCAGTAGTATCTTTCTGACGCCCCGCTGCATTCAAATACATCTCGAACAATGTAGTGTAGAGATCCACCTTGTCTTCTTGTTTGAAACCCTCCTTGCTGATAAGCGCCTCTAAGAAAGTAATAAACTCTTGTGGATGGCCCACAAATGCGGAGAACGCCGTTCGTGGCTTGGGAACCCGATAATCTGGGATGCGTTGTTCCCTCTCCTCCAAGGCTGGCTTGGCCTCAACCCTTTCAACATTTGCATTGCCAGCATGCAATAAAGGCAATGGAAGGAAAGCGGCCAAATTTTGTAAAGGATTGTTGCTTTGCGCTTGAGGCTCGGTTGGGGATTCAACTTGTTGAGTCCGTGGTTCGTATTCTCCTTTGTAGTACGCAATGAAAAGCTCAGTTGTTGTTGAAGGGCAATTCGCAAGAAGAACTCGGGAGTACTTCATGAGATTGCTGTAGGCCTGCCATTTGTTAGTTGCTGCCAAACTTCGCGTGGCGCTGTATACGCACCAATTCAGGTTCCAGCCTCCAGATGTACTCTAGGGCTTCAGCATATTTTTTCGAGTCCTCAATCAGAATGTCCACGACCATGTCGTTTTCGCCATATTTCGTAGCTAGGTAAGCAGCTTGCTCGTAGTAGCCACCTTGCCGGCACATGGCAATAGCTGTTTCCAGGTCAAACTTGAGTTCCCCCGGGGCCTTTATGAAAGCATCCAGTTTCTTGGTGTCTTTTAATTTAGCGTAGCAGTTGAGAAGTAGCGTAGTGTGGTCGACCGAAGCCCGGTCGTGGTCATGTAACTCCTCAAGGTACTCTATTAAGTTATGAATCCGCTGTGTATCGAGGTACTGTTCTGGAATTAGCGTGACGTACGTCGCGAGATTCCGCACAAGCACATACTTTCCGAATAACCTGCGAGGGCTCCGTATTATCAATAGCTCTAAGGTATTGCTGCATAGCTGTGTCGTAGTCTCCTTTTTGGTATAAGAAATCTCCATACTTGCGGTAGATCGCGTTTTGCTGGAATTTATCGACGCCGAGTTTCTGAGCCAGGTTAATAGCCAAGATGTAAAGATTGCGCTGATAGAGAATTTCGAGTTTCTGCTGGAGACTCTTCTCTCTATACCGATAAATCTAAGCAGAATTAGCGATAACCACCAAAGAAACATGCAACATGTATACCTTTCCATCTGTGGTAAGAAGATATAAGTTGCCCCATTCCTTGAAAATCTGTCTTACAGGCGTCACAAGAGACTCTGTATGGGCGATGAACTTGAGGTCGGTGTCTAGGAGCGTGAAAGTCGTTGTGCTAAATAACTCGTCTTTGCCGAGGCCGAGAGTTTGCAATGCGCCCGACGCCGTGGTGCCACCTCTGGGAGGGCAAACCAGCGCGACATAATCACGGAACACATTGATAGAGCTTTTGGGGCTCTCAAAGGCGTAACTCTGACCCCGGCCATGAGGACCATACGTATAAATCGCATCCTCTCGAGCGACAAGAACGTCGCCATTGTCCCTGTCCAAGGTCATACATCCAACACCACAGCCTGTATCTTCCAGCACTCGTGCCGGCTGTCCCTGCCCTCGCCCGGAAATCACAAGCGCGCGTATTCGGTTTGTGGTAGAGATATAGAGTGTTGTCACCGGCCCACTCTGTACCTCAAGCCCCGTCACGGGTTCCTCTGACTCGAATACGATTCGTTGCCGTGCGCCGCGGTCGTGTATCAAGTCGCCGCGAATGATAGCCACAGAGCCATTCCCGAAGCCGACTGCTACTTGGGACAGATCGCCAAGGGTCGCAAACGCGGTTACCTATAAGGAAATGCTCTCAGTCGGCGCCAAATTACCCCCCTGTCAGAAGCGACATACCGGAAACATTCTCCTCGCATTCTGCACAGACGTCGTAGACAAGCAGCGTGGGGCCCCGGTCTTTCTTTCTGGTTTATCCAGAGCCCACACCTTTAATACCGGCTCATTCAAGAGGTCCTCCGCTATCGTCACGAGAAGCGACGTTCCTTCCAGCTGCCTTATGTGTGTAACCGACCCATTATCTGACGCCTTGAATGACTGGACGATCTTAAAGGATGAGGAAACGGTGTGGACGAAGCCGTCGGTAGTGCCAAGGAAAAGGTTCGCAGATCCAGAGCATAGACAGGAAGTCTCAGACTAGAGCTTATGTTAAGATTGGCCAACGGCGGAGGGGCGAGAATCGTACGTTGAAGAGGGAGGAGCTGTCTTCAGGGAGCCTGACCAGGGACACGTCGAAGAAGTTGAACGCTTTCCACTGATAGAGGATAGGTTAGCATTGGTAGAAAATACATAAGCAGCATCATGCTCGTACTGATGTCAGAGCCATTTTGACGTGGCTCACGCCATGGGTGGGAGAGAAATTGAGGAGATGTTCGAACAGGCGCCTGTGGTTGCGGAGATGTTATCGCGCCCCCCCGGCCAGGTAAAGCTCCACTGCCGCGCCAAGATCTAAAGCTTAGGCCAACCGGGGGTCAACGTCATGCAAGCAAGTAGTACTGACAATGAACAGTTCATGGAGCTTCAAAGTGATTTATTTAAAAGATATTCTAGGTGTACATGGGAGGATAAAAAAATCAGGAGACTGCCCGGTTAACCAATCGCTATGCTATCATGTCATGCAACTGCGCGGCGGCATTTAGTAGGTGACTTCTTGGAGGGAACCGTCTAACTTGGGGCAAAAAAGCGCAGAGTTGGACAATTCCCATTGAAAAGTCAGCTTGGAAAACTGACTTCTCGGAGAGGACCGTCTAATTGCAACGAAGATCGCTCGCAACGCCATACATATACGCTTCTACATAAAAATCAAGAGCGCTCCGCTGATCCGATTTCAGTGCAAGATATTAGGAGGATGAGTTTGAGGTGGTTTAGCAGTCTTGCAGTGGGCAATATCCTTATTAATCTCAAAGCTCTGCTGTAGCCAGCTTCCGGCTTCCGCGATAGCCTGGCTGAGGTTAAAGCTGTCTGCGCCTTGACCTTCTTGAGCTGTGGGTGGCGTTGTGCCCGTCAGAGTCATCGGAAGCGCGCTGTGCTGCGATCTAAAGGGTGAATCTGGCGCATCATGGGGTAGCGGCTCGAAAACGCTTGCGATGTGCTCTTTATCATGATCTGACTGCTCGGCTGATGATACGGATGGTGATATTGCGAAGCTTGGTGTTTTCCTCTTCTTCGATGCCGACCTGTCCTTTCCAGAGGACAGGAGCCGATGATCTGTCTTCTTTTTTTCTGTACTAAATGTGAAAGGCGTTGCAGCATCGATCATATACTGGGTACTCATCATTTGTGAGGCACCGGTTCTCGGGGCGCTACGCGGGTTCCCGATATCCTGAGCGGGCGTATTCAGTCTGTGGAACGGTGTAATGTTGATTTGGTTCGGAGATTCGTTGTTTGAGCCCTGGGATGCCCGTCGCTTCCTTTTCGACAAGACGGGACTTTGTTCAGGACTTCTAAGATCATTCTGGAAAGATTTCTGAGCCATCAAAACAGCCGCCTGGGTTGAAAACTGATGATCGTTATTGTGATCCTCCGTGCGGGTTGAGGTGCCTTTAGATATCGCAATCGAGTAAAGAGATGTTAGATTGTCAGGAATGGGTGGATTTTCAGGTGCAGGTTGGGCGGACGGAAGGTTGTTCTCGCTGGTGGTACCGCTCTTCAATTCTCCAGCCAGTTCTTTCTCAAGATGCGACGATCGAGGGTCCTCATCCGTATACGTGGCATTTGTCACAGATTTGGATACTTCTGTATCATGTTGATCCATAGTTTTTTCTGTGCTACGCATCGAAGGTAACTTCGCAGGCGAGCTTTTGGGGATATCCGGTTGTAGTTTGTCGAGGACAGCAGCGGAACTTTCGCTTGTGCCATCTTTGCTGGGTTTAGAGTTTATTTGGTCGGTTCGGCTGTGTGGCTTTAATCGGTACTCGAATTTTGGTAGTTGAGATGAGGATGAAACCACGCGAAGCGACATGTCTTCGATGTTGGATTGTGTGCTTCCCTTTCGCTTCCTCGGGCCACCTGACTGTTGTTTTTCATTCGGAGATGTACCACACAGCCCTGTCTGGGTGACAAGGCTTGGTTCTGAGGGTATATACTTTGGCCGGCTGCCTTTCGATGACCTGGCTTTTTCATAGGCCGCAGTCTCTGATCTACCAAGGGACTGAGTAGCACACCTTGGTTTAACTTGTCGAGCTGAGACACTTGTTGTAGGCGAAGTCGGAGGGTCAATATTCTGGAATCGAAGTGAGACTTTGTCCTTCTTTAACCACTTTGAATCTGAGGGTTTCACTCGTGTAAAATGGGGAGAGCCGTGAACCTCGGCGCCTAGGTCTGGCACCCGATCCCTTGATTTAGTTGCGAGCGCAGTTTCGCGGATACGGCCAGGGCGAGATGACGCTGATGGAGTCGCCGATGATCGTGCATGGCTGGAAGTTATTGGGCTCTGATAGAGCTTCCGTTTTCTGGAGTTCGTCTCTGGTATGACCGGTGGGTCGGCATCGGCGCCGCCAATCTGGCTTGCGGCAGATTTCTTCCTATCCTTCCTCCATGGATTATTCCACCCTTTATCGAGCGGGCCTCGAAGACCCGCAGAGAGAATGAAGAGCGGCTTGCCCTGGAGGTACGCCTCTCCGAGTTTCTCAATCTTTCGGCGCCGCGCCGAGCGCTGTCTCAAGTCAAGCTCATCGTCCGAACAAGCTAAGTCATAGTCACCGGCGTCAGAGGCGAGAGACGAGCATGTTTCCAGTGCGAGGGGCGAAGGTAGACGACGAGGTGGCATCTGTGAGAGGTGGGGTCATGAATCGGCGTCAATGTTTACCGTGCTGCAGCTGCAGCAGGGCACTAAGGTCAAGTCGAGAGAATCGCAAGGGTGAAGCGCTTTGCAAGGGAGTCTTCATATCTTCAGGGTCAGATGTATCCAAAATGTTCTCTGTGCGTCACAGTCCAATCTGCGACTGTTATCTCCGAAATTTCCTCCAGTGGTCAAAGCCCCAACGTCGCGAAGCGGAAACCACTTAACGCGTCCCGCGATACCCCAGCAACGTGTTAGGCTTATGTCATACATTGCCATTACTTGAATCATGTGATATGGGTCCTATCAGGCAACCTCTGCAGGTACTAGCTTGAGCATTCATTGAAAAATGCAGATGCACAAATGAACTCCTACCAGTGTTGGCTTCCCAAAGCTGCATATTTTGTGGTATCTCTCTTGAAAAATGCGGATTCTCTGAGCCCATATTCTTCGGATAGGATTATGGCAGGCTTTAAACCAATATAGCCTGGCGTCTGATTGCAAATATACACCCGCTTCCAGCCAGTAGTGTCAGAAGAGCAAGCCTCTCTACCTCATTCCAAGATTTACGTTCGATGCCTTTCCACATCCGACCAGGTATTCAGTGTCCCCTACATATGCTAAAACCTTCAACTGAGCATGTAAGTAGCACCTTGGATATCCACTCTCTGAACCAATGCTTCGTTATCAGGACGAATTGGCGTTGCTTCACCTCTCTGATGCTGGCTGTTGATCACGGCCATGAGAAAGGCGTGGAGGTGCTCAATCAAAAAGACGCAGACATCCACCACCAACAAAAGAGGTAGGACAGCCCTACTGTTCGCCGCAGATATGCGCAATCCAGCTGCTGCGAAGCCCCTTTTGGATAGCGGAGCAAGATTCAGCCACACTGCACAAAACGGCCAGACGGCACTGATGTTCGCCTGCAGAAGAGGCGCGACACAACTCGCCGAGCTCTTAACTCAAGCTGGTTGTGATGCCAGGCTTCGGGATTCATTTGGGAAGAATACCCAGGAGTATATCGATAATTTGCTCTCGCCTGGAGAGTTGCGGGCCTTGACTGCCAACGCGATTGCTTGCTAACGGTCTTTTGCATTAATCTCTCCCTCTCTCTACTGTCTGGGTTTGTGTTGTCTGGTGAGTTTATTTAGAGATCATGTTTTTTACTCCATGTTGTCCAAGTATTATTTCGTACCTCTGAAAATATCGAAAAAGAAAGCAGGCGTGAATTCAAGAACATCTACCTCTAGATGATATTTCTATCTAATGAAGAACCCTTATCATAACTTCCAGTATTAAAATATTTATCTTGTTATTCTCTATTGTAGTATACCTCACCAGTTACTAAATATAGCAGAGAGGTGATATGTGAGAGGTACGGGGCGTTTTTTTTAACGTCTTTAAAAATATGTCTGAAGAGCATTACCCAGATGATGAGATGAGCATAAGAATATACCACGCAGGTACTGAATCTTTAACAGTGTCCTTACTAAGAAACAACAAGCCTACAGTAACTATGTCATCATGATTCCAATAATAATAATATTCCATCCTTTCAGAAGTTCTCGCAGACGCGCAACTGAAACAAATACTCATTGAACCTGTTTCTGATCTGTGGAGCCCGTATCTCTGTACGTTGGGATCTAGACCTCCTTACATCGGGGAAAATCAACGACACCCCCGGTTATTCAGGGGAGAGATCCATTCTCCTTACATGATGTCTCGGAGCGAGCAAATTGCCGCGCTGATGATTCCCGTCCGATCGAGCCCGATATGAGCTGGCTACGTATCTGGTGGCTCGTGTTTTGAGAGGGCTAGACTTTGTGGTTGTTGTTGTTGTTTGAGATGGTGACCGCAGCTCCCAAGAAAAAGAAAAGGTAGTTGCAGTGAAATGAAGCCTCATGCATACACTAGGGCTTGGAGATATACATACCTTGATGTACATGCACTGTACTTCTCTGAGTGGACATGGGGCGCTGTTGCTGCGTGCGTGATGCAGGGAGTTGTTTTGCCTCAAGAGCCGAGATGCTGCGCCTGCCAGTAAGGGGTAACCTCCAAGCCAGTGCTGGAGGCAGGACAATGGAGATGAAGCTCTGTTTGGGGTGAAATTGTTGGGTAGAGCTACAGCAATGAACGTGCATCTATCTTGTGCAGCTACAGGGCTAGTCCGAGTAGGACGAGGGAGGAAAACAAGCGGTGGCTGACAGCTGGATGTACCGTGGAAGCGTTGGGGGTTGCCCCGAGCACCCGAACCAGACTCCAGGCCTGTGGCTGCAAGCTACCATCATCACAACAAGAATACTTCTGCTTGGCTCCCCCTCCATCACATTAGGATGCCCTGAATTCGATTTTTACTAGACGTATTGTCTGTTATTACCTTTGCTTTATTGCTATATATCTGTTTTACTCCTGCAGCCTTTATTTCCTGGGGCCGCAGCTCCATGTTTTCCCTGCATCTGTTAATTTCCGCAGTGTCTGGATTCACTGTGGCTTTGTGATTGACCCGCGCTGAGCTGGTTTCAGCACCTGCGCAATTCCCTCTTATACTAAGACAATGGGCACCCCGCCATGGCTGGACAGCCTTTCAGATGACTGGGTATCGTTGCCAGGGACTCCCTCCAGCCCTGCCCCCCGGTCACTTATCAACAACCACTCCCGCCGTTCCAGTGTACAGAATACTCCTAGTCGCATTCCTGTTCCCGCGCGTCGCCCCGTTGATCTCTCTCCATCTTCAGATCCTAAGAAAAAGGTTACGCGACCCTGCCACTTTCATAAACGAGAGCCGCCCACCCCCAAGACCCCACGTTCCCCGAAAACACCCTCCAAGTTGCGATCGCCCGTACCGGACAAGTCGAAAAAGAGTCCAATGCCGAACCCGCCTTCTGGGCGCAGAGCCGGCCCGTCTGCGATGGATGGGAGGTCACCTCTGCGGTCGGTTTCCAACGCGTCGAGCCAGCCGGGAGAACAAAGCACTGTCCAAATACGGCCGAAGAAGGATAGTAGGAAGGATGGTACACCGGAATGGCGGAGGAGGTTGGTGAACGGCGAGATACCTTCAGGTGATCAACGCGATTTGTTTGCACCGATTGGCTTGGAAAGCGTGTTCAAGCCTCCTTCCCCAGGTTCGCCCTTAGCTGGAAGCACACCAATTCCGAGAATGAAGCAGCCAGACGACGGGTGGAACTTTAGCATCAATTCCGGGACGGAAAACAAGGGCAAATCCCCGGGACGCATATATACGAGCAGTCGTGGAAGTGACCGCAAGACATCTGGAAAGACAACATCTGCGCGGAACTCGCGTCCCAGTCTAGGACGCGCCAAAGACACAACAAAACCACAGGACGATGAGCGGGAGCTAAAGCGACAAAAACCGAAACAACCGTCCTATGCGACGAAACCCCAGACTGAGTCCCAAGACGACGCGCAGATGCGTTCCGCCAGCGGATTGGAGGATTTACGGAACGAGGACATTACTCCCATTACCTTCTCACAAACAAATACAGTTGATGGGAATGGCACGGCAGAAATCATCAAGTCCGCGCTGAAGCAGGTCACATCCAAACTTGAGCGACTCCACTTGGCGCCAGACGATCGTCCGGATTCCAGAGCGAGCGATAGCGTATTATTTGGGCAAACAGGTGGCATCGCGTCCGACGGCGAGCCTGAAGATGACTTGGTGGACGTGACGAGCAACTCCCTTCCTCAGGATCTTTCTATGGGGACATTGGACTACCGGGGGCGGAGTGCCTTTGCGAGCCTGCAAGGGGAGGAGCCCTTTCTCGATGAGCGCTCCTTCCATAAAGATCGCTTTTCTCCCACGGCCTTCCCAGCCCACCGGCTCTCTCCTTTCGCGCGTCCCAGCTTGCGAATTCGAAGCTCCCCGCCATTCTACACTAAGACCAACGCGCGGACTGACCCCCCAACACTCCCACGACCTTCTTCCGCCCACGTTGGAACCTCGGACAGTAAAGCTGAAGCTATGTTATCGTCAGGAAGCCCACTGAAGCTCTTTTCGACACATGACACATTCACGAACAATAGACTCCTTCGACGGATGAGCCAGTTCGAGGAGACGCTTGGCGACGAATCGGAGGAGGATGGACCAGTCTCGCCGTCGGAGGAAGCCCGGCGTAAAGGCGAAAACCGAAGTCTTTCGAATCCGAAATCGGATCACCGGGGCGAACGTTTTGCCCGAAGGCAGGGTCGGCCAAGAACTGACGAATCGCGGACACCTCATATCAATCGCTTCGGCGAGGGTCAATTGGATAACTTTGACTTCTCCGACGCCAGCCCTTACGACGGGAATTTTCTTCATACCGATTCTCCGGACCCTAATCTTGCTCCACCGGGTCAGTTGCTATCTGCTAAGGGCAAATACCAGGGGCGATATAGGCAGACTAGTGGTGACTCTGCAACGTTTTATAACTTGACGTTTGGGCAAAATGGCGCAGGAAGCCACAATTTAAGTGCAACAGAGAAGCGAGAGGGTAAGCTGAAGCTGAATCCTACTCCGGGGAGCCCTGTAAAGGACCCGACTCCGAAAAGACGGAGAACCATCATGAAGCCCCGCGGCTCCTTTTTGGGGGTTTCCGACTTGGAGGACAGTGCCGCAACTGATGATTTGTCTTTGCTCCAACGAAGTTTGATGCAACATGGCCTAAAATATGATAGCAACGAAGCTGCCATCCTTTCTGAATCTGGTCCCCGCCCTCGGACCCCGACTCCTCACCAGACTGGCTCGTTTGAAAAGAAACAGGCCTCCCCAAATAGACGAACCCAACAGCTCGGCCCTAATGACGACGAAGTTGCTAGCTCCCCAGCATCTCAAGCCGTGCCAAATGTGATTGGACGCCCAGCAACTGAAGAGGTTCGCAAAGGATCTATCACTACTCAAGACTTCTTGAATGAAGCAACCAAAGTCATGAACCTCATACGATCCAAAGGCACAGCAAAGAGTAGCCTGTCACGGGTAGACGAGTCTGATGTGGAGCAGGATGGCGATTTTGGGAGCTATGAAGAGGAGTCAACACTGGAAGAGTTTTCGCGGCCGCCTAGTAGGGAAGGGATTGACCTGCGCAAATACCGAGAACCCAAGGAGCAGAACCCGCGTATTCTGAGCCATTTGAAGAAATTCCAGGAAAATGACGAGTTGGAATTTGGGCCCAACGGCTCCGTGATGGGTCTACATCTCAGAGAGAACAGCAATGAATCTCAGAGATCTGACTCTGGGAATTGGGCACGAGGCCTTCATTCAGAGCATCGAAAGCGCAAGCTTCCCGCGCCACCATCAACCCAAGAAGATGACCTCTATGACTTTTTGCGTCTTGACACTGCAGGTTCCGCAACAAGCTTTAGCGCTCGCTCATTTCCTACTGGTTCCTCACAGGGTTCTCATGCCAAGGGTGTACTATCTTCCGATATTGTCTCTCACTTGATTCCAGAGCAGGTGAATGGGCTCACTTACGATCGCCTAAAGCATCAGTGGGTCAAGGAAAACGATAAGCAGCCTCGTGCAAATCAGAGGGGTAAAGATGGTGACGACGATCCATTCAAAGATATTCCTGACCTCAGCGTCGACGAGCTAGAAGAGATGATGAGGACACAAAGCTCAGGTTCTCATTCACAGAAAGCCAAGCCGAGTCAACCTGAAAGGAGTGGTAGTCCCCAGGACAAGGCATTAAACCCTGCTGCCGAAACAGCACCTGCTGCCCCCTCTGTCAACCTCAGCTCTGTTCAATCTGGTATCAGCCAATCGACGTCTAGTCAGCCGATTTCGGGAACAAGAGAGACTTCATGGGGAACGGATGTTCCCAAAAGCCGAACGTCTTCAACTGACGTTGAACACGAGATCAAAGTTCATGAAGGCCGCTTGTCAAAAACCCCTCATCACCTGAGAGAAGCTAATCACCAAGCACGAGTCGTAACCATCAGCTTCTCATCCCCGCTTGTTTCCCAGATTGAGTACAGCGATGATGACAGCCCTTCCAAGCTTCGCAGAGTCGCAATTACCTCGCAAGCGCAAGCCGTTGCTGCCGAGCATTCCAAGCAACAACCGTCCGAATATGAGCAAGCTTTCCGACGGCGCTCAATTTCAAAAATTGATGAAGGATGTGAGGACACAGTTGAAGAACAGAGCTTAATGCGAAGAAGCGGGGCTCTCCAGCCTACTGCAGCTGAAGGCGGTATCGATGAACCACTAGCCTACCTCCAGAATACAGGTCTGGACACAAGCTATAGTTTCCATCTTAGCCCACTTGCCGATTTCACAGTGGATCAGATCGACCAGCCATTACATTTCGATGCGAGTTATGTTGCTCAACGCACACACCCAACATCCTTGCGTCAGGTGCATGGGACATTTGCGCTAGCGACAGAAGACCTCGTCAAGCACATCACAGAAGCCGAACCCTATGAACCTTATTGGGAACACCTTCGCCGCTTGGTTTTGCGCCGTAAGGGCCTTATCACTCTTCACAAACTCAGCGAATTCTGTCCTCGTCTCGAAGAGCTAGACGTTTCAGAGAACGATATCGGCCAGTTGAGTGGAGTTCCACCCACTTTGAGGAATCTGAGTGCCGTGAATAATTGCCTTTCAAGTCTCACTGCATGGACCCATCTGGTTAACTTACAGTACCTTGACATCTCGGGAAATGAGCTGGATAATCTAGATGGAGTGAGCGAGCTTATTCACCTCAGGGAACTAAGAGCAGACGACAACAATATCCAAAACATTGAGGGTGTCTTTGGATTAAATGGTCTACTGACACTGACGATCAGGAATAACCGCCTGAAGTCTGTCGATTTTGAAACAGCGGAATTGTAAGTGATGCCCTTGTTAGTCGCGTGGCAGTACGGCCACGGTCGAGCCCTTCGGATTGCCTTTTCTAGTCTTCCTCATCAGGAGTATACCCTTGATACAGCTACTGACATCTTGTCCACCACAGAATTCGCCTTGGCGAATTGGATATGAGTCAAAATGAGCTGGTGTCCGTCCGAAGTATTCAAAATCTCCCAGCACTCGCTCAGTTGGATCTGACATCCAATAAACTCGAAAAACTCACTTGCTCTTCGCCCCTCGATATGCTGCGGGGGCTGAAACTCTCAAACAATCGTTTGCGGCATCTGGATATCGAGTGTTTCCCATCACTGACACTTCTCTACGCGGACCAGAATTGTTTGTCCACTATTGCCGGGATCAGCCATACGCGGGACTTGGAGGTGCTGTCTGCACGGGAGCAATTGATTTCAAACGAGCGCAACGGCGGCTTCTTCGAATTAGACTTGGGTACAGTCAAGGATATCAGAAAGGTGTACCTTTCCTCGAACAAGCTCTCGGCACAAACTATCTCACCATCTACACCTCTTTTGAGCCTTCAGCTCCTTGACCTTGCATCTTGCCGTCTAGAATCTCTGCCAGACGACTTTGCTCTCAAATTTCCTAACCTCAAGGTGCTCAATCTTAACTTCAATTCCCTCTTGGGAGTCAACGAGTTGCTTGGCATGAGCTGTCTCTCGCGATTGGCTATCGCGGGTAACTCTATCTCGAGGCTCAGACGACTTTGCCAGGTTCTGAGTCGAGTTGGACGTACCAACAAGTCGAAAACTTGCACACTCCAGAAAGTCGACATTAGAGGGAACCCCCTGACGGTCAGGTTCTACCCCCCGCCAATTACAGGGAATGGGAAACAGCCTACACGGAAACTGACGTCGAACGCAAGAACGTCTTTCGGAAACCATGGAGTTGATCTGGATCTTCCTCTTATGAGGCAACTCGACCGTGAAGGCCAGCTGGTTCCAATAGGAGCAGAAGATGGTGCGGAGAGAGACCCCGAAATCAACGACCCCTACACTCTTCCTCTCGCGGATCCACTGCTGGATCAAAAGCACCTGTCCCGTCTGGACCAAGGGACAAGGCTGAAACGCCGGGTCTTTGAGCTCATGCTTTATGCGGGAACTGGAGGCGCATTGAAATACCTCGATGGACTGGAGTTCCGACCAGTCCTGGAGCCAGGCTCCGATATGAATCAGGCTTGGGCTCGACTTGAACAGCTCGGTGTTCTCAAGAAGAAGGTGATCGCTGGCTGATCCCCTTTGTCTTGTTTCATCGCAACACACTGGCTTGCGATATCCTCTCCGCATTGGATATGTGAGCTTGATTTTTTTACTCTTCTCTTTCTCTTCTTTTTAAAATATGTTTGAAGTATTCTGGAGGCTGGGTCATTGGGTGCAGCGTTGTGCGTTTAGCGAAATTAGATCAACCACACTTGGGAGTTTGGGCATTGATATCCGTGAGTCTCTTGGCGTCGCCCGGGATTTAGGTGCATGGGTACATAGCGAGCTGTTCTTTTAACTACTTGATCCACGTCTTCTAGCAGCAATTGCATTCTGAATTTCTTTTCTGCCTCTTCAATCGTTCTTTTACAAATGCGAAGTGTATGTGGGATAGTTCCTCTCATCTCATTGCATGCCTGTATATGGGACAGCTATGTTCGAGCTGAACGATAAAAGTAGCATCCTTTACATATCTACCCTTGGGCTAAAACTCCGTCTCAAGCTTCGACAACTCATTCCCAAACTGACCCCTTACCCATTCCATGTACGTCTTCCACTTGTGCACATCCGCAGATCCCTCTCCCACAGGGAAAGCCTTGCTTAACTCTTGCGTGATCTTGAGAACACCCATTGATGCCTCGTGCGCCTTCTCAAGCTCCTGCTTCACAGCATTATCCTTTGGCTTAAAGGATAGAACAGCAGTGTAGCGCTCCGAGAGGGCGTCTAGCTGGCGGCGGGTTTCTTCGGGGGCGAGGGTGATGAGTTTGGAGGTCATGAGGTTGCAGATTATGCGGATGTCTTGCTCGTCGTCGAGGCCGGCTAAGATGCGGTTATAGATTTCAGAGAGATGTGATAGAGAGAAGGATGTGTCGAGGGCGGCGTAGATAGTTTCGTAGGCGCTCTTTAGAGGGAGTTGTTAGTAAATTCTGTTAAATGGAAGAGAAAATTGGTGTTTCACGTACCTTACGAAGCTCAAGGCCGTCGTCGACTTTGTGCTTGAAAGGGCCCATTTGGACTTCCCTGATGAGTTCGGGTTTGATTTGGGTGTCGCCGAGGACGGCGGGGAGGAGTTCGCTAAGATGAGGGAGGATGAGACCCATTTTGTTGTGGATTGCGGAGTTGAGCGTGGTTAGAGCGAGGCGGTGGTTGCCCAAGTCGCGATCGCTGAGCATGTTGACTAAAAGAGGCACGATGAGGGGTCTAAGAACATCGTTGTAGGTATCGCGGGAGTCGGATAGAGTGTAGCGGAATGCAGAGATCACAACACTGCGGATGCTCACGTCTTGACTAGAGAGATAATCCTATAAGATTGAAAGAATCAGCGAGGAGACATAGGAAGCAGTGGGAGAAATTTGACTAACTTGGAAGTGTGGGATATAGGCAGCTGGGTCAACCAGTGCCAAGCGCCCAACACATTCAGCTCCCACAGCACGGTTGTCTTCCTCTTTGGAGACAACAAGTAGAGCCTGCCAGAGCTTCGCAGCGGACGGAGCTACATCTGGCCGTATCAAGTCGGGGTGCTGAAGCAATTCCTTTACCGAGTGCAGGAGAAGGTAACTCTGACCTTGGGGTTTCTCTAGGCCACCTAGAATGGTAGGCAAATAAGCCTTGACATTGCCGGCAGCCGCATTTCCTAGTGCAGTAGCTGCCGCCAAGCGTACCTTTTCAAATTTAGAGCTGAAGTGCGGGATAAACACGTCGGGATTCAGGGGGCTGCTGGTGCCCATACGGAGCCCGGATTCACCTAGAATAGCGAGGGCAAGACACTTGCGCTGAGGATCGTCCACTGTTTGCAGCTCGGAGAGGAAATCCTCCATGCGGACACCCAGCTTCGTACCTCCATGAACCAGAAGTGTGCCGATGGCCCGTCCAACAACGGATGTGTCGCCGTTGACACCGACATCTCTCAAAAGCTTTTGCATCAGAGCAGAGCCGCTATTCTCTTCCCCAATCACTCTCACGAGAAGCAAGAGTGCCTTGAGAACAGTTCCTGCGAGGGTATTCAGGACAATGGAGCAAATAGAGGCCACTAAGCTATCGTCGACTAGAAGCTGCGCATTTCCAGGAATGAGTTTTGCGAGAATGATGAGCGACGGGGCCAACAGGTGGAAGTCTTCAACAGTGATGAGAGGGAGAAGACATTCTTCCAGGTTTTTCATGGTTGCACCATCGTAATGAGCTCTTGAGTTGGGATTCATGGAGAGGCTACGAAGAGTTTCCAAGCTGGCACTTCGAAGAACTCGGTCTGACTTGCGGAGTTGCGCTCCAAGCTCCGCAGTCACCTCACGGACCCAAGCGGAGTCGATATCCTCCTTTCGAGAACACAAAACAGCCACATCGTCAACAGCACGAATAGCAGATAGCCGTGTAGTCTCGTTCTTCAGGCGGTCTAGCAGAGTAGCAAGACCCTTCGTCCGAAGCTGTATTGAGAGGAAGGCTGGGCCTTGTTCGCCTGACGATCGCGCGATAAGAACACCCAGGACGTGAATGGCCCGTTGTCGAACTTCGAGGTCCGCGCTTGTATCAGTGATGCGGCTGTAAATAACATCGTAAAGCTTCTCCAACTGGGATGTCAGGTCTTGCGAAGCAGCAGGTACACGTGGTGGAGTAAGTGCTTTAACAATTTGCTCCACGGCTGAGAGCGCCTCACTGCTCACTTTATAGTTCCTATCATTGACCGCGCCGATAACACCGGGAATTAATGCAATCAAGAAAGGTAGAAGAGCATCAGAGGCGTGTGTTTCAGCAACCGCAGCAATTAGACTGAGGGCTTCGATCTGCAGAGTACCCGCGCTCGCCGAAGCTCCAACAGGCGCCGACGAGCCAGTAGCCAAGGTCGATTTGAGCACATCCGCAATTGGGTCTTCGATTTGTTGAAGATGATCTGCAAGGCCGCCGTAGCGAACGAGGGCCAAGCTCTTTAGGAGAACAATAATGGCTTGTTTTAGAGGAATAGAAGCTTGCTTCCACATTTTGACTAGACTCCGGACAATCACGGGTAGAGCGTTGGCAAGCTCCGACTGGGCGCCGGTCTTTGGTGAAGATGGGGCAGCCAAAGGAGTGCCTGCTGCAGACGAGGTGCCCATGCTTGGCTCAAAGTCGATCATACTGGCATCGCTGTCCTGACGTCTCCTCTTTCTCGAGTTCTTGGACCCGCTTCCGACCGATTCCAAAAACCCGTTGGAAGTAGCTATCATTGAACCTTCCCCGGTTTTACGTACTAGGGCGTCTAGAGTAGAGACCAGCTCAAGCTTGACGCTTTCTTCCCTCTCTTTGTTGAAGCGAGTGACGATAGCAGGCGCTATCTGCTGATACAAGGAAGCATCATCCAAGGCACGGCCTCGTCCGTACGTTGAAATGACGGTGTACAGGAGCTTGGCTGCGCATCGGCGGACCTTCCAACTCATATCGTCTATATCGCTGTAGCCACCTTCCTCCTCAAAATCCTCGAATTCGTCGTCGTCCATTTCAGGCTCCTCCGTCGCGTCATCCTCCGACCCGTCGTCCTGTGTACCGCTCATTTCCTCGTCTTCCTCCAACTCGGCCACATTTGGATCGTACTTGAGGCATCTCAGAGCAGAACTGATGGTGTTTGATAGATATGGTTGCATCTGCGTGCTGCATGAACTGATGAGCGCCTCCAACGTCACCAAGGCGGTTTCTTGAAGTTCGTCTGCCTGAGGATCATGTTCGTCCTCTTGGGAGTAGTCCGACATCGCGTCTGAAGACATTTGAAGCTTCGAGAAGGGATTCGAGTAAGGTTGTTGTCAGATTGAATCGAGCTTCGGCAGGGACGGGGAGAAAGTGAGGGGAGCTGTAGAAGAAGAGAGCCTGGGCTTGTGGAGCTTCAAATGAGTTCCATAAAGTGGTGCCGCCGCTGGACAGCCCAAGCTGTCGGGAGTGAGCCCCGCACTAGTCCAAATATGTCGCGGATCAAAACCAGCCGACAATCCGGTCTTGGCATCAAAAAGACGAAAGCTCAAAGAAAAGCAAGAGGGAGATCACTGTTGGAGGAAATCAAAAAGGTCCAGAGACTGAGTCGATTCGTTTCGAGACTGTTTCGCCGCTAGAAGGGCTTGCAGTCCTCCCTGTTTCCTTGCCTTTGCTCGCTTTTTACTACTCGCGTTGTTGACCGTCTTACTGGCAGAGACTTGGCTTGAGAGGGTTGTAGCCGTGTTAGTAGTGAGAGGCTGTGAATCAACTGTCACTGAAGGAGGAACTCTGGAAGGGGTACGAGTTGGGGTAACTGTTCTTCGATGACACCGGAGACACTTGTAGATGGCCGCCCCGTTGGGAGTTGCCGTAGAAGATGCTTGCTTCCGAGACTTCTTCCTGATAGTTGCTGTTTTTGTCCATTCCTTATTCCGATGGCTACCGCAAGCGCCGCAGAAAGTGTCGTGGAGTCGCTGGTTGAGTGGTTTGAGCTCCTCGTGAAAGATTGAATTATGGACGGACATGAGATAGGCGGCGGTAGAGGGGCTCGACGAGCTCAAGGAGCTGGCAGAGTCCTTTAGAAAAGTCAAACGAGGGGCGTGTTCTTTAAAGTGCATTGTCCTTGGAGATTGCACAGATATGCGATATTTTTAAACCCTGGTTTTAGTGAATGAAAAGTTAGAGAAGAGAACTATGGGTAGGGGAAAACCAGCAGCAGCGGGTTTGGTAAAAAAAAAATGCCTGGGGGAGCAACACAGATTATTCACTACACCTCACTTGCTCACTCACTTCCATCATAACACACACAAAGTTTCTCCTCCCATCAAATTCCTTTCATCCGAACCTTCTCTAATAACCAACCTCTTTTCTGCTACATCTTTTCTTACCTATCCATCGCATTGAAGAACCTCTTGCTCAGCTGGCCTACAAGGCCTCACTTTGCTACCTGATATTTCGATATCATCCACTCAGTCTCTTCGATGAGTGCGACGGGGATTGCAATGTCTGATTCAGGTTCCCAGTCTTTTCGGGTCGCTGTCGAAGGCTGTGTAAGTTCCAACTTTGCACTTCCGAGTTAGTAGTTCTGCTGTCCCTCCTTTCTGACTTGGCAACTGTCATACAGGGCCACGGGCGTCTCCATGATATCTACGCCTCTGTCGAACATGCTGCCACCTTGAAGGGCTGGGGCGGAGTTGATCTGCTGATCATTGGAGGAGACTTTCAGGTTAGCACAGGGCTCCTTTGGCCTTCCCTTCCAGATCTATATGATCATACCTGACCACGACTTAGGCTATTCGCAACAGCAACGACTTGGCTTGCATGTCTGTGCCGCTGAGGTACAGGGAAATCGGCGATTTCCACGAGTACTATAGTGGACAGCGCACCGCCCCTTATCTTACCATCTTCATCGGTGGGAACCATGAGGCTAGCAACTACATGTTCGAACTCTACTACGGCGGCTGGGTTGCTCCCAACATCTACTACATGGGTGCTGCAAATGTCCTTCGCTGCGGTCCACTCCGTATTGCTGCCCTGTCTGGTATTTTCAAGGGCTACAACTACAGAACGTCTCACTATGAGAGACTCCCGTACAACGAAGAGGAGATCAAGAGCATCTACCACGTTCGGGAATTGGACGTCCGCAAGCTCCTTCAAGTCCGCACCCAGGTTGATGTGGGATTATCGCATGACTGGCCCCACAAAATTGAATACTGTGGCGATTGGAATCAGCTTTTTCAAAAGAAACGGGGATTCAGGGAAGATTCAGAAAGCGGAAAACTTGGCAGCCAGGCAGCACGTTACGTTCTTGACCGCTTACGTCCTGCATACTGGTTCTCTGCACATCTGCATGTTAAGTTTGCCGCCTGTCTCCAGCATCCAACTCCAGAGACTGAACACCATTTCGGTTTAGATGGTGCCGGTCCCTCTCTTACCGCTATTCCGGGAAAAATGCTTGACATGCTTGTTGGAGAGGAAGAGCAACAACACACTGCGCCTGAAGACGAAGAGAGCAGAAAGCAATCTGTACCCGCCAAAGACACCTCTCAGCCAACTTTGTCCCAACCCGCAAATGAGGATGCCCCTATTCTCACTACGCAATCTGAAGCCGCTGCCGCGCCGTCACAGAACACGTTTGAGAACATTCCTGACAGGTTGGCAGCGTGGCAGAACTTTGGTGATATCGCGGCGAAGAATGAAGCTGCTGAGAATGATCGCTTCTTTGCTGAGCAGGGAAAAAATCCACCCAGCCCAACTCCTGATGTTAAGCATAACCTTACATGGCGCAAGGTAGACTCCGATGAGGATGGAGTCGGTCGAAAAGTTGCATCCGTTGAGAGAAATGGTGCCCCTCACGAGAAAAAGCAAAAGACCAAGCACCATGACCGGGTCAAGAACGCGGACGAAATTGATTTGGACCTTGGTAGTGACTCCGACCTGGGCGGAGAATCTTCCACTGCAAAGCGTCCCATGGCCGAAAGTACGTACAACACAAAACCTGGAGCTTCCACTCAATCCGATGTTTCGGAAGACCTGCGGAAGCAGCTTCCAAGCAGCTTTGCAGCTCCTCCTCAGCCGCAACCCCGACCTGTACCTGTTCACGCTCCCTTCCCCGCAGCGATCAAGAACGCAACCACAAACTTCCTCGCTCTAGACAAGTGTGGACCCAGAGGCGAGTTCCTTCAGCTTCTAGAGATAAACCCCGTATCCGACACAACCGGTGCTCAAACAGAGCGCCCATTTCGTCTGCAATATGACAGAGAGTGGCTCGCCATCACTCGTGTGTTTGCCGCTGACCTTCAACTTGGAAATCCCAGTGCAAGGCCGCCATCAGACCGGGGCGACGCCGTCTACAGACCTTTAATTGAGAAGGAGGAAGCTTGGGTTGAGGAGAACATTGTCAGAGCCGGAAAATTGGACGTACCAGAGAACTTCATCATAACTGCCCCGATATACAACCCTGCGGTGCCAATAACCGTAGAAGAGCAGTCTAGAGAGTACACCAACCCCCAGACTGCGGCATTCTGCGATCTCATCAATATCACGAACAAGTTTCACCTGTCAGAGAAAGAGCGCGATGCACGCATCGCTGCTGGGCCTCGCCCATGCGAAAACTCGGGCTGGAGCCGTCCTAGACGTGGCGGATATGGTGGCCGCGGTCGTGATGGCGGCGGACGCGGTCGCGGTCGCGGTCGCGGCTATGGACGCGGAGGATATGGCACTCGTGGACGTCATTAGGATAAAAGCTTCGTGAGGTTACTCGATGATCTTCTAACATGGGCAGGAGATAGGATGTCTTGATATGTTCAATTTCATAGCTGAAAGGCACATGATGGATGGATTTCCTGCGTACGATGTCCCTTTTCTTCGTTTACTTGTACTTGGGTGCACATGAAGATGAGCTGCCTCTTTTGTTTCTCACCTTGTGTTTCTCAATCTAAGTTGATCCTTAGAGATTCTTCACCCTTTTGTCAATGACTTGAACTGAGACATGACAGCCTAATAATTCATACAAATGGGAAATAATGTGGAATGCACAGTTGGTACTTGGTTCGGGGCCATAAAACAACTCGGCTGTAAGTCAAGTAGTAGCTATCTACCTCTATTCAATCTCCTCAATCCTCGGCCTACCGGAACCACCCTTCCCAGACAACGGATCAATGCTCAACCCAGCAATGCGATCCCCAAGCTCCAACCGTGGCTCATCTACAGGCCGATGTCCAACTCCCCAAAAGATCGCCTTTTCGACCCAAGCTTCCAAGCTCTCTGTCAACACGCGGATGTGGCCCCGGACAATACTGTCCATCTCGCGGGCTTCTACGGCGCCCAGCGTCCGCAGCATGTGTGGGATATTGCCGATATTCGAGGATTCACTGGTCCCTGCGGTGGAACCACCGAAACCACGGGATGAGTCGTCCGCTAGAGTGAACCCGAACCCGAGATTTTGGTTTCTGCGGGACTCCCGCGCCTTGTCGAGGGCTCTCAAGATATCGAGGAGGAGTACAGCGCTGGCGCGTCGAAGGATAGCGGATTCGTCGTCGGGTTCTAAGGTTAGTGTTGCGAGGGCGAGGTCTACGGCCGAGGAGAGGATCAAAGGTCCAAGTCCCAAGATGTTTGTTTGGACGGCTGTTGCAAGAATAGAGAGTGCGGATGCTCGGACACGGAGATCATCTGGTTCCTCATCGCGCGATGATCCGGCCGCCCAGGCGGCAATAATGTTTGCGGAGTGAGTTGCTTGCTCTGGGGTTTCGGAATCAGAGCCCTCATCGTCAATGAGTTCTTTGAGGATCTTCGATGTCTGCGGGGATGAAAATTCCCAGCCCGCTGGCGCGTTGTTCTTGTTCTGGCGGTCCTCGCGCTCTTTTCTCCGCCTCTCATTTTCTATGGCTTGTTTGCGGCTTTTCTGGGCCTGTGGCTTTTGTGCTCGTCTTCCTGCTACGGCTATCAGGCCATCTCCTAGGCTCTTGGCTGTTTCTCCTGCTAGGGCTTCGCCGAGGTCCTGTACGGTGCGGATGAGAGCTTCTCCAATTTTGAGTCTCTGATCAAGGGTGGCATTTTCACTTCGATCGATGTATCGGTCGATTAGGGTTTTTACGACCGTGCGTGGATGTTTTGAGGCTAATGTGCCTATGAGTTTTATGGCGTTCAGATAAATGAACTCGTCATTTGCAGCCGATTCGGAGGAGTCGTTGATGACGGACAGGAGGAGAGTAAGAGTTGATGGTATATCGAGAATCGGTGATGACTTTTTGATCAAATCTGACAGAAGCGAGAATCCCTCTGCTTGGACTGGCGGAAGCTCAGAGTTGAGGTTCGTCAAGGCGCGGCGATGTATCTCAAAATCTGGGGCTTCAGCGGATTTCCCCTTGGATCCAGTAAATTCAGGAGACGTGATCTGGATCTCAAGGAGCATAGATGCGGTGGTTCCAGATTTCGATAGTGAGGTTGGTAGATGTGGGAGAAGTCGATCAAGCTTTCCTTTGATATCTTCTAGCAGGCCACTGGTTTCATTCGACATGGAGAACTCAGGGGATGCGAGGATTGTAGAGAGCAAACTGAAGACAACTTGGATTGACTCCGTAGAGTCATGTTCAGCTGCCTCACTCGGCTCATCTTGCTGCGAAGAGACAATGTTGGCTAACGATGATAAAGATACGTTCCGCGAATCTCGATTCCTCGCTGCATTGATCTGGGCATCTGATCTTCCCAATTCGCCGTCGATGATGTGCTTTACCAGCTCAAGCACCTTAAGAGGTTTTCGCGAAAGTGTGTCTTTGAAGTTATCCAGAAGCGACTCCGCTAATTTGGCACTAATGACCTTTCGCAAAATGCTATCGGACTCGCCGATATCTGGAGCCAGTTCAAGTTTATCCGTTGTACGACCTGCGCTTGAAGGCTGGGCAAGCCAGGTTTCGCTCACGTAAAGGAACGCCTCTCCTGTCTGCTCATCGCGGCTAGGGTCTGCATCTAGCAAGCTCATAAATACCTTGGTCCGAACTTGTAGAGCATCAAGGAGTCCCACTAAATTTGTCTCCGGTTCGCTTGTGGCGCGCTTCTTGAGAATAATTTCGTTCTTCGAATTGGTGGCAAATGTAAAGACTGGGCCACCATCCCATAGAAGATCGTCGATTAGCTTCTTCAGTGGAGGAAAGCCCACAGATATACCAAAGTACGTCTGGAGTACAGCGATGATATCGTCATGGAGCACAGTCTGTTGCTGCTGAATACTGAAACACGCCAAACCCCAAAGGGGAAGGAGGATAGGGTATACAACTCTTTTGACCAGCCCGGGGTTCGGCGGTTGCAGGACCAACGTTTTCACTCTGTTGATCACGAGTAATACCTCAGATCCAGTGGCTAATACCTGGTCTGACCTTGGTTTCTGCGCTTCTTGTGCCGGTACCATGTAAGCTCGATGCTGTTTATCGAGTGTCCCCGTTAGGGTTTGGAAGACCGGCTCCAAGAATATTGAATGGCCAACAGTCCCTGGTGCTCCGTAAGCTCTTTTGCCAAGTATTCCGTTGCCAACTATGTATGCGGCAGCCTTTCGCAGATCCGGGTCCTCGCCATCAATCAAAGCTAGTAACTGTGGACCAATGACCTTAAAGTAGTCCTCGGCGATCATGTCCTGGGGAACGGAGGAAAGCAGGCGTGAGGCATGCATTATTGCGTTGACTGTAATAGGTGGACCACCTGATGCTTGAGCTTGCGCCTCTTGGCCAAGTGATGGCGCGAACTGCGAGGCAAGAAAGACAATAGTCTGTAGCACACCACCAGGACGCAAAGGGACCTTTGATAATAAACCGGTCACGATGGACTTGAACCATGTGGTAGGATTCGCTTGAAGAAAAGCAGACAAGATCGGTAGTAACTCTGCGCTGGACGTGCTGCTGAAGGGTCAGGGATTTGAATGGACGATACAGGAGAAAGTATCATACTCTTCAATTACTTTTGCCAGCGTTTGACGATACTGATCTTGATTATTGTGAGGTGGAAGCTTCGGGTTGTAACCTAGGTCTGATAATGAACTTATTAGATCGCTCAGTATCCGACCCCGTACAACAGGCTGGATGCTTGGCCGGCTATCCAATATAATTTCAGACAGCGTTGCCAGAATCCGACGAAGCAGGAGGGCATTCTGTGGCTCTTCAGAAACGGGAATCTGTTGCTGTGCAATGACTCCTGCTGGTAAAACAGATATGACACGCTGTTGAAGAGGAATTCCAACCCCGCAGGAAAGCGAAGGGTAGATCCCTTCTAGAGAGATCAAATCCAACAGCGCGTGAAGGATGCGGCGACGTCTTGCATCCTCTAGATTTGGGTCTTCATGGTTGTTGCCAACGCCGGATCTCTGGTCTGTATCGCTTACTGGGATCACAAATGCTACATGGATCTGGCGAAGCAGGTCCAATGCTTTGCTAACGACGCTCCCTCTGGCAGATGCTTCGTCGGTTGACTCGAGTTCACCTTGATTCAAGATCTCTATTAGCGACTTGCCACGAGATTTTTGCAGTTCATCTTGAGTCTCTCGTTAGCGAAAGTTTCGGCTTCATTATATTGCATCTAATACATGCCTCGTTGAAGAATTGGGCCCAGAAAGTGGCCTGCACCGGCAAAGGCCTCTTTGACCGTTAACGGTTCGCCCATGGCGATTTAATTGCTATTCTGATCAAGCCCCGAAGTCTGCACATCCCCATCATAGCAAAGCTTTCAGCCTACTTTCATGAGAATAGTTGCGATGAAGCTTGACGCAAGGCCGATTCATAATCATCGCCGCTTAACCCGTTCTGAGCAGCGCAAGAACAAAAGTCCGACACATGATATTTCTGCCTGAGGCATGAAGTCAATTCTCTGGCCCCAATGCCAGGCTGAATAGTTTGGAGAGATAGTGACTCTTTTTGCATGTTGATGCTATACTTTCACCACTTTATATATCTCCCTTTGCGGACGCTGTTATACGATCAAGCTATATACATTATACAGTTGATGCCTGACCTATGTATATCATCGATTCTGTCAATGCGGGGCTGATTCAAAGGCCTTATCGGCCAGAAGCCCCCCTCCGAAAAAAAATTGCCCCGCCACAAGTCGAATGCACAGGAACATTCCGTCATACCAAAACTTTTCTTCTTACATATTTCATTCATTCTGTGCTTAAGGATTATCTCATTACTCAAGAAGACGGTTTCTGTTACTCTCGAATCTGAGCCTCAGCCGATATTTCTCGCCTGTTCGCAATCTATAGCCTCGCAAAATGTCCGCGGACGACCAGCCCACAGCGCAGGAGGAGGTTGTGGAGTCTCAATTCCAGAAACCTGGAGATCTCGTCGAGAGGGATGAAGAGACCGGTGTTATGCAAGTCGAGAGTCTGTGCATGAACTGCCATGACAACGTAAGTTTCGCGGTTGACTATGAATCGCATTGCAACAGACCGAACTAACATTTTCCTCAGGGGATCACTCGACTCCTGCTCCTCCGAGTGCCTTTTTTCCGAGACATCATCCTCGAATCGTTCGAATGTGAACACTGTCACTTCAAGGACAATTCCGTCAAGTCTGCTGGGCAGATCCAGGAAAAGGGCTCGGTATACACACTTGATGTTGAGAACGAGGACGATCTTCAGCGACAAGTCATTCGCAGCGATGTGTCAATTTTCAAGGTTGAATCTCTGGGCATTGAGATGCCCAAGGGCGAGAGCCAGCTTACTACCGTCGAAGGTGTCATTCAGAAAATTCATGAGTCATTGTCCAGCGAGCAGCCATTGCGAAAAGAGCAAGCGCCCGAGCTTCACGATGCACTCGAGCCCATCATCGGCAACCTCAAGAAGATCCTAGACCGAGAAGGATATCCCTTTACTATCTCTTTGGACGACCCAACCGGTAACTCATGGATCGCTCCTACCACACAAGATACCGGACGCAAGTATAGACGACGCGACTACGCCCGTACGCACGAACAGAACGAAGAGCTTGGAATCGCCTCTGACCCCGAGGCCGTCAAGAACGAGGGCGCTGCTGGAAACCCGGAAGATCTTGATATAGTTGATGGAAAAGTGTACAGTCTTCCCGCTGAGTGCCCTGCCTGCGCCAAGGACTGCGTCGTCAACATGCAAAAGGTGGATATCCCTTACTTCAAGGAAGTTTTCGTTTGGAGTAACGTTTGCGATCACTGCGGGTACCGCTCCAGTGATGTGAAGACCGGTGGTGAAGTCCCTGAAAAGGGAAAGCGCATCACACTCAGCGTGGAAAACGTTGTCGATCTCCACCGTGATATTCTTAAGTCCGATACCTGCGCACTGTACAGCGAGGAGCTCGAGGTTACTGTGCAGCCCGGTACCCTAGGTGGACGCTTCACCACTGTCGAGGGCCTCCTTACTGAGATCCGTGACCAGCTCAAGGGCCAAATCTACGACATCGATGACACCACGCAAAGTGGAGGTGACAGCATGGCCGTATCCGACAAGGAGAAGTGGGAGAGATTCTTCAAGCGCCTCGACTCCGCCATCGCTGGTGAACTGAAGTTCGTCGTCACGCTTGAAGACCCCATGGCCAACAGCTACGTCCAGGACCTGTGTGCGCCGGCGCCTGACCCTCAAATCAAGAGCGAGGAGTACACTCGCACAGACGAAGAGGAAGAAGAACTTGGTCTGAAAGACATGAAGGTTGAAGGCTATGAGGAGAACGCGGATGAGGAGAAGAAGGCCGAAGGAACGACCGAAAAATAAGTCATGATCCTAACTATACCCACATAGACACGCGGCTGTCTCCCTTTATGATCTTTGATTTGATGTGCTTATGATATATTGGTTTTCCTATGGCATCGGTGATCAGAACGTTGAATTGAAGCCGGGGCGAGGGTTGTATTATCTGCGATCGGGGTTCAGTATCATGTGAATACTCTGGGGTACGGATCGGAAAAGTTGAGGTTGGTTTCAGCAGTTAGAGTTCGCTCTTCATCTTTATAGGGAGTTAATCAGGTCATTTCGCATATTATTTCATCTCATATTCTTCGTCTTGGGCAAAGCTCATGAAGAGCATACCATATCATCATCTGTCCTCGCCAAGTCCGGCTCGAGTAGCCTTCATCAATGCACCGCGAGCGTTTCCTTAGCAAAAGCCCTTCTTTGTGGGAGACAGGCCAAGCTCAAAGCACGAAGGACTCCATATCTGGTGCTTACCGAGGGTGCTATGTGGCGGTAGTCTGCTGAGTAGCGATGATCTTTTTCACAGAGGTGATTCTTTCTGCGCCGTCCGAAGTCCCCAGTAGTCCGGCTATGAGGGCTTGCGCGTACAACCCAGCGCAATCGAACGGGGAGAATCTTCCAATCGTATTTGCACTTGAGGCTTCCGTTCTTCAGGCAAACGGATTCGCATGAATGGTGACCCTGTTAATTCGAAGCGCCTCGAACTCGCTCTCCTCGCCCTCCTTTGGCTGTACAACCTTCCCCTTCTTATCAACCTTGACATTCGCCTTTTCCAACTTTGTAAGAATATCCCCACCCTCGTCCTGCGCCGTCAAATTCAAGACTTTGCCGAAAACCGTACTCGTCCCATCCAGATGCGGCGCCGCAGCGAAAGTAACGAAGAACTGACTCCCATTTATGGTTGACCCTGTCGCACCCTGGGACCCGGGCGCTGTTATGTTCTTAACGGGCCTCGAAGCCATTGAGAGAATGCCGCGCGCGTTATGCCGGAGGGCTGGGAGGCTGATTTCTTGATTTAGTGCTGAGGGGTGGTATATTGAGGTTCCGCCTTTGGGGATGTCGTCGAAAGGGAGCATGGGTTTTGTGCCGCCACTAGAAGGGTCGCCTGCTGGTCCAAGGGAGATGTCGCCGCCTTGGATCATGAAGCCAGGGATTAAGCGGTGGAACGGAGTGTCGTTGTAGGCGCCGGCTGCGCAGAGCGCGATGAAGTTCTGCAGAGAAGAGATTCAAATTAGCTGATATGGTTTGAAGACGTTTAACGTGGCATTGGAAAGCGATGTATCCGTACCTCTGCAGTTTTGGGCACTGCTTCGCAGAAAAGCTCGACCTTGAGGTCTCCTTGAGATGTATGAAGCTGTAAGTTGATCTCCGTCAGCTGCTGTGGGCTGAGTGGGGTTAAATAAACTCATAATGATAAACTCACAGTGACAGACATATTCCGAATGAGGTCCCGTAGCGCGTTGAGAGAATTGTCAATCGTCGAGCTAAGTTGAGTCGATGCGGAGCGGAATTAAGCATGTCGGAGAAAAGAGCCGTGGAGAGGAGTCACATGACATCTATTATTGATATGCAATCGGGACGACCTTGAGCTTTATACATTCTTCCCACATCTTTCTCATGGTTTTAGTCCGCGTTATCTGATCAACAGAGACTTACTCAAGCTTACCATTGCAGTGCAGAGAAATCTATTTTCATTGACAGGGCTTTTTGCCGTCATATATCCGCCCCTGTTCTCTTCCAAACGAGTCGCGGCTGAACAGGATGAACAATCGGCCTGTTGACCAGGCATTGGCCACTTTACTCCCTACACATGCAAACGACATCCCACCAGAACTGCGAAATCTCGCCTTATCGTTTGTTGCACAGTCCCGGAGCTTTTCGACGAGTCTGAAGCCAGATGAAGAGATCGCTCGTCCGTTTGCTTGCGCTGAGCTAGCTTGCAAAAGGTTCGTTTCCGCACGCATCAAACGCATTTTTCTTGCAATAGAGGGATTGGACTAACTGACATCGTTGTCCTTCGCCTAGACTCGCACGCGCTCTCAAATTACCTCCGTTGCTCGGCCACCCACCATGTCCTCCACGAACCTACAAAAAGCTGTACACCCTCCTTGAACGATCCATAGCCCCAAGTATATTGAGTCCGAAACGGACAGTAAACTCTTCTGCGCCAGGAACACCATCGCGCTCCGGTTCGGCACCGACAACGCCTACTAAACAATCAGGGGTTGCGCAAACTTCATCGAAGGTCTCCGCAACTCCACGAGGGCTGGAAAATACACCGAGCAAATCTACGCCGTTGAAAAGGACATTTACAGATTTTGAAGATTCACGAACCCCGCAAAGGTCCAAAAAGATCCAGAGCGATAGCCATTTGACCTCTAGCAAAATTCCCGATGCGCCGGCATGGGTGATGGTGTCTATTCGCAAGGTCTGCAAGACCCTCTCAACCCCAGCACCGCGGATGAGCACTTGGTCCAGACCGCCAATCTCGCGGACACTCCCTCCGCACATTTTTGCCGGTGTCTCGTCGATTCTATACTTTGTCGACAACCAGGATGACTTTGACGAGGTCGCAGCAGAGTTTCTAGAGCCGGTGACATCCGCAAAAGACAGTGAGAAAGATGAAGACTTCAAGGACATCATCAACGCGCTAGTGGTAGCAGTCTACTTCCTCGTGCTCGCGCGACGACGAACACCAAGCGAAGCCTCCGACGACACCGCGCAAGAGGAAACCAGAAAGATGGATAAGAAGACCTTCTCAGAGATGCGCCAAAGTGCACTTGTAAGCCTCGGTCTCCCATCATCAGTCCGACGGCATCGTGAAGGCGTTGAACAGTGGATTGCGTTGATCATGGAGCAAAACTGGGCACATGGCAAGGAGTGGTTTGAGAATATCCCACACGCAGGGGAGTTGGACGGTGACGATGCATATCTCTCTGAGGGTGGTGACGACAATCGGCAGAAGACTTTACAAGGGGAGCGTGGTTCACTGGTCCTCAATGATACGAGGCGTGGTCTTTTGCCGGGTTTGGGGACAATGATGCAGGATCGTGTCGACTGGTTGAGCCCCGAGAATCAAGAAGATTACGAAGAGTGGAAGGCTGATATCTTGGCTCGAATTGAGCAGGTAGAGTCAACTGCGTAGGCTAACAGTTACTACGCATTCACCCCAGGAATATCTCACGAAAGAGATTTGCAGTAGAAGCTAAAGAATGATACCCTGGCCTTGCGGCCGTTGAATCTTGTCTATTGTCATATCTAAACCTCTAAATAAGACCAAGGAGCATAAATCTCTGCTTCCAGCACAAAGACACCGCCATTAAGAAAACAAAGTATAACTCTATAAATGTTCCAAAAGACTGAACGAACCATATCAACGATAGAGAAGGGGTATAATCGAGAAGCGAAAGGAAGCGAATACAGGACGAGACCTAATACCAGATACTCCGAGTCCTGTGGTGCGGAATAATTTCCTGTCCGTCTTTTTCTATCTCTTTGATCGTGTCGTAGAGGAAGAAGTCTATGAGAATCGCGTTTATCCCTTTGACTGTGCGAGAAGGTTTAGTGACACCGTCATCGCCGTTTTGGTGTTCGGAGCTTTCCTGCGAGTGGCCGTTTTGCTGGCTGTTTATTGTTGTTGCGTGGTGGCCGTTGCCGTTATGTTGTGAGGTTTCCAAGCCATTTGTATTTGTTATTGTACGTCCGGTTGAGTTTGGATATCCGGCAGCATTGGGGTTGCCAATAAAGTGCCCATTCCCGACAAGAGAGACTGGTCGACTCTTTAGCTTTGGCCGCGCAGGCGGAGCCTTGAGCTCGGGGTGTTGCTTTTCAATTTCACGGCGGATGAGCTCGACACACCATATACTGGTGGCGCGCAGTTCGATTTCCCAATTGGATCCGCTGGGAAGGTCCCTCTGCTTGCGGATGTGGGTATCCAATGGTGGAGAGTACAGCAGGCAACCTAGGTAGTGAAGCATTTGGGGGATGCGGTAATCTAGAAGACGGTTAGACGTATGTCGTAGAGCATAATCTTGGAGAGAGTTAAGTCATGCCTGCAAACATTGTAATCTTGTCGATGTCGTGGAACTCTCCGTACCCTTCTCCATTGAAGCATGCCCATATATCTGCAACTAGAATCTGAGCCCTCTTGTAAAGGCGAACTCTGCGTCCATTGAAAACAGCCTCGTCCCGGAAACATGAAAAGCTCTCCGCAAGGAGGTTCACAAGAGCGGCTGCAGAGTGATTGGCGTTGTAAATGCAGTTGGTGAAACTGCCGTCAAAGTCCTGAGGGTTTATTAGTACGGAGAGAACATAGAGGAGCTAACGCGCACATACATTGCAGAGCACTCGGCCAGCCTCTCGCAGACACTCAAGTCGCTCGTGCAGCAGAGGCATCTCCTCGTCTGTCGCAGACCGGAAAACATGCTTGATCAGCTCCTCTGTACATTCCACCTCGTCGATCCAAAACTCCGGGCTCGTAATGGGTATATCCTCATCCAACGCTCGTTGTAGTGCAGCCACCAAGCTCCAATATCCGGTCCAGTTCTTCCCACGGTATTCAATCGCAAACCGCTTCTCCTCCGTCTCCGCTGACCAGAAGCTGAAATTCAGCAAGTCCATGGTGAAGATAAAATGCATTGTGCCCTCATCCTTCGTCTTGGGGTGCAATTCATGTTCGGACCACGTGTGAGTCGAATATTCCTTCTTCTGCATCTGGCGCCATATCGTCTCGGCGGCGGCTTTGGTTTTGGCGGGATCTAGGGCGACGTCGATGGCATTATCGAAAACGTATTGCGCATTCTCGAGGACTTTTGTTTCCGCAACTCCTGGATTCGCCGCTCCTCCTCCGAGCCCCAGCGATTTGCGTAGAAGAGCTAGTAACTCAAGGTCGACCTCGTCATCAGACATGGGCGGCGAGCAGCTGGTCTGTTTCCGTGGCTCAGACCGGAAGGATAGGGCAGACGAGAGTAGGGATTGTGTTGGGAGAACAGGAGCGGAGTTTCCGACAAAGGAGAGAAATGTTGAAACTAGCTCAGGCTGAGAGATTAGGGTGCCATGCCCGTTGGTTTATCAATAATTCAAAGACTCAAAGAATGGGACCAAATATTTGGGAGATCACTTGAAGTGGCTCCGCTCCAGCAGCCCCCGACTCCCTGACAGCTGCCAGACGCCCCTGAGAAGTGGCAATGCCAGAGGCAAGTGAAGGATGCGTAATTAAAGAGCTTGGTTGCGTCTTTTCAACCTTTTTAATACACTTTCTGAAAGCTTTCTTTTCTTTTTCCATTGCATCTAAATTGTGCCTTTGGCCCACATACTAAATAACCTAAATTATGCGTGTGTGTTATGTAACCAATGCGGGCATTCTGTACTAGACCACAAGCGGAAGACGTCCCGATAAGCCTTTGGAGCCTCAGGCACGTATAGGCGATGGGATGGGATGTGACGTCTGTGTATAGGTTCTCTGTACTCAGGAACGATCAGGATTGCATGGTGAAGAGAGGGTAATCCAGCTTATAAGATAGATATATTGACAGATGTATTTCTCCAGATATTGTACTACGCGCTGATATTTTGTGTATGTTGCGCTTGAACAGGTCACCCAACAGCACAAGCACTCCGTCTGTCTTCTTAGGTAGCTTCCAGGTCCAACCCAAAAACTATAATCTGTCCCAGTTGAAGCGCAAGTGGCCTATTCACAGTAGTAATAGCTGGGCGGTAAGGGGGCGTGTGCTCTGCTGTCCAGTGTCCTCCATGCCAGTGTGTGAAGCCATGAGAGATGACGGGGGACGGAATGTTCTGACCGGATCGCAAGAATGTCCGCTTTGTAACTGTCCTCACTTGGTCTAAAGCATTTGGGCCTCTATTGGTGTCGAATCGCATTGTGACTTTAGCGTGTTATCGGTGTCGCAGCCAGATATTCTTGAGCTTCCAACGACACTGATAGCCGAGGGGGTCTTTGGAGCAACTCGGTTCGTCATTCTTTCATCTACTTTCGGAGCTTCAGACGGCGCCTCTCTCTTCCTTGCCTTCACGCCTTCACTTCAGCCGCGCCCTCTTTTTCTGTTCATTAGAACCTCATCCAAATCACACCGCTCCATCCTGTCTACTGCGATGCATTTTGCCTCTCACTGTTAACCCTGATCTTCCATCTGAGCATCGGCCTGCTTTCCGCGCCGCAATTATGACGCGGGATACTTATCTCAAGCGTTCTCTCGGCTCCATGGCCAGCCGCATCAAGGAGGTACTCGGATCCCCCAGAGCTCATTTACAGTCCCAAAAGCCTCGCTTTAGTCGATACGGGATCGAAATCCTGTGACTAACTTTCTATTCCTGCGCTTCTAGGCTCGAGTGCTTCTCGTCGGCGCCGGCGGTATCGGCTGCGAGCTGCTAAAGAACCTCCTCCTCACCGGATTTGGCGAAATACATTTAATCGACCTGGACACGATAGATCTAAGTAATCTGAATCGGCAGTTTCTTTTCAGACATGAACACATCAAGAAATCAAAGGCCCTAGTACGTTTCCGTATCCGAGTCTTCGCCGCCGCCGCCTGCCCTTCACGAGCGCGCGGGTTCCTGTGTTATAGCCATGTTTCTGTCCTTGAAGAGCGCTGACAAGGTGGACTAGGTTGCGAAAGAAGTTGCGCAAAGGTTTCAGCCGAGCGCGAAAATTACGGCGTACCATGCGAACATCAAAGACAGCCAATTCGACGTGGATTGGTTTGCGGGCTTTACTGTCGTGTTCAATGCGCTCGATAATCTTGATGCTCGGCGTCATGTCAATAGGATGTGCTTAGCCGCTGATGTACCATTGGTCGAAAGCGGAACAACGGGCTTCAACGGTCAAGTACAAGTTATTAAAAAGGTTGATACAAATCTGCAGGTCTATCCAAAGAGGCTGCTAATTTTTTGACAGAGCAAAACAGAGTGTTATGATTGCAACTCCAAAGAAGTTCCCAAGTCCTTCCCTGTGTGTACTATACGAAGCACACCGAGTCAACCCATCCATTGTATCGTCTGGGCTAAAAGCTATCTTTTACCGTACGTATCTGGAACTTTCGTATTGTTATCCATCAGCTAATCTTCGAAGTGAGCTGTTTGGAACAGGGGAAACTGATTCTGAGGAGTTTGACTACTCTGCGGATGCTGATAATGGTTCGTCGTACCCCCCGGCCCTCGACCAGATTATTCAATTAACAGAATGAGCAGCGAAGGAAATCGCGGAACTACAAAAAGAGGCTCGAGACCTCCAGGAGATTCGCAGCGCTATGGGATCTACCGAGTTTACACAAAAAGTCTTCGACAAGGTCTTCAAGGATGACATCAACCGGCTACGTGGAATGGAAGATATGTGGAAGACCCGAAAACCCCCGGAGCCACTCGATCTGCAGAAACTAGAGGAAGCGCTGGAGTCAATTGAGCCCACGGTTTCTTCAAATGACCAGGTTGTCTGGTCGCTTTCTCAGAACCTAGTTGTTTTCAAGGACAGGTATGATCTTACGCTTGCCTTTCTTTTCCGAAAATAGGCTGACATTTCTCGCAGCTTGGATCGACTGAGCAAACGGCTCAAGACACTACAAGACTCGGCAGACGGCAATTCTAGCCCGATTTTAACATTCGACAAAGATGATGTTGATACGTTGGACTTTGTCACAGCGAGTGCCAACCTGCGCGCCACGATCTTCGATATCGAGCGCAAGTCAAAGTTTGAGACCAAGCGTATGTCTTTGTGTAGTGCCTACGAGTTCAAGGGGCCTTCTGACATTTCTCTACAGAAATGGCGGGTAATATCATTCCAGCAATCGCAACTACGAACGCGATGACGGCCGGGCTCTGTGTGCTACAGTCCCTAAAAGTACTAAGAGATGATTACGAGCATGCCAAAATGGTATGGAATTCTATAATGCCGTAGTGGTATTGTGGCTAACGCTTTTATCAAATAGGTCTTCCTCGAACGCTCAGGAGCACGCGCCATCAACTCCGACTCACTAAACCCACCGAACCCGAACTGTGCCATTTGTTCCGTTACGCACATTAAAATCAAGGTTGACTTGGAGCGTGCCACACTGAATGATCTCGTCGAAGATGTCCTGCGACAGAAAATCGGTTATGGTGAGGAGTTTTCTATTAACACCGATCAAGGGACTATCTATGACCCAGATCTTGAAGACAATATTCCCAAAAAGCTATCCGATCTCGGCATCAAGCCCTCAAGTTTCATCACTGTTGTGGACGAAGATGATCAGCCGCGTGTGAACTTGCAGATCGTTGTCGTTGTACCAGAGGACTCCGGTTCACAGGAGCAATCCATCGTCCTCGACGACGTGCCTGAGATTCCGCGGAAACCAAAGGCACCCACTCCTGCCCCCGAAATCGAGCATACAAACGGCACCTCGAATCTAGGCAAGCGCAAACGTGGTGATGATGATGATGAAGCCGACATCCCGATCAATGGCGACCCCCCGACGAAGCGTGTGGCGAACGGGTCCACCGCAGATGGAGATAAATCAAACCCCATCAACTTGGACGAGAGTGTCGGAGGGGCAATTCTGATCGATGATGACTGAAAAAAAAAAAAAAAAAAAAAAAAAAACGACATCCACGATTCTCCATGAGCTGATTTGTACCCCAACCAACCTTTTGTTATCTGGCGGCATACTGAATTCAATCGGCGTCATCTCCAGCTTATCGTGCCATTTGCCTCATGTAACATAGTCTACAATACCTTTCAAGGACTCAAGACCCTATGGTAGCCTAGTAAAAGAATAAAGTCTACGGCCTACCACTTCTGATCTTTCTCTTTAAGCTTATATCGTACACATATATCGAACTGGTTCGCCACCCCAGGTCTCCCGCATATAATGCGTATTTTCAGGCTAAATCATAGGGCACTAAGTCCGCCATCTAGGTTGATCACACAGTTATTCGCGTACTCATTCTGAGCAAGGAACACAGCGGCATCAGCAACTTCTTGCGGCTGTCCAAATCGCCTGAGCGGGATTCTCTCCCCCAGTTTGTCGTTTTCGGTCTGGCTAAAATCTATTGTTCGTGGACATGTTAGTTCGCCTGTAATTCATATGCCGTCCCCTCCGTCGCGTAAAACAAAGAATGAAGCGAGAAACAGAGCATACCTGCAATCATAGGCGTCTCAATATACCCGGGCACAATCACATTAGACCTTATAACCTGGTTCTTGAGCGTCTCCGCCGCCTCAACGGTTAACGATCTCGTCAGTCCCAGAATCCCTGCCTTGGATGCGGCGTAGGGGACGGCGCCGGTGCCACCCTTTAGAGCAAGGAGGGAGGATATGTTGATGATGCATTTGGACGGTGGGGTGGTGATGAGCCCGTCGGCACCGGTACGGTTCCTCACCCGGTTCCGTATGGCGGCGCGGATGAGTGCGCGCGACGTCAGGAGGGATCCTTCAAGGTTTGTACGGAGGACCTTGGAGATGTCGCTTGGGTCTAGGCGGGGGAGAACGTTGGATGTTGAGATCCCGGCTGCGTTGACGAGGATGTCGACGGGTTTCTGAGTGAAAGGGTCAGCTTTCAGAGCGTTGCGTTCAAGGAGAGGACAACGAAGGTATACAATTGCATTTTCTAGTTCCCTCATCCAAGACGCAGCTTCAGCTACATCGCCAATAAGCAGACCAACCCGATCCGACGAGTCCATCAAAGTACCCGGCGTGAAACGGCTCGAACCCTGAACCTGATCTTCCTCTGGAGCTCGAGTAGCTACTGCATCAGAAGCTCCATCAGTCTGCTTGGTAGCGGGTACGCTTTCAGGAGCTTGGCGCTCCAATCGAGCTGCTGCACTTTGGAGACGTTCGTAGGACCGTCCAACCAAGATGACTCTGCTGACGCCCTCTTGAAGGAATCGCTCTGCGATGGCAAATCCAATCCCTGAGCTTCCACCCGTAATCATGCATGTTCGGCCGGATAGTCGGTTAGATGGGTGGAATTGGGCATTATTATAGGGTTGGTTGTAGGAGGTGAATGATCGTGAGAGAGTGGACTTGCTTGCAAGGTGGTTCGATGTGCGGTTTATAGGTGGCTGGAAGCGGAGAAAAGTACACTCTGATACCCTACATGAGGGATAGACGCACATTCGATGCATTGGCACAATATGAAGCTACCAAGATGGAGGAAGTATAGACCGGTGTGAGGGGTCTCAGCTGCGTCTCCATTCGGTTATTTGGTCTTGAGAGTTTCCTGCGCGCATAGTTAGCGTATATCTAAGCAGCAAAGAAGAAGGCTAACGCTACCCAACGGCCAATAATGATTGCGCCTATGCAAGCATGAGTACTCTGGAGTAGTGCATCTCGGAAGAGACCGAAAGTGGGCGAGGCTCTCAGCGGAGAAGCTTGAGCACAGACCACCTTCGCGGCGTCGCCGCGTTGGCAAAAGGTTTCTTTCCCAACTCTCTTCCACTATCACGCGCATCACCCGCAAAACCCCTCTTTCATCTCCTTATTAGTCCCAATCCTTCTCACCCATGTCCTCCTCCGGTCCAGCGCAATCCGAATACGTGACCCTCGTCTCGGGTGACGGGTTTGAGTTCATCATCCCACGAAGCGCAGCCTGTGTCTCTGGTACAATTCGCCGCATGCTAGATCCCTCGAGTTTGTCTCTCTCACTTATCCCTCGGGGCAGCACTGCATTTGGTACGGAATCTGACAAGAATCCCCACATACAGCCAAATTCTCCGAAGCACTATCCGGTCGCTGTGTCTTTGAAAACCTAAGTGGTGTTGTCCTCGAGAGAGTCTGCGAATACTTCTGCTACAACGATAAGAACAAGAACCAGACGAACGTGCCGGATATGGATATTCCGCCAGAGTTGTGCTTGGAGTTGTTGATGGCGGCTGATTATTTGGACACATAGAACACGGGTGTGCGTAAGTGTGGTGCTGACGGCATGGTCTATCGATTGGCAGCTGGGAGGGCTAACACGTCTACTAGGAATAACGACTTGACGGCGAAATGACCCGGTGGCATCTGGTTACGGAGTTTTATCGGTTTGCTTTTCGTGCTTTGTACTATACTACACTAGCATTCGGCGTTCCCGGGATACTGGGTATGTACACATTTCTTTTGAGATAGAGATGTTTCCTCCATTTCATAAGTCATACAGACTGCCCATATTAGTTACTTCCCCATGCGCACGTATCAGCTTTCAGGGCCGAGGGCGCTGAGGGTTGTTTGTGTTTGGCCATCTGGCATCCGCGTCCAGCCTTATCTCGTGGCTGGAGGCTCTAAAGATGATGGCAGATCAGGGCATCTCCCTTTTATTCAGCCTTGATTCATATTACAGGAATCGAGGTCTCATTCCGGGGGAGACAGGCCGCTTCTTGCTGCTGCTGTAAAGTCATGTTGAGTTACCCGTCGTCGACTTGAGCGCTGCAATCAACGTTTCTTGAACTTGTTTCGCGGCGGCCCGCGAAGCTTGTTACCGCGTGGTGCTTGCGCTTCGTAAATCTTTTCCTTTCCAAAGGCTGCATCTGCAATTCTGAGATAACTCACGACACCCTGATCGACGACAGCGAGAATGACATTTCGATATCCATTCTTTAATCGAACGTAGAGTGGCTTGTTGCCAACAGGCGGGTCCAATGGAGTACTCTCAAGCAGACAACCGATTTGGGACAAGGTGGGCATATCGGTATCGGTTCGTGCGTTGACGACTGCTATCCGAAAGTCGGGATCTGGCAGAGCGGACTTGCGAATATGTGTAGATGGTTTATAGATGTGAAGGGCAATGGCGTACGGTAGGTCTGCGCGGGATGAAGAGGCAGTAACGGGATCATAATATGGGATCAGGGCCAGCTTCCGAAAGAGGTGACCTATTAGAGATTAGCATAATCTTGGAAGATAAGAGAAGTAACATACTATAGCCGCGGTGAAATCCGAAGCCAATGACCGGCCCCAATGCCGTCGTTGACGGGGAGTCTTGAAGCCATCGGAGGAATCGAGTAAAGATGCTGACGAGGCCCGGTCCCTGTCGCTTGACTAAATGGCCAGCCTCGGACGGGCCGGCTGAGCCGGCTGTATCACTTTGACTCCATCCAGGTGCTCGAAAGACCGAGTAACCCAAGCGTCTGAGTCCCGTGTAAACGGAGAATTTTTCCATGGTGAGCCCAGAATGCCCAAGGAAAGATGCATATGCCGCCTGCAGGCTCATCGGAATTCCAGAGTCTTCAATATCATCCTCATCTCCGTCTCCTACAGCGCCGCGAGGCCATCTGATATCTAAGCTTCCGCGCTCAAGCAAATACAGCGCCTCTTCGGGAAGTAACCACACTCGATTCCAACGGTCGGCCTGCCCGATCGTTTTGAATTGTCCTCCTTTGAGATTTGTGACGTAAACACAGGTATCTGAGGATACCCCAATCGAGGTGGGGAGGGGTTTCTTGGTTTGCGCGTCTTCAGCGATTGTATCTAGTTTGGGTTCCGGAGGCGGCGCAGGCCCGTTCGGCGCGTAGACTCCAATGACTTTGTTTTTCGGATTGTGCAGACGAGGATACGAAAGCGCATTGTGCATCGCCTGCCGCGAGGCAGAGAGGATGTCGGCTTGGAAGAGGGTCGGGTTCGGTTCAAAGTCTTTTTCTCCTCGTTTCGGAAGGGAGAGGTCGTTCGTGTCTGCTAGACTGCTGAAGTTAGTATATTGATAGATAAGAACGAATTGTAGCGACTAACAAGGAGAGGCTATTAAGCATGCGGAAGTCCTGCGTCTCATCCGACAGGTCTACCTCTATATGACCCGCGTCATTTGACGGGTTGTTTATCGCAGCTTCATCCAGGTCCGCCATTCTCAATGCTGTATATCGGCTCCACGCTGATACAATAATGGACGAGTCGCGAGACCGAAGGTGTTGCGGAGGTTTCGGGGAGGGAGAGGAGAAAATGCGAGCTTGGAGCCCCGATAAAAAAAAGTTCAGATTGTTATCAGTCATGCTTCAAATCAGTTCCGCATTATTCCAACTCTCCCCAGATCTTCCCCACCATAATATTTCATCTGTAGGATTACGGAATAAAACTTTCTGGAAAAGATGGAATCCCCATCCCATACTGGAGAAAAGAGCACTATTGACTACAACCAAGTTCTTTCGCAGGTATGTGGCCTCAAGTCTTCTACAGTGTATGTCCCCTCACTCACAACCCTCACAGATCTCGACCAATCTCACCAATGCTTTGAATACATATGGACCTTCTTCCAGTCAATACCAGATGATCCGGGAAATGCTTGAGGAATACGTGAAGCTCATCAACAGAATCAGGGACCAAGGAACTCAAAATCTGGATCCTGATACCCTCAGTTTGGCCATGAGTTTCCTCGAAATTGGCAAATAGATCGATGTTGCCTACCCGGGCCTCTAAACCATAGACACTAATCGAACATACAAGTCTCCGGGTATGTTGCAATTCGATATTGAAATTATCGTTGCCTGTGACGATCCAAGTGCGGGCATATCAACGTCGCGCCAACGATAATTACTCCGCTATATGGAGGGGCTAATGTTACAACACTCGACCTCGAGAGTCCACCTTACCTGCCAGAATGGCCCTATTCATTTTTACATGGGCTCGAAGAAATAATTCAGCCTAATATTTGGAGAGAAGCTTCAAGTTCCACGTTGGAGTAGGAATAGGCACCTCAACAAAGCATCTAAGCCTCAGGCTATTTCAACTTGGCTCCCCGCCCTCCGGCAGGCCGTGTACCAGTACTTCGTAGCTACCTACACCAGCACGTTCTCTTTGTTAATATACATTGATCATCATTCTCGATCCTCAAGATGACCTCTGCGTCAGATACTACCCCTCTGCTCGCCGACGCCGACCCCCTCGGTGGTAGTGCGCAGAATGAAGAAAACATCACCACCTTCCGCCAGAAGAAAGAGCCATTCTCTCGGGCCACCGTTGTCCTCACCATTTTCTCGGCCTTCTTTTCCACCATCGCCTTTGTCTTCGACTTGATCGTCATTGCTATCGACTCGGCCGCTCCGCACGGCTACTACCTATTCTGGGGCCTACGATACCGGGTCCATCATATGTTTGGCATAGTAAGTCCTTCTGAAGGCCATTCCTCGCTCCTCCCTCCATGCCTCACCTTAAATGCAAACGAAAGCTGACAGCAATCACAGAGCATCCTAACCCTTGTCTTCTCACACCTCAACCTAGCCAGCATAAAGCACTCCCGCCGCCCACTGTGGCTCTGGGTAAATCTAATCGTCGACGCCGTAACCGTTGTTTACGTCGTTGGCACGGCGCCCGAGGCACTATCGCAGAACTTCCATCAGTCGCCGGACTCGTGGCTTCCCGACACAGGAGCCGCGAATACCACGCGCGCTGTGATTGTGCTCTTGGGGATCGGGTTGATTTCGGGTTTAGTCGTGGCGTGAGTTCCCTCCCTCTCTGACCTTGTCTTGACCTCACGGGGAATATGGTGATTAATGTGTCAGTTTCGTCCATCTGGTTCACTTCCCTATGCGCTGCTATGCTTCTTTGAAGAGTGGGTCTTGGCAGGCACCGCAGACTTGGAAGGTTCCTGGTGGAGAGTTCAAGATTGACTTTAGCATCAAGTTCCTCCGGGAGCCGAGTGAATCTCTCATCGAGCAATCGTAAGCTCACCTTCAACGCGCATTATTCTAGAGGAGGATGGTTCGGGAGGGTTTATATAGGTGTCAGACGTGTGAGGATGTCAGATGTGTATAGAGACATGACTCTATCGACAGTCATGGTATTGGAGCGCTATCCAGAAATTAGATAATACATGGTGTACGGAACAAGACACAGCTAGATACTTATGACGAAGAGAAATCCAAACCGGACACCCCGCCCCAATTTCCAAGCCTCTGGCCAGCAAAAGCACTAAATACAAAGGCTAGCGAGGAAAATAATGCAAAAAGAACTGTAAACTCCGGAATCCATGCATTCGTAAGACGTTACTGTCCTGCTTGTTCAGGCAGCAGCATTGTACGACGACAAGTAGTTTGTCTGTACGGCGTAGCCTGATAATCAGGGCGGTGATTCGGCCCATCCCTGTGGGGATCCGTATCAGTATTTTGTGCCCTGCGACTTGGAGGATATGTGGCCCCGTTAGGCTTCAGCGTTCTAGAATCTCGCAATTGGTTTCGAGAAAACTCAATCGATGAGAGGCTTCTTTTGGTTACCGACCACGGCAACTCCCAGATGACGAAGAGCGTTAGGATCGGTAGGTCGTACTATTGAGGGCAGAGGTAGTGATGGGTTATCTGGGTTGATATGGGCGGCCTCTCGTGCCGCCTGTTCAATGGCTTCCATCTCCTCTTTGCACCCGGCGTGGTCGAGCGGACAGACAACGATTGGCTGTCGGATTACAATATCTCTTGCGGACGTAAGGTGTGCCTGTAACAGTCAGGACGAAACTTTGGTAGATATTAGATATACTCACCTTGACTGTTAAGTAGTACTCAATCTTATACAGGCTTGCTGTGGTGGTGAAACCGCTGACGGCGTACGTGGGAAATCCTGGCTTTCCCCTAGGGAGAACTCCATCTGCGTCCCGCATATCTTTCGCTGGAAACACCAGGCCCATGTTTGTCAGAAACCCTGTCGGGGGCATCTTTACCCCGATGGGTTCTGTCCGTTTCGTTAGTTGTTTAATCTTTCGTTGGGGTTCATCGCCCTCGTGATTATAGATAATTTCCTCTTCGATGCAGATAGTGATCTTGTTTATCGTGACCTTTCTCGCTTTCCCCATCCAGTCAGGATTCGGTGATAACTTGACGTAGACGCTTACAGGGTCGAGAGGGCCGTATGACCACCGCGGTAAGGATATTCCCAAGGTTACCAGGTGGTCCGACACTTGTTCTGCAGACTCTGGACGGTTGTACATTCCAAATGTCGACAGTGTGTCGTACCGCGCAATAGGAACTGGGAACGCATATTTCCTCTGGTCAGAATGTCCTTGTTGTACCGTCACCACAATCTCATAGTATGTTTCGGCGGTCCGGCTGGGGAGTTGTAGGCTAGCTGGAGGAACTCGTCGAGATGCGTCTGGTCCTCCTCGTCCAAATGGAATAAACAGTACAAACGGCAGGTCCATCGATAAAACCTCTTCATATTCCCGGCCAGCTGGACAACGGAAAAGGAGCATCTCCTTGCCGACAATATCTGTAATGTCCTTTCTCGGAGGCGCTAGGCGTCTCTTTGCGACTGAATCGGCGGAAGGGTGAATTGTTTCTCGACGAACCAAAGACACTGTGACGAGGGATACGTTGACGGGCGCTGTGATACCGACACTCGGCCTGATCTCGACTTTGCCTTGAATACGTGGCTGAACCTGATGAGCGCCATCTCTCAGAAAAGTGATTTGACCTGACAAACCTACCATAGTCGCAGATATACCTGGGTAGCCCATCAAGAAGTTGCCATTAGGCGGCCCCGAAACTCGCACAAAGGCGGCCATTGTGAAAGCGCAGCTCCCGCACCACCATCGGCAGGTGGTAGGTGAGGGGAACGCGCTCCGGAGACTATGTGCGGGCTATATAAGTTCGATGACGTCGATAGACTTGAGGAGTTCATAGAGGGCTCGAGTTGTCACAAAGAGGGCGTTCGGGTCTGGCGACGCTGACACCGTGCGACGGCGTAGGGGCGTTCGTGGTAAGCGGCCGTCGGGGTCCTGGATCGGGCAGCACAGTACACACCACGACTCGGGGAGCTCTTTGCGATGCACAAGACGACAATGTGGGGCTTGAAGACAAAGTCTGGGTGATGGGTGTTTCACGGAATCGAGGCTTGAGCGGCAAAGGGGGGGCGTTGAGGCGCCTAGAAAGGCGAGTTTACGGTTGCAGCCGCCGAGGTGGTGGGGAAGTGATGATGGGGAGAGCAGCGCTTAGTGAGTTCCAGAGGCTGAGTTCAACAGCCAGAATCCTGCCGACTTCGCTTCGTGCGATCTGCAAATCGCAGCGTCCCTCTTCTTTCAGCCCGTAAGCCGTTTCTCCCTCTCTTCTGCTGTGACAGAGCCAAGGGCCATGCGTCGTGAGACTTTCCCTCCGATATGCGATAGTAATTTCTTTTTCTTCCAACGGCATTCCTGTTGGCCTGGGCCCATCCATTAGTATTGTATCCATGTTTAAGTCGAGTTCCAACAGACGCCGAGGCTGAGGCCCAGGCCTGCCGCCTGTCTGACAATCCGGTTGCATGATAGGATAACCCAGTCGCCGAGTCTTTTTGACAAACTACGATGGGCTGCACCACGACCAGACACGGGCGCTGTGAAACCTGGGGCAGGGCTGCGAGATGACTTGAGGTATATTCTTACGATAACTTGTGCTTGCCTGTTGACAGTCCGCCATCATTTCCTGGCTTCGCTTCTTGCAATTGGTACGGATTAGATGATCTTCAAGGGTGTGTACCTTTTTTTTTATGAGGCTCTTGTCTTGGAGACTGCTACCATGTACTCTGTACTCTGGGTTAGTAGACGGTAGACCCGAGCCCGGAGCATCGCCAGACATGAACACCCCCGCTCGATCCACCAGTATTCATTTAGGCAGAAGACAGGGAAGCTCTTCTACCTGGAAAACTGTAAGAAAGCTTTCAGTTGAATATAATATGAATCAATCATGATGAGCTCTAAATCCTCTGATCGAACCTTTGTCGAGCTTGAACACTGGTTCGGTTGCCCTGCGCAACAGGCAGATGACATCGTTCCCCACACGGACCGGACCAGACTTCTCACTGTCCACACTCACTTGCTCTCTGCCTTTGGGTTCGACTATTAAGCACCTGTACAATCTTCTGTTTCGAGTTATCACACAATAAACCCAATAAAATGCCGCCCGCCCGTCGTCGAGGAGGCAAAACTGCCGCCACGCGGTCAACCCAGCCCGTTCTATCGTTCGGTGCAAAGTCTCGAGTCACAAAGCCATCAGCCGCCCCGTCAACGCCATCGGAGAAGACCAAGGCTCATGAACCCCTGGCTGCAACGGTCTCTGACACAGAATCACCGAAAGAAACTACTGAACCCAACGTCACTTCGCCGTCGCAGCCCCATGTGGCCGAGCTTGCTGTGAGACAACAAGCCAAGGTTGAAACCCAACAACCATTATCGGAAGATGACAAAAAGGCGACGAAGATTTCCCAGAAGCAACTGCAAGATTATTGGAAGAAAGAGGAGTCGAAGAGTCGAGGGCCAAGAGGTTGGTGCTGGCCTATCTAGGGTTAAACATATCATGCTAACGATCTCTACAGTTCATCATGACGATCTCTCGCTGGAAGAGAAGATATTGCGGCACTTTGATCTTTCCAGCCAATACGGGGTATGTTCTGGGCAATGTCCTGGCTTTCACTCAGCACGAGTCTTTCCGGACCATTTAGCTGACACTGTATACAGCCTTGCATCGGAATCGCCCGTATAAAGCGATGGAGACGAGCAGAGTCTCTTAGCCTTAATCCTCCCATCGAAGTTCTCTCAGTATTGCTCAAACAAGATACAGCCACCGGACAGCGGGCATATATTGACGAGTTGATGTCGTGACCCATCCCGACGACATTTCGCTTGAGCTCTTCGGAACTGTTTTTGAGATTTATCTTGGCGTTCATATCAAACCTAGGCTGGGCGTTGGGGTGCACTGTACATACCTTGGGAGTGTGACGTTTGCGAATACCATCTAATTTTATCATCCAGGAAGTTGTTTCGCCATCTAACGCATTGGCGGCAAACGTGGGAAGACATTCAAAGAACTTTAACTTGCCAGTGTGACAGAGATTACCTTGCAAAGAGGTCGGACAGCAGTCAGAACAGGTCTCTTTGTTATTACGACTGTGGGCTTTTTGAGATTGGAAATGATCCGAGTACTGCTCTCATGGGTTTCATTCGTCCGAACCGGGATATCCCTCATGACCCAGTCTCCTCTCTTTTGTGCATACCATTTCGCTTGTCCCACGCTCTTCAAGGTGCAGACTGACGTTGCCGCGAACTCCTTACTCAGAAGACGTCAGCTTCTCCGGATTGTGTCCATAGCACAGGGTATCGCATGCAATACCACTTCTCCGCGTATGTGTTGCGTGGTCCCCATCCCATCATCTCACTGGCCAAGTGCTTCCTGATGGCTGAATCCAATCGGAGAGACACTAATATACGCCTCCGATCTATCCTACAATAAATCTCGACCTTTGCAGACCGACTTGACCGTGGCGCAAGACAGACCGCCAAATATCGTCTTCGACTTCTTGATTTATCTGTCATGGTTCGCTTACATGAGACATTTCTCTGCGAATACTTTCCTGAAGCTCAAGTGTCAATGTTGCAGTGGAAATCTTACTTCCACCAGCTCGTGTCACTGTCAGCGCACTGACGGGTACCTCAGTACTACGAACCATGGATATCTGCTTTTAGAGCGTCCAATAGACGATGACCTTTTGGGCGCCTCACACTCAATGCATGTGATATGAGCCTCTTGGGGATGTGCTTTTGCGCGAGCTTATATAGTGGGCTCATATCCGGAGAAATAACACTATCCAGTACATTTCCGAGTCCAAGGTTCTCGTCCGTCTAAACTCCTGGTATCCAGCTCGAATACCCTTTCCAGAATCATGAAGCTCTACCAGCTCGTTATCTCCTTCCTCGGGGTCAGTCTGGCGCTCGCACAACTGATAGATCTACCCCAATGCTCGGTAAGCATTCTCGCTAGACTAAGCACCCTCAGTAGACACTTCTTCAAGAACACTGACAATATCAACAGATCCAATGTATCCTGACAGCCATGTCCCAGGACGGCTGTTCCTCTCTAACCGACTTTGCCTGCCACTGCCGGCAGCCTTCTCTCGTCACCGAGGTGACTCCTTGCGTGCAGCGAGACTGTAACCTCCAGGACCAGTCCTGTCAGTGCCCACCTCTTTTCCACCCGAAACCCTATATTGACATGATATACAGCCGTCTCAAACGCCGTAACAGCCCAATGCTCCAGCGTCGGGGTCCCCATCTCGATTCCACCCGTCACTACTCCCACCTCGTCCAGCAACCCAACTAGTATATCCAACGAACCCGGAACCACCTCCCCAGGGACCGAAACTGAGTCTATCCCCGTTTACTCTGGCCCTCTCATGACCATGCCTGCCACCACTCCCGCGACTACGCCTTCCTCTACCCCGATCGGCTCGTTGTCGTCTGTGCCATGCTCGTCGGCTACCACTGAGCCGCTGAACCCGAATTCGTCTCCACCAGCGTTTCATGGGGGCGCGGAGTCTTTGCGCTCCAAGGGTGCGTTGGCCGGTGCGGCTGCTGCTGTTGCCGCTGTGTACTTGCTCTAACGTGATGTGGAGATTGTTGCTTCGCAAGTTCCGCTGCACTTTTTCGTCTTTTATTGAGAAAGAGAAAAGGGAAACTGGTTCAAATATCTCGGATAATTGTTGATTGATGGACACGTTTAGGTCTGCTACTGGTTGTGGTAATGCATATGTCGTTTTTGTTTAGTTAAGGGCTGTTGAGTTCAGTATATCAGCTTCCTCTGTCCTGGGATGCGAAATAATTGCTCTTAATAGAATGTGCATGTTTTCCTCTATAATTGAAGTTGTCCGCTATGACTTCGTGGACCAAGTACTGTACAACTTGCATTATTCGCTTCCCAATGTCTCTGAGAGCCTGCGAAACCCAGATAGGGTTAAATTTGTCCCACCCGTAGAATCAGGAAGCAGAATCGAGACAACAAACTACGGAATCGCCAGGGCATCGATGGCGACAGATTCTACTGATCTCCTATGCCTAGTTGACCTTTGTTCCCTTGTAGCTTAATGTTTCACTTATCACCTGCTAGGCTTTGGTTGCATAAACTTGCATAAGTAATATAGAGGGCGACGCCGAGAAAAGGTGAATAGATGAACACAATAACTGTCGCATTATCCTCACTCCCACAAATAAAAACCAGAGACTTGAGAACTTCTTCTTTAACTCTTCTCTCCCTCCAAGCTTTGCCTCCATTGCTCTTTCCTGAACAACACGTATCTAATCAAGCCTCAACTGCATACCATCCAAACCCAAAAACCCTAAGTGACCCTCCACTTCAACTACCACACCCAATGCCGCAATGGAAAAAGACGAAGCATAAAAGGGGAACCAAGCGAAAGTCCAGAACTAGGGGCATACAACCTACTCCCTCGCCAAACATCATGGCACGGCTACTAGGGCGCCGAGGCCAGAGACCAAGACCGAGGAGAACAGGACCGCCATTGACTCGCGCCCTCATTCGGCAGAGATCTCGTGCACTAATCGTCTTTATTACCATTGTGGTTGCTATCGTCTGGCAGATTGTCATTATCTTTCATCATCTGGCTCATATCTGGAGATTTGTGCGTGCGACTCTGGGAGAGACCATATATGGTTCTGCAAGTGTTAGTGGCGATTGGAGCTCTTGGAAAATTATCAGGTCTGCCGTTTGTACCTGGGTAAGTTCTCTTTTTTTTTGATTTTACTCTCGTTTGCAACAGAGCTTGTATCATCCGCTGACGGCGCGATAGGCCGGCCTTCAGGTTGTTTGCATGGTTATTCGGTACCTGGAAAGGCAGTTTCGCGGGTCGACATGGCAAGAAGAAGGATACGGTTTCTGGGAATACATCGATAAGGTAGCAAAGGCCGTGGAATTTGGGGACGACGGTCAAGAGCCGGACGAGGTATGCTCTCTAAGATCTTTGTGTTAGCGCCGCTGGGATGGGATGTGAGGGCTAACGTGTTCAAAATAGGACTCGACAGCATCGTCTGTCAATATACCTGCCCAGGTCGAGGACGAGGCGCAGCGGGAACTCGTTCCAGATGAAGCTGAACACTGCGACGAGCAGGAAGACGATGAAGATGACCCGCTACAGGAAGAGATACAACCCGAGAAAAGCAAGCAACTTCAAAGCAACAAGAGCAAGAAGAAGGAAAAGAAGAAGGAAAAGAAGAAGAAAAAGAAGCGGGGATGGAAGATGTGACCTACACGTCCTGTTCCTTCCCGCCGGCTCAATGTCCACATCATCCTCATTCTCATCCTCACTTGGCGCCGTCACACCGTCCAACAGCGTGATGTTCTCAATGTGCGCGATATCAGCAGTGTATGTAGCATTAATCACAGCTTGATAGTCGCTCAATCCCATGTCCCGCAGAGAGCATCCAATCCAGATGATCCCGTACCGAGAGTCGTCTTCATTTTCACCCTCAGCGAGGGCGTCGACAACATCTTCAGAGGCAGAATCAGGCTGGCTATAGCCAAACCAGCGTGCATCAGAGTTGGGCTCGTCGTTGTGGCCAGTTTCCTCGTCTGTGGACTCGTAGGTGGTTGAGGACTCATCGCCGTGGCCATTTACAGAACTGCCGTCGCTGATGTCGCCTTCATAGCCAGAGGAGTTGGGCTCGTCATCTTCGGGTTTGGAAAATGAAGACATTGTAATGTTCAGTGGACTGGTGGTTATAGACTTGTGCTTGGATTCAACAAGGTAGAAGGATTTCGTGATGAGAGGATGCGATCATGCGTACGAATGAGGTGGGTAGAGTAAAGAGGGAAAGAGACACAAGGATGTGCGAAAAACAAGGGGAGAAACACAGGAGAAGACCAGGCATATGTCACAGCTTGAGGTGAATGCTCACGTTTAGCGAAACAGTGCAGAGGCAGAAATGTGCGCAATTACAGCGGGAAGTGCTTGCCACCTTCAACAAAGCCATCTTCCCAGTCTAACACAAGTCAGCTTTCTTCTCTAACTGAAGCCTATAAATGGGAGCAGAAAGCTAATAAAATACAATACCCTTCTCACCAAGCAGTTGTTGAGAACTTGATCGACCGAGATAGCCGCCATCAGGATGCTGGTTTGGGAGGACCTACGCTTGGGAGGGGGAAGGCGAAATACACAATTCCAGAGACGGAGATTGAATTCAGTATGAATAGCTCACAATCCGTGTATCGAGCATTAGACAGTCATAAACAGGGATATCGAAATATGAACAAGAAAGAAGAGGTTTAGGCAATGCAAACAAACCAAGAAGAAACATGACTGACCCTACGGCACCCATAGACGTACAAATCCGCCAACTTCCTGTCGGCAGGTCACACAGCTCCCAAAGTTATTCATCGCCAGGCTCACCCTGCAATCCTCACATATACATAGACAACGACAGGGCCAGACAATGATGGAGCGTGAGTTGGTTTGGCAGACAACGCAGGGCGGTCCGCTTGCTCCCAGACCAGATGCGCCAGATTCCCAAGTTTGCTCTTGAACGTTCAAGGTAGTAGCGGATGGGGATGAACGTTTGGCGAGGATAAGTTTCTCCAAGATTTCGGACTCTTCTTGTGTAGTGGGCCTTTCGCGAGGATGATGATGGAGTCGGGAGGTGAGAAGAACCTTGGCTCTCTGGCGTTCAAGCTGCTCTTGGTATCGACGGCGGGTTAGGATTTGTCCTTCGCGTCCGGCGTTGAGGTGGGCTGCTAGGATCCGTGCCTCTTGACGAGTTTCCTCATCGTGCGGGTCAAGAAGGCGTGCAAAGGCACCGACGTCCATGAGTGATTCCTGCGCGGGAGTACCTTCACGGGAATATTGTCCTGGGAACGGATCTTGTTGTGTAGGTGTGCGACGACCGTCTGATTCGTCTTCCCATTCGGAGTCAGTAGTTGTAGCAGTAGAAATCACACTAGTCGTATCATCCCAATCTTCCTCTGACGGGTTGTAGTCTGGACTTTGATCTTGATTACCCCATGAGCCGCCTGCCTTCCACCAGTTGTACAGCTTTTCGTCTAGCCGCTGCTCATCGGATGCAAGCCAGGTAGACGTGTTGCTGAATTCTCTCTTTCTCATCTCGTTCTCGACGTCGAATTCGTGGTTTCGAGGAAGCTCTAGCTCTCCCTGATCCGTGAGCATCCAGAAATCGAGCGGTTCTGCCATGGTCGTGCCGGATTTATCATCTGATGCTTTCCGTTTAGAACCAACAAAGCCCTTGAACCACTGCGGACGAGCGTTGATCCCAAGCCGGGTTAGAACTTTGTCAGAAATGAACGCTAGCCACTTGAACATGAGGTAGAAAATGGCACGGAAGAATGAAAGGCCTTGATAGAATCGGAAAAGACCTCGGAAGGCACCAACACCGCCGGGATTATTGTTCTGATAACGGGAAGACCGGGACTTGTTCTTGGGCTTCCCGATTTTCTTCTCTCGGCTATATCCACTTTCCCAGTGTCCTGACGTCTCTTGAATCTCAAAGGTAACGGGTATGGTGCCCTCGAGGGGTGTGTCATCATTACGAGCACTGGGCAGCCGATGCGTAGAGCTCCTCCTCCTCCGTGATTGTTCAATTTCAGAAAGCCGGTCTTCCTCAAGCCAAGTCATGCTTCGCGCAACGACACCCCGCCCTTCATTGAGGAAGACGGCCTCGCTGGCAGCAGTCAGCGCCGTATAACCGACTCTCAATAGGGCAGTATAAAAGTCCTCGTGCCGATTGACGCGCACACTGCTGACGTGTGTAGATCCCTGCATATTTTCGTGCGCTAGACCGAGCCTTTCTCGCAGAGATAACCCCTGAGGAGAATCAGAAGGTAGTGAAAATGCTGTAACTAAAAGGGCAAGGGAATAGATTATACCACACACGATAATGCCGCACAGGATCAACAAGTGCGGCACAAAACCCACTACGCAAACGGTGGGGAACCTCAGAGATATGTCGTCCGTTCCTAAAGATGAGCCACCGGCCAGACCCCAAGTCATGGCGGCCATGAAGGACAGACCCCAAAAGGTGGTGTTGAATAAGCGGTACCTATTCTGCTTTCCGACAACATCCAGCACATTTGACGATAGGCAGTGGCAGCAAGAAATCAATGCAATCAGGAGTAGTTCCGGTGTGGCGTTCATTCGTTCTAGAATCTGCGACTTGGTCATGAGGTGAAGAGCGGATCGTGGAGCATCCCCGCCAGTACTATTCTCTCCGCTGGGTTTCGTTTTCGGCTCCCAACCAAAGAGTCCCAAGCCGAGAGATTGGCTGATTGCAGATTCGGCCTCGGCAAAGGAGAGGGAATGTTCAAAAATCGACATGCCCCCTTCCGTGACCACAGGCCTCCCCTGCAATGAGCACGAGAGCGTCTCGACAAAGTGATTGAGGCAAAGTCGCAGGAATACTGACCACAACAACTTGAATGAGCCGAGAGGAATTTCAGAACCAACCCGCTCCATGCTCATCGCACTGCATGAATGCTGGTCTGATTGCCACGGAAGCAGAGTTGAACTCAGAGTATAGAGAAATCCGCCATCACCGGCATAATCTATCGATAGTCGTTTTCCGGGAGCACCGTAGTGGTATTCAGAATAGTTGGGCGATGTTTGGCATTTGATTGCGCGAAGCAGATTGTGTATTTGCGAAATGAAAAGTAGGATGGGTATAATGCGTAACGCCAGTCTTCTCCTCCAGTCGAGATGCAAATGTCGCCTTGTAGAAGCATAGATCGTAATCCTATTTAATACAAGTGCCTGTTCAACTCGTTAGGACTAGGACTTCCGCAAAAGCCAAAACAAGGGGATTTTATCTTACCACTGTAAAACAAGCAAGCGACCATCGACTAGTCAAATAGGAGAAGAATCCGCTGAACTTCACGGCGGCTTGTAAAAAGTCTGTCAATTGAAGGCTAGAATTGGGCTGGGCTGCGGCTTCTACCACGGCCTCGCTTGCGGCTGCCCCTGCTGCCCCTGCTGCCTGCGTCGCGGCGGCGACAACATTTCTCTCCGGTCCTGTGCTAGGTGTACTCCAAAAGCTTGTCGTCGCATTCTGAAGCCCAACCAGCCTTGCGACGCGGCCTGGGAGAAAGGAAAAGGCGAACGATTCGGCGCGTTGGAAACCGCGGAGGGGGAGCGAGAGTAGATCGCGCGGAGTTGAAGTGGCGTTCAATGTTGGTACGGCCGAAGCCAGCGAGGAGGTATTTGTAGCGGCCGAGAAGGCCTTTACCTCTTGAAAAGACATTGTCGGGTCAAAGCAATACCATCCGGGGCAAGCCGGTGGACTGAGGTGAATCCGAGTAGACAACAGACATGAAGTGGCGAGGAAAGTTGGACTCAGGGGTCGAGCATGATAAACGCGAATCCAGAAGAGTCAGAGTCTCTGGACGGAGAGAAGCTCAATACATGGCGCGTCGAAAGGGAGGAACAGGTGCCATTCAAGAGATGATGGAAGCTGCGAGCCTGTTGACAGTTGTCTGGCCATCTCCACATCACGGCGTCACTGCCGACTCCGCCACTAGCCCACAATCGTTGTTGTCGCCCACGTGCTTGCTCCAGGGTACCATACCCATCTATACTACGAAAATTTTGGAAGCGATATTCTTAGACTTGGTTCATGAATTCGTATCTTGAAACTATCGCTTCAAAATTAGCCCATCACAGCTTGTACATAGCGCTGCTGCTGCGAATGCCGTTGAAGATGCACGTATTATCCAAGGGCACATATTGCCTAGTAATCACTTTGAGGGATTCCTGGGCAACCAAGCCACCCGTCAGAGAAGAGATATTGTGTAGTTCCCCGCCCTCTGTCCTTCGGAGCTCCCGTGCGGCTTCCAGAATCCTGTCGCGGGCGTCATCGTCAATCGGAGCCGCTTTGTCCGACGCGAGCGCACCGAGAATGCGGTCAAGCTCCGAGGACCACACGGCTTCATCGTCGAGAGACCCCTCTGGATGCTTTCCTTCTTGAATGCCGGTCACCACAGTATCCAAGACCTGGAACGCAATAAAAATGGGAATCAAGGATTCGTCGTTGTCAAGTTCAGTTCGTATGCGCTTCTGAGCTTGCACGTCTCCGTCCACCTGCGGGATATCTCGGCCGCGAATCACCTGGATGTGGGAAGCGTTCTTGCAGAAGACTTCAATATCCTTTTCGGAAATTTCAACGGAGCGGCCGAGCTGCGATTCGGTTCTCCTGATAATCTTCGTGACATCTGCTATATCTTTCCTTGCCTTGGATTTGTAAATATTCTGCAATGAGACATAATCCGCTGACAGGGCTTTCATGTCGGGGAGTGAGCCGGGTAGAGGAAGCACCTTGTGGTGCTCGTAAAATTCACGGACTGCTGATGCAATAACCCAGAACTCGGCCGAGGTGGCCGTCAAATCCTTGCACTCGTCCAGCTCAAAGATTTCCCGGGTAGAGCTTCGTAATGAGAACGGATTCAAAGATTTCAAGACGGCTGCAACGGCTTCATCATAGTTCTCCTCACCTCCTTGGGGATTGTTCGTTCTTGCGCTTGAGCGCACCAGGTCTCTAAACTCCGTTTTTTCCTTGTAATTCAATGGAAGATTGCCGTTGTGAGTCTTCTTCCACGTCTCCAGATAGTGAAGAAGTAGTAATACATAAGGAACATGGCCGTGATGGTGATCGTCAAGACTGTCCAGGTTGCTTATGCTAGCTCCGGCCTCTGCAAGCTCCGGCCAAGGATTCAGTAGACGAAGATCTTGCGTTGATTCCGGATCCGGATGCGTCTCTACTATAGGAAACACAGCAGGGAGCTGCAGGGAAAAGGCGGAGTAGAAACCAACTGATCGAATATATAGGACTGGAACCCCTAGAGCTTTGGCCGCACTGCAAAGGGACTGCAGCGAGGAATGTTTTATGGGCCCTGATATTAGAACCAACCTATACTGTGATACAAAGTCGGGTTCCTCTTTGAGTATTTCCGCAATAGTCTGATAGTCAGTTAGTTAAGTACGCGTGGGGTTTAAGCCAACAATACCTTGGAATAGAAGCTACCTTCTACGTCCGGATTCAGTTCTTTCAATAGTCGACATGTCTCTTCAGCCCTTGACTTGCCCAAACTTTCATCCTCGAGAAAAAAGTTGACCCCAAGATCGGGCTCAGTAACCACAGCAGGATCGACAATGGCAAAACCTCCAATGCCTGGGAGTACCAGATTTTTGAGTGTCTCGACGCCTACTACACCGGACACTCCAGTGCTCTTGTCGCCCCATGGGCCGTCGGAATTGACCAAAAGCACTCGGGATTCTTCAAGAGCTTGCTGTCCGCTCGCAGCCCAGAGCCGCAACTGACGATCATATTTCCTTTCTTTTGAAGAAGGCCCAACTAGGGTTTGAGGGAAATCCGAGGCCATCAAGAGGGTAGTCGTGGGGTAAGAAGGAAAGAAGATAGATCACTGAGAAGCGGACAGCAAGCTTCGTCTTTCTGATGAAGTTGATACTTGTTTGTAGTTCCCAGGCCACACTCATTAATCATCCAGTCAATCACGTGAAGATATGCGGCCCGGAGGTATTTCCGATGAGGGGCCTCCGACCGCCAAGACCATGACGACAGAGCACCCCACCCAAAAGCTGTCAAATGCTGGGATTTTGTCGCGGGACTCGCATCGAGGCTTGCTAGTATAAGGGGCAGATCATCATCTCTTTGTAACGCTCGCCAATAATCAACCTGGTGGAGCTGTCGTGGAAGGTTCCAATCGCGATGCGATATATCCCCCGGACAGTCCCTCTCAATCGCTGGTGAGTGGCCCATGGATCACACCGAGAAAAGTTATTTGGACTGGAATGCACCCCACCGGCCATCTCTCCCCCGGACATGCCCACATATTAAAAGGTACATCTGCAAAGTGTCCGGTTCAGGTCCACCCTCTGCTTGCCAGTCTTCTCCTGCTTTCGTCCCTGTACCCTCAGCAATCGCTCGGTTCCATCTGCTTCATATTCTCTTCGTCTCCAGTCCACCATGGCCGATCTCATCGAGCTCGCAAAGCAAGCTGCTGGAAAAGCAGCCGTGGAGAACCACTACCCCAAGAATGCCCAGTTTGTCGGCATTGGTAGTGGCTCTACGATTGTCTACGTCGTGGATGCTATAGTGAAATCCGGCATTGACACATCAGCGACCAAATTCGTGCCTACAGGCTACCAGTCCAAACAGCTGATCACCAACGCGAAGCTTACAGCTGTAGATCTCGATGCTCTACCGGAAGGAACAGTGCTCGATGTCGCCTTCGACGGCGCAGACGAGGTGGACGACGAGTTGAATCTCATCAAGGGCGGTGGTGCTTGCCTCTTCCAGGAGAAGATTGTGGCTCTACAGGCCAAGGAGTTTATCTGCGTTGCCGGTATGTGACGGACTTGGCGCATTATATAATGGTGCAAAGAAGCTTACCATATCCTTACTTCAAAAAAAAAAGATTCGCGCAAGTTACAAAACCGCCTCCTCTCCGGCTGGAAATACATCCCGATTGAGGTCGCACCTATCGCCGCTGCGCGAGTCCTCACTGCTCTCAGACAACTGGGTAGCATTCAGCCGGCTATCCGTCTTCAAGCTGCCCAGAAGGAGGGCCCTCTGCGGACCGACCAAGGTTTCTTCATAATCGATGCGCCTTTCAAGACTCTTTTGAACAAGAAGGACGTAGCTGCTGGCCAGGACGGTACCGGCAAGGATGGCATCTGGGAAGTCGAGGCCCTCTCTGTGGCTATCAAACAAATTCCCGGTGTGCTCGACGTGGGTATTTTCTCTGGTTTAACTGGTCCCCAGGCCCAGGCCGCCGGTGGCATCGGAGGCCAGAAGCCTATTGCGGCTTATTTCGGTTCGGCAGACGGCACAGTAACCGTCAGGAAGGCAGCGCTTTGAGCAGCCAACCCCCGTCTTGAAAATGCGCATGGAGAGTTGCATAACAGCGATGAAGATGATATGGACGATACGAGTCAGATGTTACATAGATTGACTGAATAGTAGTGATGTGGGTCAGCGACAAACATCGTGAGGAATGTTATTACCAGAACCTACTTCATCTATAATCACTAATATTTCCGAGGCAAATGATGAATTCCTCTATTTCGTACCCTTTCCCTTTGCTTCAGTCTCCCCGAGTTCCCGCACATAAATCCTGACCGTCCCGTCGACAACGTCGTCCTTGCCACTCTCATATCCAGGGCTGATGGCAATCGCGAGGTATTTGCCGTTGGAGCTGAATGCCACTGCGGCCACGCTGGAAGGGTACTTTTGGTACTGCCTGATTCGCCTCTTCGCGATACCATCCCAAAGAGCCACCACACCATCACCACCTCCAGATGCAAATGTTCCATGAATAGGATGGAATGCCAACGCATTAACCGGATAGACAACATCGACGTCCTCTGATGCTTGTCGGTGGCACTTGAAAGCGTACTTGCGCGCCTGCGACTCAGCAGATGGGTCGAACCATTCCACAGCGACTCGGCCTTCAATGCTTGACGATGCGTACCCAGCGTCATCCGGCATACATGCCACAGATCGCGTCATAAACTTCAGGCTGCTCTCTCGTCGCTGCCATGGTTCCACCTCGACCTTGCTAGGATTTGGCCCTTCTGATTCGCCTGTCAAGATAGAGAGGGCTTTCAGGTCGTAAATATGTAGTGTTCGTGAAGCCATGGCGACGACAAGCTTCGTCGCTGTGAGAGACATGGAAAATGGTTTAGAAGGTAGAGGAATAATCGTAGACGCGGCGACGGTGCTTTGATCGTCGCTCATGCGATGAACGTGTAGGGTGGTGTCCCATGATGCGGAGATGACCATGTTGTGCTCTTTACTATAAACGACACTTCGAACGCCCGCGTCATGGCTGCTGAGAACGGTTTGGGCCGATGTGGCCAGATCAATTCTAAGCCCCGTTAGTTGACTTCATACTTCTAAAAATATTCACGGCGCACTCACCTCCTCACGTCCCAATCCAAACCAGCTGTGTAGATCTCGTCCTCCGTGGCGCCAAAACATACATCCAGCACGGGAGCGCGGTGCTCAAACTTCTGTAATAGCTTTCCCTCGCCCGAGTTCCCGTTCTCGTCCCGCAAATCATAGACATATACGTTCTTATCCCATGACGATACGACGAGCCGCGTAGAATCCGGAGCGGGAGAGAACTTTAGTGCGGAGATAGCATCCGTTGGCGGAGAAGAGACGGTGAATTGATCTTTAAGAGGTTAGCATGAGCCAAGCAGCGGTTAGAGCAAAACGCACTCGAAGTCATCCTTATTCAAAGGCAATGCCAAATGTTTGCCAAGTATCCGAGTTATGAAGCTTGTTGGCGGTCGGCCCAGTGATTGCGCCTCTTCGCATCATTTTCTGCCTGAAATTGCCGCCTTCAAATCACATCTCCCCGCCATTTGTCTCCTCGTGTCAGCTCAAAATCATTTTTATCCAGCAGATCTTCACTGAAATCCTCGTTCAAGCCCTCGCTATGCCTTTTGCGCAGCTGGTAATAGGCCCACCCGGCGCGGGGAAATCCACATACTGCAATGGCATGCATCAGTTTCTCGGCGCGATCGGGCGCAAGTGCTCGATTGTCAATCTCGACCCCGCAAATGACAAGACATCATATCCGTGTGCGCTGGACGTGCGCGACCTCGTTACATTGGAAGAAATTATGAGCGAGGATCAGCTGGGACCGAACGGAGGTGTTCTTTTTGCCTTGGAAGAGCTAGAGGAGAACTTTGATTTTCTAGAAGAAGGGCTAAAGGCACTCGAAGGTATGCGCATTGGAAGAGTCCGGACTTTGCACGTACCATAGGCTAATGATACTATTTGTACCCAGATGACTATGTTATATTCGACTGTCCGGGGCAAGTAGAGATCTTTACGCATCATTTATCATTACGGAACATTTTTTTCAAGCTTCAGAAGTTGGGATACAGAGTATGTTTCCGCTGGAAATCGGACATCTATTTCGCTGACAGAGCTATAGCTCATAGTATTGCACCTGATCGATTCATATAACCTCACCTTACCCTCGATGTATATATCTTCTCTCATCCTTTGTCTCCGCGCCATGCTCCAAATGGACCTCCCACACCTCAATGTTCTAACGAAGATCGACAACTTATCCAACTACGCCCCACTCCCATTTAACCTAGACTTCTATACTGAGGTTCAAGACCTTTCATACCTTCTTCCACACCTAGACGCCGAGTCGTCCCGGGTGTCACACGACAAATTTGGGGCGCTGAACAATGCGATTATCGACTTGATCGAGGAATTTGGGCTTGTGGGGTTCGAGACGCTTGCTGTGGAAGACAAAAAGAGTATGATGAATCTACTCCGAGCCATTGACCGAGCAAGTGGGTATGTTTTCGGCCCCGCAGAGGGCGCAAACGATAGCGTCTGGCAAGTAGCGGTGCGAGAAGGAATGAGGACCATGGACATTCGAGATGTGCAAGAACGCTGGCTGGATGCAAAAGACGAGTACGATGAAGATGAACGACGGCAGCTGGAAGAAGAAGCTAGGAAGCATGAGCAAGGGACACCCGGTCATGGTGGGAATAACGAGGAAGACGACGACGATTTCTATAGCTCCAAAGCGCCTATACCCGACGGTGGAGTCAAGGTCATACGAAAGAAATAAAAGGCACAGGCAGATCATGAAGCACAGAACTGTAACATAGGGTATCTCTAATGAATAAATGTACAACAACGACCGCAACCAACTACTTCAATCATCCTCACTATCCATATCCATATCAACTTCACCATCCCCATACGCACCCCCCAAATCCTCCCTCTTCCCACTCTTTTCTAACCCTCCCACTAACCCTGACAGAACATCCACCTCCGCCATCGCACGAAGCCGAACAATCTCCCTCCTCGCCCTGCGAACCGCTTCCTCCTCAGCCTTCCGTATCGTGCCCGACACCCTAACGACCCGGAAAACACATGGCCTCGTCAAGCTCGCCTGCTCTCCGCGCTTCAGCGACCTCCCATTATCTCTGATATCTGGTACGTGGGACATGAATGTCAATGCCGTCCAGACTAGTCGATACGACGCGCGCGGGCACCGGATAATTGCTGTTGATGTGGCGGGGGAGAGATATTTCACTATCCGATTCATACTATCAGCTTGGATTCGGGATAGGCTTTTCCTCGCCGGCAACAAACAAGAACGGAAGAAAAACAAAGAAAACATACCACTAACACCCCCGGCTCCAACACCACCTAATCTCCCGACGCCCCAGTCCCCGAAGACATCGGCGACTTCATCGCGGATCATTTTCGCTAGCAAGCTTGGTGTGAGAGCATCAGACGTCGGCGCGTGGATTCGGAGCTGGGATTTTGTAGCGAATGTGGTAGAGGCTGATGAGGGGGAGGAGAAGGGTTCCGGGTAGAGGATATCGACAAGAAGGTAACGGTGTTTGACGCGGACCATCTTGGTTCTTGGTGTTTTATTGTAAGGCCGGAATTTGGGACGTGGAGCTGTGGACGGCGCGATTGAGACGTTGTTGAGGTTCAAGTTTGCCGGCGGAGCTGTTTTTTGAGTCGCTGCCAGATAAGAAACCCGATCGGCGCAAGCTTTCCGGTATAAAATGTGGAGACATCTAGAGAGTACGCCGTACCACTGGGAGAATAAAGTAATGAAACCCAACTCAGCTAAATTCAACTTCAACTACGAAGTACTCCCATAAACAATTCCAATATTGGTGATGAAGTCATCCTATTCATGTCTCATGTATGCTCTAAGAATGTATTCGGTAATAAAGGGAGAAAAAGGATATGATAAATTGGAAACAAATGCATAAACCATCATAACTCCTGACGTATTTTATGAACCCGCGAGTCCGCTTGCGTCCGACATGGGCTTTCTCCACGGGAGAAAGGGTAAAAGAATTAGAAAAGGTATTAAAATTATACGTTGACCTCAACACGGCCCTCAGAGCCACCCTTCTGGAGGGCAGGGAGAAGGTATGTGATGTCGTCCCAAGGATGTCTGTAGAGGCCAGTGCGCAGCCTCTTCTGGTCGAGGTAGTGGGCAATCAGACCCATGCTACGTCCGAGGACGAAGAGACCGTTCAAAACACCCATCTTCATGTAGTCCTCAGTCTCCTCAGCGGAGAAAGCACCGCAGTTGCGCATGAGATCCACGAAGCAAACAGCAATGCAACCGTCGACGTTGAGGATGAGGTTGTCCTTCTTGGAGGTGGTGACAGTCTCGACGGCGATGGCGTAGTCGAGCAGCTTGGTGCTAGGGAAGTGCTTCTTGACGTACTCCTTGACGAGTTCGACACGGAGATCAGGGTTGTTGCGGGACTTGATACGGTGACCGATACCGGGAACTGGAATAGCAGGTTAGCATCAATCAATCTCAAATGTTTCGAGGAGGAAAAGACTTACTGAGCTTGTTCTCCTTTCTCATGGTGTCGACAAAGTCACGAGGGCTCATACCCCGGTCGAAAGCCTTGGTGAACTCCTCAGCGGCGCCGTCGAGAGCACCACCGAAACGAGATCCAATAGTCAAAAGACCAGAGACGAGAGCACTGATCAAGTCCTTGCCGGCACGAGTGGTAATGATGGTGTTCATGGCACCAGACACGGCGGGACCGTGATCAGCGGTGAGCATGAGAACCATTTCCAAGAACTTGGTAGCGTAGGGGGGAAGGCGGCGGCGGAACCACAAAAGAGACATGACACCACCAACGCCAATGTCCTCCTTGAACACGTCGGAGATGGGCATACCGGCGTACAGGAGCTCCTGGCCACGGTCGTCGGTGATGGTGGAGATGAAGGCAGCAGGCTTACGGATGAGACCGAGCTCCTGGGCCCAAGAGTAGTCGATAGGGATCTTAGGGGGGACGGGCTCCTTTCCGGGGACAATGACGCCATTGGCAACCTGCTCGTCGTAGACCTTCTTGAGAACCTCGGGCATTTCCTCAAAGGTCTCGGGGACGTGAATTCCAGCTTCGCGCATCGCCTTGTTCTTGGCAACAGCAGTCTCGAGGTCCGAGTTGGCCGAGGCACCGGCGTGACCGAATTGAACCTCAGTTTTGAACATGCTAGCGCAGGTACCGATAGCCCAGGCAACAATTGGCTTGGTGATGGTACCGTTCTTTACGGCCTCGATTACACGGTACTCCTCAACACCACCGACCTCACCGAGCAGGACAAGGATCTTGCACTCAGGCTCAGCCTGGTAGCGGAGCAGGTGGTCGATGAAGGTAGTACCAGGGTAACGGTCACCACCAATGGCGACACCCTCGTAAACACCATCGGTGTTCTGAGAGATGATGTTGTTCAACTCGTTGGACATACCACCAGACTTGGAGACGTAACCAACGGAACCCTTGCGGTAGAGCTTGGAAGCCACAATGTTATCCATCATACCACCGGTGTTACCGATCTTGAAAGCACCAGGCTTGATACCACCGACGGTAGCAGGTCCAATGATGGTGATACCCTTCTCCTTGGCAGTCACCAGAATCTCACGGGCTCGGCGCTCGGGGACACCCTCAGCGATGATAGCAATGGACTTGATCTGAGGGAACTGCATCAGCTCCATGGTGGAGCTGTAGACGGAGCGGGAGGAGGCGAAGTTGACGACAGTGTCAACATCGGGGTGCTTGGCGAAAGCCTTTGCGGTGTCCTGGTAGACGGGGAGGAGGGTCTCGCTGGTGCCCCAGTACCTAAACAAGGATCATTAATATCCGATTGCAGAACCTCAATTGCCATATCGTGGAGAGACTCACATCTTACTAACGAACTGGCCGCCGAATGTGTAGATGATACCGGCAACGGAGGGGGTGCTGCGCTTGCAGATGAAGTCGAAGTCGAGCATACCCTGAACCGCTCGGGGTTGCATACCGCTACAAACAGCTGTCAGTTCCTGGAATTGCGGCCACAGCGACGGGCCACTCACTATACGAAACATCTTGTCTTGTTGTGGAAAAGGGCATCGGTAAAGGGAGAGCGCACTCGGCTAGGAGGCTCGAAGCGGGTGATGTTGTCGTTGGCGTTGGGGCCATTGGCCGTGCTGACGAGAGGGGCAGAGGTGGGCATGTTGGCTAGGTACTCTGTTCGATTGATCGAGGTCAGCCGGCTGTGAGGAGTGGACACGAGGTTGCTTACCTGCGGACAGAGCTTTAATATGACTGAGAAAAGAGGAGGATTAGGTGTAAAGAATATAGGGAGGGAGGGGAAGAGGAAAGTTGGGAGGAATCCAACTGAGATGGAGAGGAGACAAGGATGGAGAGAAATTAATGGGAGGATATAGAGAAGGAAGAGGTCGAGGTCAGTTGAGAGAAGAGAATCAGAGAATCTAAATTGAAAACGAAGAGAAAGAGGACGATATCGGGAGATGATGGGGGACTATTGAGATTATTATTATTATGGAGCTTGTGATGGAGGTGAGGTAAAAAAAAAGTGTGTACGGTATCGAGGTACCGATGGGCCGTACAGTACCTGACAATACACTGGGGCTGGGCCCACCAGCAGCAAAGTTGGGTTGAGAAATACACCAACATCTCAGAACTCTCTACAGGCGAATTGACTTCTCAATTGGCTTTCCAATGACGATATCCTCTTTTCAAGTCAATACGAGGGATTGCGTTCGGCCTTCGAGAAGACTTTGGGGATACTCCGAGTAGAGTAAGACCTAAACTCCGAGAAACGTAGTAGTTGAAAAAAAGTATCCAACGTCACTCGGAGACCGGAGTAGTAGTATACAGCTTCAAGTCCCGCTAGGATCACCTTGCAGAGTCGCAGCTGGTGCCCGGGGCCAAAAGAGAAGGTGGTCGTTCTTGCACCTACTCAGAAGAATCTGTCATCAGGCGATCATTCTTGTTGGTACCCTGAAGATTCTGTCCTGATGGCGTGGTGATGGTCGTTCCTCGGCCTACTCAGAAGAATCCATCATTCGGTGGGGACCTCGAGCGTTGCCGGGTCCACGATTAGAACACGGGCAAGGCCGCCAGCAACCTGCGCACCCCGCCGAAGAACGATTCGAGATTCTTTGAGAGATAGTTCTACAGAATATATACAGGTGAGATCTCAGTCCGGAGTCAGTTGGGCTACGACATATTTCCGAAAGCATGGGGAGCGGAGTATGACTGGGCATCGGATCGTGGTCGAGGTATAAGTATATGGTACCTCCGGACGAGGCTCGGGGTAAACGACAGGGTCTTATAGCATGCCCCTCATTATTATCGTTCGGCTTTCGAGATGCTCAGCGTCAACAAAAAACTGAAACTCAACAAAAACCATGGGATGGTCGGAGAATAACGCCCAAAAGCAGACTGTGTTCTTCACACAGTATTCAGGCTACTGCGTACGGCGGATACTGCAACTAAAATTACCGACCGGCGATCCCCAACGCTATCTTAGAATTTCTCTGAGCTCCAGTAGGAATCAGAATCCAGACACTCAACAACTGCAATTGAAGCTGACCGCACAATCGGAGGGGCCCAAAAAAACTACCCCACCGCTCTCCGACTCCCACGGCTGTTCGCTGCGAATTGAGTTCATACCTGTATCCATCGGTATCAAACTCCAGTACTGACGAGCTCCGTTCCAGGTACCGACCATAAAGAATTACAACTCCATCCAGAACTTGTTGTTTTTTCCCCTCCCTCTGCCCCTTCGATTCAATTTATCTTCCTCTGCAGGCCTTTTTTCTCCGCCGACCTCGCAGACAAATTATTTTCACGTCCCTCTCCTCATTCTCCATTCCTCCTACTCCTCTCCTTCTTTCTCCTCCATATACTCCTCAGCATCTTGATTCGGGGCTTGCCTCCTATATACTCTTTCCCCCTCCTACCCACCACTCTTCTCAGCTTATCCTCATCCCACAACCTCCAAATTCACAATGTCCGCTAAGTCAATCTTCGAAGCCGATGGCAAGGCCATTCTCAACTACCACCTCACTCGTGCCCCCGTCATCAAGCCGACTCCTCTTCCTCCTGCCACTACCCACAACCCCCCTCCCAGACTCGCCTCTCTGTACTTCCCCGACGACCTTGCCGTAAAGGACGTTCTCGACCAGGCTGAGGTCACATACCCATGGCTGTTGGTGCCCGGATCCAAGTTCGTGGCTAAACCAGATCAATTGATCAAGCGACGAGGCAAGAGCGGTCTCCTCGCTCTGAACAAGACCTGGGCTGAGGCGCGGGAGTGGATTGAGAGCCGTGCTGCAAAGGAAGTCCAGGTCGAGTCCGTTGTCGGTGTGCTCCGCCATTTCCTTGTCGAGCCCTTCGTTCCTCACGCCCAAGAGACCGAATACTACATCAACATCCACTCCGTGCGCGAGGTAAGGGATCAATACCATCCACTGTTTTTTTTTTTTTTTCAAGCGCCCAAACTAACTTGTGTTCTAGGGTGACTGGATCCTCTTCACTCATGAGGGTGGTGTCGACGTTGGTGACGTCGATGCTAAGGCTGAGAAGCTTCTCATTCCCGTCAACCTTAAAAACTACCCCTCGAACGAGGAAATCGCTTCCACACTCCTGAGCAAGGTCCCCACAGGCGTCCACAACGTGCTCGTAGACTTCATCTCCCGTCTCTACGCCGTCTACGTCGACTGCCAGTTCACCTACCTCGAAATCAACCCCCTGGTCGTCATCCCCAACGCCGATGCTACCTCCGCAGACGTTCACTTCCTGGACTTGGCCGCGAAGCTCGACCAGACCGCTGAGTTCGAGTGCGGTACCAAGTGGGCTGTCGCTCGTAGCCCTGCCAACCTCGGTATTGCTGCCCTTCCCACATCCGACAAGGTCAACATCGATGCTGGCCCACCTATGGATTTCCCTGCTCCTTTCGGTCGTGAGCTGAGCAAGGAGGAGAAGTTCATTTCGGACATGGATGCGAAAACCGGTGCCTCTCTCAAGCTCACTGTCCTCAACGCCAGCGGCCGTGTCTGGACACTTGTCGCTGGTGGTGGTGCCTCGGTTGTCTACGCCGACGCCATTGCCTCTGCTGGTTTCGTCAGCGAGCTCGCCAACTACGGTGAATACTCCGGTGCCCCCACCGAGACACAGACCTTCAACTACGCCCGCACTGTCCTCGATCTGATGCTGCGCGCCCCCATTCACCCCGAAGGAAAAGTTCTTTTCATCGGTGGTGGTATCGCCAACTTCACCAACGTCGCCTCCACCTTCAAGGGAGTCATCCGCGCTCTGCGCGAGGTTGCGCCTGTCCTCAACGAGCACAAGGTCCAGATCTGGGTCCGTCGCGCCGGTCCCAACTACCAGGAGGGTCTAAAGAACATCAAGGCCGTCGGCGAGGAGCTCGGCCTGAACATGCACGTCTACGGCCCTGAAATGCACGTCAGCGGTATCGTTCCTCTCGCCCTCCTGGGCAAGCAAACTGATGTCAAGGAGTTTGGTACTGCGTAAACAAAACGAAGGGGGCGTTTTTCCGATTTACTTAATTTAATTCACTGCGAGGTTTATTCCTTATCAACGCACGGCATGATGGCTTCTTTTTTTTTGCATTTCCAACCCATTCCCAATTCTCATTTCTAAATGGTAAAGATGACTGATGAAGGTGATATTGTTCCTGTCCGGTCCATATCGTGCTTGTTCTTAGACTCGGAGAATAGAGCCAATATATACATTTCAAATCACTTCCATCCCACCGAGAAGAGAAATCATCTGAAAATTTTGGTCATCCATAAACTTAAATAGTCAAGAGTCTCGGAGAAGTGCCAGTAAACTTTTTTGCGAGGAGTTAAAAGTCGGTGGCACGAAGTATACACAATAGTAAAAATCATAGATACACCCCACGATACGCAGAACACGTAACACATTAATACCAGACGTCCAAATAAGCTTAAAGTAGATTAACTCAGAGTCAAAGGATCGAGATCCACAGGAGCTTTCTGACAGGCAATAACCTAGATCTAGACAAAGATCGCTGAAATCAAGTGAGGGGGTGGTTGGGTTCTCGAATCTCGGGAGAGTGGAAGGGCGGGCGGATGGCGGCGCCGTTTTGGTTGCTGTCTTCCGTCCGTCCGAGAAGCGCAGCCGCTGGCGCTCGCGATTGGCGGGTATCTTTCACTGGAGGGGATAGGTTGAATTCCTGAGGATCTAATCGCTGTCAGGGCTATTCGTGGGCTTTCGTCTAGGGGTTGTGGACTTGTTTTACGATAAGTATGCGTTGATGTTGGCTTTGGGCTGCTGATTTCGTTTCTCAGGTGTAGCCGAGAGATGAAGTTTGAGTGCGTGACCATCATGCGCATCAATATTTTAGAAAGAAGGGTAAGTGATCAATTAACGGGTGTATTGAGTTCAGCTTTTGTCTGACGTCTAAAGACGATCCGAGACTCTATGTTCTACATTGTACTATGCTTTGCCCTAATTCCCGAGATATACTCCTCCCAAACTCAATGCGTCAATATATATGTTCCGTGGATCGACTAATCGCCCTCTTGTAGTATATATTACTCCGTATCTCTGACGCTCGCTTTATGTTATCGTGCTGCTGAAGAATGACCTTATTCCCGGAGGAAGCTCCGTCGACCTGTGGCTTAGAAGATTCAGATTCTCTCGATGGGTAGCGTGGGGTTGATGGCCGTTCGTGAATCCTTCCGTGGGTGGTCTCTCAGCATGAAATCGTCCTGTCATAATACTATCACTGGGAAGTTGAGACATCCCAGTCGAAGGGCGTGAGGGACCCGCAAGGCGAGCGCGATGACTTGGTGTAGCGACTGGAGGGTCACCTATGGCATATTAGCGAACTCCAAAGGGAAACGTGGGAACCGGCCGTACCCCTTCTCAAAGCGGCGACAGGACGACTTGGAGGCGGCATTGCAATCGCGTCGGCTGCATGCTTCCCTTTCGAGCTTCCAGTGCCACTTCGCTGGTGTCGATGTAGTTGTTCCACGCCCTCAAGATCTACGGGATATGCCTGTTGCTGGTACGTGGATGGAGTTTGGGGAGGCGCTGATACACCAAATGAACTGGCTGCCAATGCTACAGGATCATGGCGCGGGAGTTCAAGAGAATTGACTACCTGTGTCGCAGCCGCTGTCCGCATTTGTGACCGCACGGCTCGAGATTTGACCAGGTTGTATAGATTGGTGATTTGAGAAAATTTCTTGCACTTTTCTCGGTACATCTCGACGAGTTCATGGTTCTTCTTTCGAAGCTGTTCCTTCGCCGCCTGCATATCTGTCGGCCTGTTAGCAGCCGATATCCCAATGGCAGATAGACCCTCAAATCGTACGAACCAGAGAGTCTCGATTGCATTGCTGAAAGCTCCGTGTTGGCGTTGTGGATAACCTTGTCCATCTGGGTATTCAAGTTCGTGTATTTGTCCGTCAATGACTTTACTAAGTATTCTTGGAAGGTACTTGACACTCCGTCAGTGTTTTCCTAGAACCGGTATAGCCAGCGGACGTACACTTCTTGAGTGGTCTGATAGGTCCAAAATGTCAATGCCCGCCCAGCACACTCCATTATAGTTGTCGGGTCTAGTCCACTCAGGACACTAGTCTTGTAGTCTTCTGTAGGTCGCAGAACCGTATTCACGGCATCGTCTGGGTTATTCAGGATCGTTTCGCAAGCCGGACAGCGACGCTCGCTTCCAATGGGGCGTGAAAGGCCAAGGCCGTCGGCACATTGAAGGCAAAAGATGTGCCTGAGAGGTTAGTTTACTTTTCATGATAGCTGCTGGCGTAAAGGAGCGGGAGGCCACCCACGAACAAGTAGTGACGATGGCCCTTTCTTTCAAGGGTGCTCGACAGCTGAGAGAGTTGCACCGCAGGCAAAAGTCCATAATAACCGTGATGGTGTGCCGAAGCCGACAATGTGGATGCAGAGAAACTGGGAAAGCTCGAGGTGTTGAGCTGGTGCAAGAAGTTGAGAAGAACCAAGCCGCCGCAGTCAAGTCGAAGACCACACTCAGCACTGCAACATTATCTGCAATGCCACAGACATTACACGACTAACAAATACAGAAACAAAAGGAAAGGTATTTTTCACAATACTAGGATAGATATTATTTCAAATGGGGTATCTCGAAACACGGAATAGTTTTGGCTGTAACCCACCAGTCTATATAGCAGCATATCTCTATAGTACGTTCTGGAGAACAACGTCAGAAAAAAAACGTATTCCCCGAAGCATCTCTTTTCGTGGTACGCATCTTCTCCTCAAAGTCCGGTCCCGGCTCGTACTCCCGCCATAAGCTTGCGGGAAAGATGTGCTTGTTCCGCTCGTACCACCGTCGATCAACCACCTTGGTTAGTGTGGGGTCTTTATCGCCTCCTTCTAGCTGCTCATTGCTCGGACGGTACAAAGGGTCGTCTGTGGAAGGTGGCGGCGGAGGTTTGTCGGAATAGTCGAACAGCAGCCCTCCGGTCTTAGAGAAGCTGGGGACACGGTTCGCGATAAAGTAGTAGAACTCGTAATGCTAAATTACCTGTTAGCGAGATATCAAACCGAGCAAGTAATAAGTGAGGACATACATGTGGAATGATGATTTCTCCTTTGACAAGCATCAAGTCATCCACGCTCACTCTTGCCCATTCCCGGCGATTGAACTTTCGGCCCTTTGAGGCTCCGCTAGTGTTGCTCACACCTAGCTCGGCGCCGACTTTTCGACACCGGTCCAGAAAGAGCCAGACATGATCTCCCTTCTTGACTTTGGCTGTACCGGCCGGGATATTTGTTCCATCGTAAAAGACAAAAGGAATCAAGATCTCTGTATTCTTCACAGCCTCTTGCATCGTCAAAAACTCTTTTCGTAAGGTATCTCGCGCCTCTGCTTCCGCTTTGAGAGCTGCTTTTGTAAGGGCCTTTGGTGGAGGTGGGGCTCTCGGATTTGGCGTAATGCGACGAGACTGCGGTGCAGAGGTTACCTCAAAAGGTGTGCCAGTACCGGACCGCGAAGCACTCAGATCGGCCGGAGTAGGTGTCGAGTCGTCTGCAGCTTTGGCGTTTGGGTGTGTATTCGCTTGAAAAACCTCTTCCTCCTCCTCGTCATCATCTCCAAAAGAAAGTTTGCTCTTTGCAAGAGGCTTCTTTTTCTTCTTCTTTGGCGGACCCTCTCTTCCCGACGTCGAATTTCTAACCGGTGGCGATTAGCTGAATGATCGGAGTGATTTATCGGCGCATTCACTTACCCGTCAGTTACATCGCCCCCAGATGGAGTTGCGCTTCTTGAGTTACCGGATGTAAACCTCCCTAGCGACTTGTCATGCGCCTCGCGCTCTTTTTGCTCGAGAACCTCTGCGCGGCGTTTGCGGAAATCGGAAAGATGGACAAGACCGACTGTCTGTGACTTGAGAAGATCTTCTGCGGACGCGGACTGACTCGTAAAGGACCGCGGAGTCGAGCTATGGCTTGGTGCTTCTGATAGAGGCATTATGATGCACTACACAGAAATTCGAGGATGTTGAAGCAAGGAAGTTGGCTGGAGCTGATCGCATTGAATCGGTGGTGGTGCACCAGGCACACGTGACTACTATCCTCATTTGCGACGAGATTTTGGCGCCTAAGCCAGGTAAAATATAGAAGATGTCAAGGATATCTCGCATAGTGGGCAATTACATCTGCTAAACCATTTAAGGTCTTAGATATACAACGTACATTTTGCAATTATGACGGTATTCGAGTACAACAGAAAGGTGCGATCAAAGAATTGATCTGTAAACCGAAGCAAACGGTGCAAACTTAGTCTGCGCAGGATGTCTCTAACCAGGACGTGAGCTCCAACATTTTCCAGTTTTCCCAGACGATTATTATACAAACTTTCAAAAATGTCATACGCCATGGATGATGACGATGATGATCTCTACGATCCCACCGATGCAGTGCCAGTTTCGCAGCACTCCAGGGATCCCCGAAGACCCCAAGCTGAAGCTTCAATGAACGACGCGAGCGATGCGGAGGAAGAGGAGGAGATGGAGGAGGAGGAAGATGAGGTGATAACTGCTATGAAACACCTCGGTGAAATCGACTGACCGGCGATTCTAGGATGATTTCAATATCATAACAGAGGCGCCTCCGGATGCGCCTGCTCCAGAAGCGTTAGCTCACCCATTGGTCGCCATATTCACATTTGCTAATGTCGCGCAGTTCACATCCCCGTCATACCTCCCTAAGAGCCGACTCTTCTCAGCGCCCTACATCCGCCGATTCTTCCTCCGTTCAGAAACAGCAGACACCTTCGATAACACCAAAGGTTGACACTTCAACCTCCCTGCCTGCTGGTACGCGGCCCACATCACAGAGGCCGGGATCGGCTTATCCCGCGGTGCACGCGTCCTCGATTGATGTTCATGCGAACCCTGTTCACCCTACTACCGGAAAGCCGATCATGTTGACGGATATGGATTCCGACTTCCCTGACGATGACAAACCTTGGAGGCGGCCTGGTAGTGATTTGACAGACTATTTTAACTACGGGTTCGACGAGTTCACATGGGCAAGCTATGTGTTGAAACAACAAGAGCTAAGGAAGGAAGTGGGAGACCAGAAGAGACAACTGGATGATATGCAGAGTTTTTTGACCATGGGACTGCCGCCAATGCCCGGTGCTAACCCGGGAGCTGGACCGCCAGCTGGAAGCGCGCCTCCTGCGATGCCAGGTATGCCGGGAATGCCAGACATGAACCCCGACATGATGCAGGGTATGCTGGCCTCAATGATGGCGCAGGGACTTGATCCCGCCTCTATGGACCCAATGGCTTTTATGCAGCAAGCGCAGGCAATGATGGGTGGACAATCCGGCGCAGGCGGCGGACAAAAAGGCCAACATGGGTTTGGCGGCCAGGGTGGTAATCAGGGCCAGATGGGCTATGGAGGTGGCTATGGTGGAGGCCGAGGCCGGGGAAGGAGATGGTAGGACAACTAGGAACTGTGACACGAAAGCATTTCATGGAATAATCTGTAATGTTATGAATGAGAATACAAGCTGCTCAAGACCATCAGCTCTTCATCATCGATCTGGCATAGCTCTGCTGCCTGCACATTTGAGGCCAAAGCCGAGAAATGCACTTTCGGGAGTAAGGAGCGCGGTAAGCTTCGGCTTCCTGGGGACGGGGGAGGGCTTGGATTCGAGTGTGTTGGGGGTACTGTCTCGATGCTGGTTCACCCAGACAATAATTGACCAGCCTGCAGGACACTTGGATACCTATCAACTGTAACAGAAGCAATCATTGTAGTCGAAGGAAGAATTGAGGTTAGACTGGTCGAAGATACCCTCGGCAGCCGTGGGGATGGAAGCTGGAGGTCGGTCTTGGCATTCTGGAAATTTCTCGCGAGTCCAGATCGGATCTTCTTCCCCAGCTCGCCGACTTGCGCTCTTCTTCTTCTTTTGCTTCCACGTCTCAATCTCCTCATCCACCAGCGCCTGCATCTCTTCCACTCTAACACGTTTATTTGTGTTTAATTACTCTCTCACATAACTTCACAATGGTACGTCATTCCAATGCTTTCTCCAGAGCTCCCTGTCGAGACTTTTTCATCCAGTTCCCCTTAAGCCGCAAGCCAGCTTCCGCCCAATCTTAGCGATTCAATCTATGCGAAAATACATTGCTAACCCGATGTCTCTCGTCTAGTCTTTTCTCCGCAACGTCAAGAACCTCGCCCCCCTCCTGGACCGCGTCCTCGTCCAGCGCATCAAGCCCGAAGCCAAGACCGCCTCTGGCATCTTCCTCCCCGAGAGCAGCGTCAAGGAGCAGAATGAGGCTAAGGTCCTCGCTGTTGGTCCCGGTGCCGTCGACCGCAACGGCCAGCGCATCCCCATGGGTGTCGCTGCTGGTGACCGTGTCCTGATTCCCCAGGTACGTTTCGAGTTGTTACTGTCAGATGGGCTTGGATATTCTGGCCCTACGAAATACGGCACAATTGAGCAATCAATGCTGACGGTTTGTGATCAATAGTTCGGTGGAAGCCCCGTCAAGGTCGGCGAGGAGGAGTACACCCTCTTCCGGGACTCCGAGTAAGTCGCCCATTCTCCCTGTTCCCTTAGAACTTTATCTGACAATGACGATTAGGATCCTCGCCAAGATCAACGAGTAAAGGACCGAATCTGACTTGACGTCTTTATCCGTTTCGTTCCGCTCGGACCGAAATTTCCGAGCCGTTGTATTATACCTCTTGACAAAATCATGATCTCAAATGTTGCTGCCCCATATACAATCTAGAAAAGGTGCCTGGGTGATAGCAGGAGGACCAAACTGATTCTTCCTTCTTGTATTCTTGGGATAATGTTTTCTTCTCTCTTGCATTTGCCGAAAGCGTGAAATGACCTTTTTTGCATACCATCTAATGTACTTTAACTACCCATCGTTACGACCCTATTTTAGGCGTCACGAGCTTGAGTAATAGCACAGATATCTCCTCTCTGTTATACCTGTATTAACCGGCCAGGAGAACATAGAATGCGCTTTTTTGGCATAAATACGGCCGACCACTCCCGATCAGTGAGTCGGACCTTATATTTTTGGGAGATTCTTGTGCCACTGTGTGAAATTCTGTAGTAGCATTAATGTAGGACTTTAACGTAGAATACACAACTGGCAGAGCCAACCTAAGCCACTTGTCACTCCACCAACCTCTCAAAGTCTAGCGCCCAATCGCACTGCCAATCCTTCTCAATGATTGATTCAACACGCCCCAGCACATTCCCCCCCAGCAGTCCCCCAAAGAGTGCCTTTCTTTCCTCTGAAGACATTTCCACAAATCTTGCAAGACAGCTGGCTCTATTCTCGTGTGTAGAATTATCCGCCTCATTTTCCCTTCGAAGAATAGCTAGAATAACCTGCGCTGCAAATGGGTTCAGACCCATACGTCGTAAAAACAGCTCCCAGACACTTTCTTTTACATCTCCTAACCATAAGTCAAGTTGCGGTTTTGGGTTGACAGGTGTGAATGCGTTTATGTATTGCGAGTGAGATCGTGGAGGAGGAAGTTGGCATGCGTATTTATGTGCAAAGCCAAGGATCCATCCCGCTATCTTTTCTGGGTCTGATGGGACTATAAGAGGGACGATAGTTGCGTGCTTTGATAACGAAGTGCAGAAGGCCGTTAAAGTGGTCAACGAGGAGAGAAGGTATTTATCAGCCGAGATTTGCAAGCCCAAAGCCCGTAACTTAGGGCTCTTGGATTGCTTGGCGCCGTGGGATAGGAATATGTACAACTGCTCGTAGCGAGATGAGAGGCGGAAAATCCGCTCACGTAAAGGCGAATTCATGGACTTTGGGCAGTTCAATGGGATAGAAGTTGGCTTGTGGCCTGGGAGGTACTGTTGCATTGCTGCTTGTGTGGTTGTGAGTATAATCCCTGTCTTTGCGGAGAGGACTATATCTGCTTCTTCTGGGGGAGGATATAGGGCGCTTCGCTGGTACTGGGGTTGGGAGTTTGAGGTGAATTGGATAGATCGATATTTTTGCTGATTTTTGGGTGTTGGAACCGGGGCGTAATCTCGATATATAACTTTTGGTGGGCGTTCTTTCTGCTCGATATGCTGAAGGACCTTGAAATGTGTTTTTAGTAGCGCAGTCGAAATGAAAAGAACTAGACCTCCATATTGATTTTGGATCTCTGGTGTTTCCTGCCAATGGCCTGGCTGTATGTTTGGCTTCTTCTTTGGTAAATTTCCTTTCTGCGGAGGAGTTACCATGCAGGAAGTGGTAACATTGCTGATATTCTCGTGCGCTGCTTGTTCCGACTCTTTCTGGCGTATTGAGTAGGAACTTTCTGCAGGAACTTTGTCCCTTGTGACTTTCCCTCTAGTTTCCATAAAGGATGCCAGTGAGCCTAGGTTCCCACGGGGAACAGGAGGGCGAGAGTGCTGCTGTCCAAAGCGTAGATTTCGGTCTGATCTTCGCTTCTGAGGCACAAGCTCTTTTCTCGATGTTGATGTCAGGCTCTGTGGTAGAGCGCTTGGTTGACATGCGGCGGTATTGCTTAACGATCCGCGCTTAGGGCTCGGCCAAAGATTATCGCATGGGGCAGCCACCATTGCTGTACTTGTTTCAGCAACAACCCCGGGGCTTTCGTTATCACTCAAGACTGGATCTTCCACTCCTGACATTCTGAGCCCTGGCCGAAAGCGATCCAAATCCATATCGATATCCATATCCACTAGCTCTGAAGCGACAGGGCTTGGGAGCATGTGCTCGTCCGAAACTAGGGCTGGGCTTAGAGGGAAGTAACCGGGGCACAAGGGGACGAGGAGAGGAGGTAAGGGCTTGCCAATATCTTTCTAGATTTGAGTCATGAAATTAGCGTGGCATGATATGAGGGTTTTGCATACTAACGCGGCTTATCTCCATTAATCTGCCCAACTCCTCCTCGAGTTCTTTCACAGGTGTTTCGCCACTGACTCGAGCATGTTGCATGAGAGCAACTGAATCTCTTGTACAGACCAGCTTCTCCTCCCTGATTTTCTCAAGCAATGAGAAGTCGTCGGCGTTGATTATAGTCATGAAAGATGTGGCATCGGTACTATCGGTTTTAAATGGCTCCTTGGAGACTTGCGATTTGATATCATGTGAGGTGTAACGCTGGGTCTTCCTCTTGTCCTCCATGGGAAAGATAGGAGCGTTGAGCTTTATATTATCAATTCGACGGAACGCAGGAAATATCTCCTTCCAATCGATGCTCGGGCTTTTGGCCTGAGACTCACGGACGATTGAAGACAGGAGACGACCGGCCCTCTGGGAGACATGGAGCTTGTCTTGGTACAAACTTTGCTCAAGGGAAACACGAGCATCATTCAAGCGATTAAGGCATTCTGACTGTACGGCTTCTGACAACGTGTCGTCTCTAAGGGCAATGTGGGAAAAGTCAACATGATCAAATGGGTCGATTTCGAGGAAAGAGCTGGCAATTCCGTGGAAACGAGCGTAGCCAAGTAGTGAAGACTCCATTGCAGCACGACCACGCGTGGCAGTTGTTGTGTCTGAGGCCCTGGCAAAGGATGGGTCATCGGATTGGTGATAAGCGAATAGACGGAGCTCCAGGGAGGTAGAAGGAGATCTCCCGGACGGACAATCAAGTGACTCAACAGTCCGCGCGCTCATATAGTAGGGCAGTACCCGTTAGGAACACAACGAGGGAGCCCGGTATAGGCAAGTGCCTGTCACGCAAAAGGAAAAAGAGCATAATTATCATTAAATTTCTAATATGGGCAGGCTCTTAGGCTGGGTTACATATTCTTCCTGGGCTCGAGTATCAACCTTGAGCTACCATCGCTGTCTGGAAGGGTCTATTGGTGGCACAGGGTATTTCAGTAGTTTCGAGAACTTTTACAACCTTTAATGTGCCTCTACTGGTCAGTTGAAAGCATATATAACATGTACTCAATACTTATCTACCAGCTTAACAACCCTAAAAGCCTGTAAAGTGGATAAGCACTACTATATACCTTATTTAAGCTATGGTATCTATGGGCCAGTAACATTTTGTGACGATATTCCTGTCGGTGGTGTCAAGACCATTGATTGCAGCTGATCTTGAAACTTCGATTTGCTTGTATCAAGGCCTAAAGGCAGCCTATACATGCCAGTGCCTCTTTTTTAAAGCAAGACGGCTGATACACACCCATGTGCAAGTAGGTGTTGGAGATACAAGCACCTTGATAACCCAGTGCGTTCTGACCTGGTTGATCAAGCACTTCCATCAACTGCTAGAACTATCCGAGCAAATATACCAGCAAAATCGCTATGGCCGGAAGTTTTCATGGAGGGCAAGCAAAGTATGGAGGAATGAACCATCGTCCATGATTATCCAGTATCTTAGGGAAAGTCTAGTTCTGTTTTATTATTGAGTGATTTTTAGGGAAATAGCATACTAGATCATATTAAATTGGTTGTGAGAACTAAGTTGTCTACTGTTTGACCTCTTCTGGTGGTAGACAAGGCCCTGTTTTTGTAGAGGGACAAGTAACCAGAGTATATAATACCAAAAGTTGAGAAAAAAAAAAGGCCCTTAAGCCTTGTTTAGGTTACTTAGGTTACTTATCAAGGCTGGACACGCAAATCGGTCACCAAGACGAATTCCAAGGGTAACAAAGAGCGGAATCAAGGACCACTAATAGTAGATTGATTTGTTCACTCTATCGAAAAGTAACGCCGTAAGCAAAGCTACTGCACGCGATACAGATGCCTGACCGCTCCGAGTCCCTGGACTTACAATCCAAGGTCCATATGCCATCATAAAATACAAAACGAAAGTCGCAAAAATTCAAAAATTACGCCTGCCTTCAAGGCTCGACGGGGCACCGAGCACAACTTCCTGAACCTGTTCCGTGACTGAGCCCAAACGGCTGGCGACGCCCAGAATACCGGTCTCGACATCGCTTAGAACAGCGGCAAGATCGCCCAAGGCTGACTTGGGTACCCCGGCCCCTGTACTATCGCGGCTTCGCGAGGCGGTAAAGTCGTGGATCTGCCGTTCTAGAGTAGACTCAACGCCGTGAAGGTGGTCTTCAATCTCTTTCAGATTCCGAGTATAGCGTTCGAGAACGACGCCCATCTCGTCGGAGCGTTGAGAGAAATAGTCCACCAGGTTCACCGGCACTCCATTGATAGTGCTTGCCGTAGACGTATCACCTTCGACGTCATCCGGAAGTGCAAGGGTATTTTTCCGCGTTGATCGTAGAGACTGCAAGTCTGAGCCTTTCTGGTCTGGCGCGGACCACCATCCGGAACCGCCGTTTGATTGGTATTGCAGGGGAAGCTTGAGAGTATCGATAGCACGGAAGGCAACCTGGGCCTCCGCTGCATCTCTAGACACCAGGGTACGCAGTTGCTCAATATCGCTGGCATCGTTCTCTAGTGCGTGTTGCATTGTCTCCAATTTGCCCTTGACATATTCGACATCATTGGGAATGGTACCTCCCTGAGCTGCAACAGATGGTATCATGTTGGCGACCTCATTGCACATGTTTATTTGGTTGAGCACAAAAGTATCGAATCTCTCGAGCTCTGATTTGATTTCATCGGCGCAACTCTCATACTTTGTGGTTGGCAGAAGGTTGGTAATGTCAACCTTGACACCAGGAATCACTGTGCCCGTCCCAGTCGTTGTCGTTTGTTGTGCGGGCTGTTGTGACGTAGTATTCTGAGTCCCAAACAGCGACAATGTAGGCTTCAGCGCTTGCTGCTGTTGCTGCGTACTCTGATTTGCATTCCCGCTACTCCATATTAGTTTGAGGTCGTCACAACGAGAGATTTAGAGCTCTTACAAGATGCCGCCACCCGTAGTAGAGCCCCCTAGTCCGAATAAAGACTTCGATTGAGCTTGGCTCGTGGAGCTAGCTCCCAGTCCCCCAAGAGAACCCCCCGTATTTCCAGCCTGTGTCGTAGGATTACTCGTGCCGCTCGTCGTAGAGAAAAGGCCGCCGGATTGCTGCTGTGTGGTGGTGGCAGTGGCGGCGTTGCCAAATAAACCCCCACTCCCTGTATTGCCTTGCTGGCCACCTAGTCCTGAGAACAAGCCCGATCCTGACGACTGGGAAGGCTGAGCAGTCCCCGTTCCAGTGTTTCCGAACAAACCACCAGTAGGTTTAGCTTGAGGCGCCGTTCCAAAAAGACCTCCGGTTGTGCTCGTCGCGCCCGGCGCGCTTGTGGACGTCGTAGTGGCTTGGGTAGAGGCGCCGCCGCTATTTGAAGAATAACAATGTTAGCTTTTTCCATCTTGGGAGTAAGAGCGCGCGCAAAGGAAATGATCAGAGGGCAACCAGGGACCATGGAACGAGGCATCAACAACGCGCTAGGAAAGCTGATAGCAAACAGAGGAAAAAAAAAAAAGAGCTTCGCGGGCTTCTTACAATGGAGAATTTGCAGATGTTGTGTTGATAGAGAGCCCCGTTGAGGGAGCCGCGGGCTTGGAAAACATTCTGCCAAAAGGATTGACAGACCAAGGCGATTGTCGGGGGCTGCAGAGTAACAAAATGGGGACGTGAGATTCTGCGTTCTGCGCGCTCGATAAAATGAGGCTTCCAATCCGACCAACTAACCTCCAGAAGCTCTGGAATAAAGGACTGCGTTGGGGGTTAACTGAGAGTCTTCTGTTTAGTCGAAAGATGAAAGCCAATGGAAAAAGTATTTTTCCGCTATCGATAAACGAAATACTTAGATGCAACGTCAAGTGTTGGGTTACGGATGAAGTGAGCGCTGTTCGACGAGAGTAGATGGTGTTTGATTACTAATAAAAGCTCTAAGACAAGCGCAGATGCTTCCATACCCCTGCCTTTAGGCTCAGAGGCTGACCCGGAACGAGATTGCCTGAGTTCATTCACTTTGGCAACCTTGAGCTAGGGCTAGGAAGATCGTGCGGCGCGTGAAATGGAGGTAGAAACAAGGAAGATAAACGTGGTCTTTCCCTCCTTCTTATGCCCCTCTGAGGTTCCCAATACTCTCAACCCTTGGTATATCTCGTCATCGGTTAGAGGTAACGCTCTGAAGTCTGGTTTGTTTCAATATGCCGGAAGTCAGACAATTGGGAACTGAGCCGGTATGTCTCGCTTCAACTAGAAGTCAGGACACACAGCCTCGTTGCCAAGACCAAGCTTCTTCTGTTCGAAGACTCGATAGAGGTATAAAGCCCGCTGATACGCGGGGAGATGTGTCGGCTGCCACGGACTTTACTCACTTCAAGAGCGTCAAATGGTAAGTTCAACTGAGGTTTTGGTCAAGAGAAACGAACAATATACTAATCAAGATTGATCATCAGGTCTCCTGATGGTACCACTCTTCTGACAGATTCATCAGACCATAATATAAGAACCTATATCTTGTCAGTCTTCTCTTCTCCTGCACAACCAATGATATGATCTGACTGTATACAGACCTCCGGATCTCCTAGACGAAGAGAGCTTGCCGCACAAATTATCACATTATTCCATTTTGTCATCCGGAGAACCCACATATGCCACTGCGTTCTACCCTTTCTTTTCACTTCAGGAGCCTTCTTCTGCCATCTTTCTCTCGTCGGTAAGAGACCATCCGATAAGGCTGACTTCCGCATTGGCACCAATGTCTTTGGCAACTTACTCGCTTGTGAACCCAATGACTGAGGCCTTCATCACTCCACATTCCATGATTTATCCTCCTTCTCTTGGTGGCACACATTTCCTCACCGGCTCGGATAGCATGATATGTCTCTTTGATGTTTCTCGTCCTGGTAATGAGGGCCCGGTTTCTTGGATGCCCACCATACCGAGTAAGCGCAAGCAGCTGGTGGGTGGTGGTATAGGAATGAAGGGTATCATCTCGGCGATGGCTCTGAATCCAGACCAAGGCGGTATCCTCGCAGCCGGCACATTCTCGCGAAATGTGGGGCTCTATGATTCAAACGGCTCGGGGCAGTCCCTTGGAACGTTCAATGTCTCGAGGACTGAAGCAGACCGACATATCGGGGGTGGGGGGGTTACTCAACTCCTCTGGAGTCCGTGCGGGCGATACCTATATATAGCTGAACGCAAGAGCGACGGTGTATTGGTATACGACATTAGAGTGACTGGGCAACTTCTAGGATGGCTCCAGGGACGGAGGGCATTTACCAATCAAAGAATGGAAATCGATCTCGTGTCAACCGCACAGGGCAGCTCGCACGAGATCTGGGCTGGCGGAACGGATGGCTTCATGAGATTGTGGCAGGACCCGGCATACACTGCTGGCGGGCAGGATCCGGGATGGGAATGGAGAGTCAACTTGAGCAATGGTATGTGTGCCTTCAGTCCGACTTTGTAAGACCTGTGTTGATATAATATAATTTAGATTCAGTCAGCAGCACTGTTATGCATCCAACAGGCGACATCGCAGCCACAACGTCTGGCCAAAAGTGCCTCAAGGATCATGCCATCGACGGCAGCGACGAATCTAATCGCAACGAGCCCAACCCTTTGTTGGATGTCTGGCTTCTTCCTCGTCTAAATGGGGCGCAAGACTGAAGACAGTGACTCGGGAATAAGGCATTCGGTCGCTTACAAGAGTCAAAGAACGAGCAACAGAGAGTCGAACTTCCATGTGTCTGCCCGGTGGCCGCTATCGAAGCCTTTGAAACTACCTAGAACACTACGTGCAGGGCCATAGAGCTTGGTAGTCTCAGGCCACATGAGGCTCAAGTCGAGTATCGACAATCGGGATTTGCGCTATTGACGGCATTGATTCAATCTTTGCTTCGACCGCACTGGTCTATTGTTCTTCTGAGATGGAAAGGAACCTGAAACACATGTATCCGAAACACAATAGGGGTTCTGCAAAGTGCAATGGCTGGCTTTTGGTTGAGGCTACTCAAGGCACCGCCTCGAGAATAATATGCGCATTTTATCGTTGAGGTGGCGTGAATAACACAACGCGTCCTGCTGTTCCCACAGTGAAGCCGCGTTATTCTGCTCATAACAGACTTGGACACCGCGTTTCCCTTGACCTTGTGACTTTCCTGTGTGTTCCTTCAATTCCTCTTATGATTCCTCTTCGTCTCTCTCCTCCTCTCCCTTTCGGCTTCCACAAACACCTACCCCAGTCACACACTTTTCTTATCACCTTCACAATTTTTAAACCAATTCTTACTCTCATTAGCATTTATTAGGCATTCTTACCTTGATCTGTCTCTTACCGATTGAAAGACCCGAGTCGACATTTCTCATTCGTGGAAATGGAAGGCTACAGGCTCTCCCAGATGGGCCGCCACCCTGGAGGCGCAGGGAATACCCAGCAGGCCATGAACGATCAAAGTCGAGTCTTCGCTGGTTTACGAGGACAAGGATTTGCTTTCCGTGCTACCCCTAATCACGAAATGTCATTGACTCCAGGATTTGGGCGAAGGGCCAATGTATCCGCTGATTCTTTCTCTCCAATTCCCTCTGGCTCAACCGGGTTTGCTCCTTCTTTCCGTTCAAATAGCTGGGTCCCAGGCAGCTGTTATCCTTCATTCAATCAACATGCCCCCAGGCAGCACAATCAACCCCATTCCGATCTCCAACAAGCGCTCTTTTCTGGCCCCATGCAAAAGCAAGATTCCATTTCTGTATGCCAATCTGTTTCTGCATTGGGCTTTGCTCAATTCGGCGACCAGGCGTCTTTTACTGACCCAATTACCTTACCTTCTCAATCTCAACTACTTGATTTCTCCGATGTTGGGGAATCTGGGAATGGCCAGTCATCTGCGGGAGCTGCCCCTATGGCTCAAACGGACTCCCAATTCCTTTCGGGGTTTGACGACGACTTGCGTCTACTCGGTGAACCGTACTTGAGCATGCACAAAGATCCCGTAGAAGGATTTCCGTGCTACAGCTCTTCCGCCGATTTTGACGAGGAAACTTTGCTCAGCGCAATAATCAACGATTCCCCTGAGCCGAATTACGACACCCACCATGCCGGCTTCAACGGAGGACATATGAACCACCAGAATCAACTTGGACATGCCCGGACGAGCCCTGAAGCCCCGGCGTTGACCAGCGATGGCTTGTGCCCAAACATCAATCCTGGACCCCAGCATTCCGATGGCGGCGAACTTGGCGGATTTGACTATGAACTTCCAATCCCCAACTGTGAACAGAATGGAGCTGCAGAACAATCTCTTGTCGATGGCCAGTCTGAAAAGATTCCTCACCGTCTTATCCAGCATCCTGGCGACGGACAACCTGGCATTAATGATATTGAGCGTTCATCCCCCAACGACAGCAAGCACGAAACTGGCGACCAAGAAAAGAGCAACAATGAAGATCACGGCGAGATCAGCCAGGCTGAGGAGATTGAAGATAACGGTTACGCATTTGACGATACTGCCGAAGACGATGATGCCTTCGATAATACTGTCGATAGCGAGGATATACGCCCTTTAGCTCAGGCCGCCAAGCTCTCGTTTGACATCTTTGTAGCCAACAAGGAACTGGGCAACTCTACTGCTATCAAAGCTTCATACAAGTCCTGGAGAACCAATGATCATGAGATGACCAAGAAATACCTTCTCTGGAAGCTCAGTGAGAAAAACAACAATCTTGAACGCCCGACCAAGTACAATGGACTCGAACAAGCAAGAGAGGCGTTGAGAAGAAAAGACCTTGATTTGGATCCAGCGAACGACACGACAATTCCTCGCACAGACCGCGCAAAGCAGGCAGCCGTCGCGGAACTGGTCAAAGCTATGAAAAGCTGTTCGCGTGCCCAAGGTGAAAAAGATGCAGTCGAATCCTGGCGCTCAAAGTCTGCTGAACATGCTGATTTGATTGAGCTTAGATGCTGGGAGATTCTGGTGAGCTATACCACCCGTTGTCAGGACGTCTGAAGCTAATATAACCTCAACAGGAGGACTCAATCAATGTTCACGTGCTTGGGCAAGTTACTGGTTTTCCATCGCTTGATGTTGAACACAAGAACATGGGCAAGGATGGCAGTCGACGGACGGATAAGAGCATGCACAAAACGTTTGCTGACAGGCTTGTTTCTATCCATCAAACCCTGCGACTTCGAAAGGCGTTGTGCAAGAATCTATTAGATCCCACACGCCTTCAAAAGTTCGTGCATGCTCCTGATGCTGAAGACAAGTCGAGCGCATCCAACCAAAAAACCAACAAGAAGAGGGGAGAAAATCTCAAAGAGTTCAACGAGATCAAGGAGAAGGTACGGAGGAGCTCTGAAAACAGTCCACAGCAGCATTTCGAGGGTGTTCCATCATCATCGACCCCCAATGAACCCAAGGGTAAGCCCAAGGGTACCAGCCCGCGAAAGTGCCGCAGCTCCAGAGGCTCCTCGAGATCACAAAACAAGCATACCGGCGATCGTGCGTCTCCACAAACCCCTGGAAACTCGGAACTCGGGCATGGCCACAGTCCGGCGGAGAACTTCAAGGAGCCCCCTTCGGCAAAGCTGTCTCAGCCTCCAGCGCAAGCGCAGGTGGATACGCTCCAAATTTCCCAGTCACTCTCTGGCCGCACCTCGAGCTATCCGTCCACGAAATTGGATGCCGATGCAGACCATGCGCAAACGAGCACATCCAGGCCCCGCAATAGAGTTGGATCCAACTGCAAGAAGCCCGCATCAACCCAACCGTCTCAGACCAGTGAAATTCAATATCGATTCGCTGAGAATATCACTTTAGACGGGCAACAACGACAGATTCAGCAAGGGCGTATCGACCAGTCCCGGAAGCGCGCGCTCGAGGAAACAGGCCAGCATCCCACGACCATCAAGAAGCGTTGTGTGTAGACGCCGTGCTACTACATCCATAGATGGACGAATTGAACGAAGGCGAACAACAAGAAGCAGAGGTGAAGAATGGGTCACAGGCTGAGAGAACAACGAAACCAACCTCAAAAAAAAAACTCGAAAGCAGTCAACCCCCGCATCAAAAACATTCGAAAACGACACAAAGACCTCAAGCCAAAAAAAATCGAAAAAAAAAAAAATTGAACCAAAAACCCCCTCAAGAAAGATAAAAGTCTCGAAAAAAAGTCATGGATGCAAGGTTGGAGGAATCGGAACGGAGTTGACACGCGCATTACAAACGATGATTATGAGCCTACGAATCCACGGCCATGAATATGATACCCATTGATCTCAACAGGCGTCTGGGTCTTTACTCCGCCGGCGTCGTCCTTGCTTTGTTGGAGTCATATCAGGAGACGGGAATGTTCATTCGGGTTTACTACGCAGGGCACATTTGGCTTTTTTTGGATATACGTTTATTCTTTCTCTTATTGTTTTGTCGCAATTGTTATCAACGGACAGGAACTTGGGAAATGGGAAGGCTTATTTGGGTTTATTGGGCATCACACGTTTGTTCATCGTTCATGGTTATCGTTTTCTATTTTCCTTCCTTATTTTTTCGCTATTGGTTTTGTTATCAATGCATCCCAACTCGGGACATGGGAGTTGGGATTTTACTTGGGAACTGCATGTATCATATCGCCACTGCTTGGGATTGAAGAGATAAGTTGGAGGACGCTGGGGATAGCCACTTTTGTCATGTACATTAGACTAAGGGGCGATATTTTTGTTGATAGAGGCTTTGAGCAGGATCTCATTGCCTAGATGTCTCTAGATTGATCCGAACATCATAGAGGATCGAAGACATAGAGAGAATACATGGTATGGCTATCCCCAGTTATAATCTCGGGCTCGTCGTAAGCTGTCGCAAAGTGAGTAGGTTGCTTCTCAATGAGTATGATGCGGCTAGGAGGGCTGCGGTCTCGATGGACGGTCCCGAAGAGGGTGTAGCACGGTTCATTCAGCCCTGGAGGTAGATGGTGCACGAAGGCAGCAGGCTCGAGCAAAAGCCTTAGTAAAAGCTACGGTACGAACAGGAGACTATAAGGCAGCGAAAATAGAGTCAAGATGGCGGAATACTTTACGAAATCCTTGGTTAAATTTCCTGCTAAGCAAGAGCTACGATACTGACAGAGTCACGACAAGGAAGGGTGGACTCAGATGAAAGTATCTTTGAGTATATTAATGAGAAATAGAGCATCTATTGTGGACTGTAATGTGGATAAAGAAGCGGATCAAGAGAGGGTGAGAGAGTCCATCAAGGCGATGAGGTGCAGAGCATCTAGGAAGTCAAGGCGCAGACATAGAGTCATGAGTCGGGAAGCAGAAAGGAGGTACAGTCCCTACAATGGCAGATATTGGCACATAGGTTAGAGCAATTCGGAACTGCAGTATTCCACCTCAATTGCTCCGACGAACGGAGAAGATAGATCTTCGCGGTCGCGAACTAGGCTTGTGCTATCAAATGGGGTTCACTTCTGATGCAGACGCATCTGGTCGCATCAGGCAAGATAAAGACAAGGTTTCAGAGGCTTTTGAAAGCCGCAGATGATGATAGTAGGCCGACTTCCGAAATAATTATAGAGGAGGGTTGAGGGATAAATGCGGTAACATCGTGGAGGAGCTCTGGATAGAAAGGCAACACGAGGAGGGGGTGCGCTGAAGTACGCGAAATAGCTGGGGAGGGCAACTAAATCTATTGCGACAGTTCAGGAGCCTTTACCGGCTAATGTTTGCTCTGGATAGCTTGATGGCGCATTGCTTGTCGTCGTCGAACAAGGGCTTGCAGTATCACATGCATGACCAATAAGCACAGACCAAATGACGTTATGCTTCAACCCCTCGGCTCAACTCCAACACCAAGTTCGCCCATTGTCTGCAGATAAATCCCTCGGCTTGGGAGAACCTCACTTTCCCCGCTATTTCTCTCAAGATCACTGTGTTTGAGAAAGAGGCTTGTTGTTGGACACCATGGCTGAAGATGACTATGAGCTGGTAAGTGATCTTCGTCCATATGGTTTGGGTTCCACCTTGAAGCTCGTCTGACGTTTGTTATCTGCACACCCTAGGACTCCTATCAGCTCTATCTGAGATATGAAGAGACTCCGCCCAAAGAAGACTGGAGAAAAGCTGCACTTACCGGACCTGCATTGCCTACGATAGGTAATGCAGTTGCTGGCGCTGTTGGTGCAGCAGCATCCAATCTTGCCACTTACCCGCTGAGTCTCATTATCGCGCGACTGCAGACACAGACACAAAGGAAGCAGAGATCCGATGGGAAAGAAAATGCAGATGAAGGAGAGGAATACACAGGTTTACTAGATGCTGCGAGGAGGATATACGCCCAGGAAGGCCTCAGTGGGCTCTATGCTGGTATCGCGCAAGATACGGCCAAATCCGTGCTTGATGCGTTCCTTTTCTTCCTAGCCTACGAGTTTTTCAGACATCGCAGGATTGCGGCGCGGTATGGTGCGAATCGACGATCCAAGCATACTGTGCTCCCAATTTGGGACGAATTGGCAGTCGGAGTTCTTGCAGGCGCCTTTTCGAAGCTTTTTACGACGCCTCTTTCGAATATTGTGGCTCGAAAACAGACCTCTCAGCCTTCAGCTCGAGCGGCCGACATCGCGGCGAAGATCCGTTCGGAGAAGGGCATTCGGGGGTTCTGGTCGGGATATTCTGCATCGCTCATCCTAACTCTGAATCCCTCGCTCACGTTCTTCCTCAATGGGCTGCTCAAAGCTGTCCTTCGCAGAAACGATTATGGGAAACCCTCTCCGGCAGTTACGTTTTTGCTGGCTGCTATCAGCAAATCGATGGCATCCTCTATAACTTATCCCTTCTCCATGGCGAAGACTCGCTCTCAAGTTTCGGGCGCCGGTTCGAACTCGGGCAAGGGACCGAAGAAAGCCAGCCGCGGCGACGACTCGGACGAATTCTTCTTTATGCCATCAATCGTCTCGAATGTCATCACCATTGGTCGAACCGAAGGTGTGGCAGCACTTTACGCAGGTCTCCGAGGAGAAGTGCTCAAGGGATTCTTTTCGCACGGCTTTACCATGCTCGCAAAAGACGCTGTATACGCTGCTATTGTGCGAAGCTACTATTTGGCTCTCATTCTCACCCGGCGATACCCCAGTCCCGAAGAGCTACTTGAACGGGCTCGCGAGCGTGCCGAAGAGTATGCCGAGGCCGCTCGAGAAGGCGCAAAGGACCTGGCAGAAAAGGCAAAGAGCGGAACGGACGAGCTTCTGGACAGCCATACGGGGAATGTGGCGGTGGACATGACGTCCAATACGAGCCCAATCGACGTTGACGCCTTAGGGTCCAATGAGACGGCAGAGTTGGTGGGAGACTATGTGGAAGACGAGGCGAGGGAGTGGAAGAGTCTGTACCACTGGTTCTGGGAGAAAGGAAAGGAGAAAAACTAGGCCGATATCCTGCCGCTGTAATATACTATATATTTTCTGTGACAATAATGAATTGTGCTGTATCTACCCGCTTTTCTCCACGAAAGGGTATCTATACATAGTTGCGGCTACGGAGTGGAACCCGATCTGGGCGATCCCGTGGGCCTTGGTCTCTTCTCCCGACCACCAACCACGGTTACCTTTCCTCTTCTTCAGCTCGCCCCTCATCGCTTCCACGTTTCGCTGGTAAATCTTCCCCATGTCGACCGATCAGGCCACTGGCCCTGGTTTAGGGGACCTCGAGAAGGAGTTGACGTGCTCAGTAAGTGTGTGTCTTTTTCAGCCCTGTTCGTGGGATGACCGCGGGGCCGGGACTCACCACCCCTTGCATCTCACGCATCCAGAGAAAGTGACGAGTCGCGGTCGGACAAAATAATTCGATTTTCTGTTTCGATCGTCTTTGCTGACGATACACAAGATATGCACAGATCTTCTATATCAACCGCTCACCCTTCTCGATTGCCTCCATACCTTTTGCGGATCGTGTCTCAAAGAATGGTTTTACACTCAAGGATCTCGCCGACCCTCGTCCTCGTCCTCTCCTCGCTATACATGCCCCTCATGTCGTGCCAGCGTCCGCGAGACTCGTCCAAATGCCACCGTGACCACCCTACTGGACATGGTGCTGACCGCCAATCCCGAGCGAGCCAAGCCAGCTGAAGAAAGAGCCGAAATCGAACAACGATATAAGCATGGAGAGTCGATCTTTCCTCCTGGTACATCGCCAGGAAACAGTGCAGCGGAGTCTGATGAGGAGGACCAGAGAATATTGGAGGAAATTCGCCAGCTGAGTCTGCGAGAGACTCGGAGTCGGACGAGGACAGCGACTCAACGGACTCAGCAGTCATCACGTACACGACGGACCGACAGTACAGATATCGATGGACAAAGGGATGATACAAGATCTCGCCGACGGCGAGAAGAGGAACGAGCGACACGGAGGCAGCGGGCCAATAGACCAACTACGACTGGACCACTGGACGGCAACGCGGACCGGACGAGAAGAATTGAACACCAGTCAAGTTTACGATCTTTGTTGAGCCTATCGGATACCGAGTCTATGGAGGAGGAAATTTTACGCCAGATCTTTGAGGAGGGGTTGTTGGATGATATTGACTTGGACAACCTCGAGCCAGGGCAGGAAGAGGAGCTCAGTGAGCGCATTGCGGACGCATATCGACGAAGGCATATGTTACGTGCCCGTTCGCAGCGGCGCCAGGATACTCCTGACCAACCCCGGGCCCAAAGGCAAACTCACGCGCGATCACAATCCATGCAAAGACCACAAACATCCACATCGCAAGAAGCCAACAATAGCCCGTCTACCGCGAGGCCATCCCGACTTGGACCTCCTACATCACGGCCGGGGCCTTCCAATCACCAGAGGCACCTCTCAGAACAAGGCGGACCCCGTCGAAGGAGGATGTCCCCAGTGCCCCATAACCCAGCGTCCTCGTCAGACGTCACACTCGGGCCCGCTGTCAGGTCATCCAGTGATATAATACCGGATCGTCCCCGCAATAGTCACTCCCGTTCGCAGCCAGCAGACTCCCCTGCGCCAAGGTCTCGACGTGCTACTTCGTCTGGCCAAAGCGCCTTGAATGTCGCAGTCGGTGACACAACTAGGACTTCGAGTCATACCCGCATAAGATCCTCAATTGATTCCCCAAGAGTGAATCTGGCAGGACGGAGTCCTCTAGAAAGCCTCAGCTCTCTACGCCTGAGAAATGGCACATCCGAGATATCTGAAACTAGCTCTGTTGTAGCGGAAGTCAATGGTCCGGCTAGACAAGAAGCACGCGCCCGACCATCATCATCTCGTTCTCATGCGCCACCGCAGCCTGCTAACTCATCACTGGAGCCGAGCATTTCCTGTGAGCGCTGTGGAAAGCCCAATATACAATACGAACTGCACAAGACTTGTCTGCAGTGTAAGGGTGGCAACTACCACATATGTCTCAGATGCTATCGCCTGGGACGCGGGTGTCTGGAGTGGAAGGGATTTGGAGCAACGGCACAGGCTGAGCTCGGGAAGATTAGAGGACAACCAAGGGAGCAGCAAAGCCAGACAGGAACTTCTCAGCATATTCTACAATCCTTCAAATACTTTCGACCACCCGACGCAGCCCATCGGTTCATGAGAGACGGAAGGCAGATGACAACAGATGATCCTGCTCGCAGACTGCAACAGGGGCTTTTTTGCGATTCTTGCCAATCGTCCGCAAATGATGGGATTTGGAGATGCAATCAATGCAATGAAGGGGATTGGGGATTTTGCAATACGTGTGTTAACCAGGGGAAATGCTGTACGCACCCATTACTCCCGATCTGCCGCATTGGACCCGGAAGTCAAGTACAAGATCAATCCGGGAGTGACGACAAAACGGAAATAATCAAGATCCTGACAATATCCACTTGCTGCGACATCTGCACCAATCCTATTCCGACCTCGACACTTCGATTCCATTGTCTACGATGCAATGGCGGTGACTACGACCTGTGCGCCAACTGCTATTTGAAACTCGTCGCTATCAATAAGGTCCGCAAAGAGGACGGCCTAAATGGTTGGCGTCGTTGTGCTCGGGGCCACCGCATGGTTGTCGTAGGGTTCGAAGACTCGCCAGAAGGTCCACGCCGAATCATCGCGCGCAACCTTGTTGGCGGCCACGCCCTCAAGGAGAACCACCTCCCACCAATCTCGCCCCCAATCCAAGCCACTTCCAACACACCCGGCACGCCTACATCAGAAACATCATCGACAGTGGGTGACTGGAGCTGGAAAGAAGGATCTGAACGTCGAAAGAAAGCCTCCCGAATCCGATCAGCCTGGAATAACGAGCGGGACCGAGATCATCGCTCTCCGAATTCTGACCCGAGCACACCAACCTCTCTAAATCCCGGATCACCTCAGAGCCCCGGCACGGCTACCATTCTGAACAGCCGTCGCTTCCCGCCAGATGGCGGCGTCGGCCTGATCGTCCACGCAATGTGGTCCTGGATCCCCGAAGAAGGCGTCCACGACGAACTAATGTTCCCGCGAGGTGCGGAAATCACCGAGGCCGAAAATATCAACGATGACTGGTACTGGGGCTGCTATGCCGGGATGACGGGCCTCTTTCCCGGGTCGCATGTTACTGTGGTCGGGGAGATTGTCTAGTCCGTCGGGCCTTATACCGTTTATGATCTAGCTACGGATTTTAGTGTTCATATAACGTAGTTCACGAGTGTATGACATGCATACGATCTACAACGACCTTGCATTGCATATGATATGACTTTTCAAGACATTTATTTTCAGCTTCATACTCCGCTCCGTTCACTTTTTCCTATTTCGTCCGGTTGCCTGTCAAATCCCCCACTTCCATCCGATACTGAAAGAACAGAATGGTTCTGCCTGCCTCCCTTCACTGCCCTTTCAGCGTCTACCTTCCAGCACATGCACATCATGTGACCATAATACGACCCATGTTCCATCATAAAATCAAGCTACAAGGGTCACCACCGGCTAAAGTGAATGCTAGTCACATCTCGCAGGCAGTAGTCCGGCTGTAAGTGAATGACATGACACTGAGAAATTACGCCCATATGGTGGAGATCATGTTCATTCACCTGCAAGTACATGAGGGGTTATATGTAATGTTTGTCTTTCTCACAAGGTTATAGTCCAGTAACGGGATCATTATACTCTAGAATATCAGGTAAGGAATGATTCGCTCCGTCATCTTGATCTCATTATTCATTCTCTTGAGCATCGGTAAGAAGAATAAGGCCGTATACTAAAAACTAAGGGAGATGATAGTCATTCATAGGTAAACATGAAGGCTCGGGAAGAAAATCGATAATGTGAGAATCACTCCAACATTGCGACGAGCAATCTCTGGTAATCGCCACTTGTCTCCCCCTTCACGCGCTTGACGAGATCCTGCTTGTATTTCGACTGGTAGGCGCGTTTGACATTCTCCAGATGTTAACGGTCCCAGTGGACTCGGACGACGCGGACAACGAGTCTCTCGTCCTTCGTCCCCATGCCCTTCATGCACTCCTCGAGGAGGACGGCATCGCGCATTGCCGGATCCAGTGCGGTGCGCAGGATATGTAGCAGAGCATCTTTCATGTGGCCGGAGAATTCCTTCTCGAGATGAGCTTCCAGGGAAGTGTGGTAGCGCTCGGAGAAAGCTTGGTTCAGGGCGCGGAGCTCGTTGTTGGAGCTGCGAGCGAAGAGGCTGCAGACTTCGTCGGCGTTGTTGACGATGCGGGCGGCTGTCGCGCCGTGGATATTCTGGGCTTCGGCCTGGATGGCGCGGTAGTCGATTGGTGCGTTTTCGTCGTGGCGCGCAGCGCGGAGGACGAGGGCGAAGAGGTTCCGGGTCTTGAAAGAGAGGTCGTCTTCGACGTCCTTTTGGAGGGAACGACGGTAGGTGCGCTCGTATGAGGTCTTGATGGCGTTGAGGTCGGCATTTGAGCGGCCGAGGAGAATGTCGTTGAGAAGCCATTCCTTTGTGCCGATACCTTCTACTGCTTCGCGGGCTGAGGCGGTATCGTGCAGGAGAGGACCGTCAATGATGGCGAGAAGTGCCTGGCGGAAGTAGCTGCTTGTTTCGGACTTGACATCGGCATGAAGATCGCGGCGAATGTGCGTTGTATATGTTGCGCGGACGGCCGCAATCTGGAGCGGATCAAGCTTGCTGAGTACTTGGATGAGAGCCTTTTCGTCTGTTCCAAACCCCTTCATTGCCTTGCGGAGAGTGTCAGCTTCTCGGCGGAAGTCACCCGGTGCGACCTGACCGGGAGCATAGCCTAGTGACGGGACAGATGGAACGGGAGGGGCGCCGTATCCTTGCGGAGGATGCTGAGGGGCCATATGCGGTGGCTGCGGAGAGTGGGCAGGTGGTGGATAGTTGCCAGGATACCCCGGCTGTTGTTGGTACCCATGCTGCTGCGGAAACCCTGGCTGCTGATATCCGGGTTGTGGAGGGCCGTTATGAGGTGGTGGATACCCTCCTGGCGGTGGTCCTTGCGGAGGGTGATAGCCTGGACTAGCCGGATATTGAGAGGGAGGAGGGGGTCCACCGTATCCAGAATGAGGTCCTGAAGGCCCAGGAGGCCCAGGAGGCCCAGGAGGAGGCTGGTATTGACCTGGGTGTCCGTATCCTTGTTGATTCGGCGGAGGCTGAGGAGGTGCGTTGTATTGACCTTGTGGAGGATAATACCCCTGCTGTGGTGGGTATGGAGGTTCTGTAATCATTAGTGTATTAGCTTTGGAGAGATCGTCTCAGGCGAAATGGAAGAAACCTTACGATTTGGTGGATACTGATTGTATGACATGTTTGCGATGAAGAATAGATGGCGTTGCGAAAGAATGGCGGAGGAGATGGAAGGGCCCCCAGATATTTATTCTGGCCATGACATCGCCTCAAGAGCAAACGGCCCACTTTAATGACGGAGGGGTAACACGATGTGGGCTTAGCCAAGCGGCTCTAATTGATTGGATTGTGGCGCAGTAAGGCTGATTTTTGCTCGGCATTTGTGGCTTTCTGGAGTTTGCCTTCACACATTCCAGAAGTTCCAGCTACTTTCCATGTTCATCTCCACAATTCTCGCATTCAAACATTTGATTCAGCCTTGTAGGGCGTTAATCGCGATTACTCCAATGTAGTTGTCGTACCTGCTGCAGTGCTGTGGTGCGGACCGCGGCTACCATGGTACGAAATGTGGCTATACCCTTAGCGTCTTGCGATTTACTCCAGAGTGCATACGATGAACGCTGACCGGAACAGGCAGACAGCATTTCCTTTCCATACGACCGCGTTGATTGAAGCGGTTCAAGGACCAGACTCCTCCAGGTTACGAAAGAAAGCTTCTCAAGCACTACGCTGTGGCATCAATGCAGGGTGTACATTGAAGTCTTATACCAGGGCGAGATAGTCAGCAGATTCATATCGCTTCCGTTTCCGAGGGGAATCTGTTACTGACAATGGATCGAGAGGTATTGGTGACACTACCTTAATATGCAAAGTGGTGGCACAGTTTCGCAATCGGCGCGCTCTACGTCGCTAGATCTCATTCTGGGCTGTCGCAAGAAGACACTTCGATCACGAGGTATATGGCTGGAGCCTCGCCCCCGTCTTGTGGTTCTTGAGTGATCACTGATAGCAACCTTCAATAGGTTCGCCACTATGCGGATCTGCAAATCGGCGTTCTCTCCGTGACCTACATCACACCGTGCCTGCACCTCTAATCCTCGTCGAAGAGTTGCGAGCATCTTAAGGGCTGCTGTCTTGAAAGCAAGGAAGATCCCTGTATACATCTACAGCCCGTGAGAAATGTACCAAGTCCTAGACAAAGTGCAAGTCCGAAGCGTGCAAGCATTGGTTAAACAGCCAGGGATCCAGCATGACCCTTTGACACACCTCACGAAGTCATGGCCAGGGTGTTGTCGAGCGAGATTACCGGTCTTTTAGCCAACACAGCCGATTGTTTGGATATCTAGCGTCTCCTGGTCGATCGAGGATTCTATAGATGGGGCGCAAAAGCGTCCTGAGTGGGCAGCCTTCTACACCCGAGAAAAGCTAGTTCAGCACTGCCAACCCCCCAGGTAAGCCGGGAGAGACGTCGTCACGGGGGATAGGAATGAGGAAAGCAGTATCTCCTGATAATTGTCCATCAACGGAGCAGAACCGACCGTCATGGCTATTCAACAGAGTGGCAAACGAATATTCCCAGCACTCTACCATCCAGGCTCTCTCTGTCCTTCTGTCCTCCAACTTCTGGGATCTAACCGAAAGAGGCGAAGGACCAATGGAGGAGTGAGGCCTAATTATCAACTCTATAGATAGCGAGCACGATAGTGATTACTCGGCATGAGAGAAAGTGAAGCGTTGGAGAGTGATTGCTATTCATGAGTCTAATTCCATATATCGAAACGACAAGAAACTGAATCAACAAGCAATATGTTCTCCGACTAAAAGACATCCATAGACAAATCCGTGTTCCCATTCCGACCGTAATCACAAAATAAAGTTAAAAGTCCATTCTTCCCTAACCCCGTGTGAAACCCATTGCCGTAAACGAAAACTGAAGAAAGAGCACCGAGGATATGATTGAGGTCGCTGTGTTTGCTTGACAGCGTCGTCGTTTGTTGGCTGTGGTAGATAGTAGAAAAGCAGCGACAGCAACACGACTTGATATTGCAACGTATCTAACCACCGAAACCGTAGAGGGTACGGCCCTGGCGCTTAAGGGCATAGACAACGTCAAGCGAGGTGACGGTCTTGCGCTTAGCGTGCTCGGTGTAGGTGACGGCGTCACGGATAACGGACTCGAGGAAGGACTTGAGGACACCACGGGTCTCTTCGTAGATCATGGCGGAGATACGCTTGACACCGCCACGGCGAGCGAGACGGCGGATAGCGGGCTTGGTGATTCCCTGGATGTTGTCACGGAGGATCTTACGGTGACGCTTGGCGCCGCCCTTGCCGAGACCCTTGCCACCTTTTCCGCCTGCATAATAGGGTTAGAATGTGTGAGGGTAAATAGCAAGAGCACAGGAGTGTGGATGGAGGATGGGATGGATGAATGAGGGGTCATGGTTGAGGCCTGGGTAGAAGGAAGTCACGTGGATGTAGATGCATGCATCATCGCATCGACGCGGACCATCCAAATAGCGACGCGTCATCCGAAAAAGGAGTATAATCATCAATGATGGAGATAACTTACGTCCAGACATGATGAGGATGGATCAAGATAGAAGTAGAGACGTGATTGAGAGATAAAATCTGATGGAATCGGGTTGTATTGGATGGAATCACGACCGAGAAATGTCGGGAGCAAGAGAGATGGGCGGCAAAGGAGGGGGAAGAAAGAAGAATCGTTCAGAGGAGTGGAAGAACGGGTTAAATAGGCGGGCGGTAGGCGACAGCGTGATCTAGAAGGGTTCTCCGTTTTGTGAATGACTAATCGCCCGGGGGTTAGTCGCAAGGAGTCAAAAAGCAATGCTGGCTGCTGATTGGCGGATGAGGGCTGAGGAAAAGCGCGTTATGAACGACAGCTTTCCAGATCATGTTTTGCCTGTTGCTGATGTGGTGCCGCGCGCCGGAGTTTGGAACGGGGCGGAGCTGGAGTGGCAGAACCTGCCCGGGGGCGGTGTGCGAGCTGACCGCCTTTTGCCACTTCTCAAGTCCTGGGGTAGGCGGGTAGAACCACACATCCTTATCGATTCCGATGCTACGAGGTATTTACAGATCTCACTGCAGTCAATGACTTGGTTCAGGCCTGCTTGTTTCCTAGCTGAAGCTGTCGTAATGCGCGATGGTGCCATCCATAGGATTCGATAAAATCCCAAAACTCCTGTCAAATGAACCGATAAATACAGCAAAAGGACAATGTGGACTCCGACAACGCAATGAAAGACAGAAGCAAACAACAACCCCTCCCAACACCATGCATAACCTCAAATCCGCAGACTAAATTAACAAACAGTGTAGACTTTTCAACTGGTAGTCGAACCTCTCCATACAGGGCGAGGCCCAGAGTCCCGCTAGGCGAGCGTCTCCATATCGGAGACGATAGAAGGTTGAGAAGCGAATAAAAGAAAGGACGCACATAAACTCGTAATCATGTTAGGACCGTTCCTCTGATGAATGCTGTTGGCTAGACGTATAGTAGATGTGCCGCCGCCTCGTAAGATATGAAATGAGATAAACAATACAATGAGGCAGAAGTCTCGTGTCCTCGCGGTTTATGATGCATCGCAGAGGTTGAGCCATTTGCGGGAAACAGAAAAAGAAAGACAAATACAAGTAACAGACATCATTGCGGATAAAAAAGAAACCACATCGGACAAAGTTTGTGGCGTAAAGTGGTTCGGAAATCACAAGACAAAGAGTTGTGGCTGAATCGACAGGAGCCGTTTATCTCATGATCGGATGCGGTAGAAACATTGCTGTGGTCATGTTTCAAAGAATATGCTGAAAAAAAGCGAGAGGGGGGATAATCTTCGGTTATGAGGCGCCAGACAACAATTTAGCCACTTATCATGGCTGGTGTTTGCGATTCGTTGAAGAGTCGTTCTTGTGCAGGCTCGAAGTACTTATATGAGAAGGTCTTGGGAGACGCCGGTAGGCTCAGTGGTGCGTCACCGGTGCTTTCCTTTGGTGAATAGCTAGCAGGTGAGGAAGCCGGCGAGGAGAAACTGGTGCCTTGACTCGAGCTGGTGTCGTTTACTTTCAGGGTACGGTTGAGGTTGGGCGAGGAGTTTGGGGAACCGTAAAAGCAGTAGCGATCAACGAGTTCTCTGTAGACCGAGGATTCGCGGTGCGGCTTGCTCGACATTAGAGAAGAAGGTTTCTCGGATCCGGTTTGAGCGGACTGTGAGACAGGCGATGCGGTCCGCACGCCGGAGCGTGGCGCTGGCGCTGAGGTGTCTGACTTGGCCTGTGCAGCAAGCATGGTGCGGTCATGTTCGGGTTTACTCCGTATGGCGGCAGACAGAGACGACTCAAAATCATACCGATTGCCGAAGACCTGATGGCCTTGCTTGTCGCGACGTATAGGCACAGGCGCCTCCGAATCGTGGGGCATGTCATCGTCAACTTCAGTTTTGCTCTTCCGATCGCTTATCGGAGGTCCGAACGATATATAGCGATGCATGTCAGAGAAATCTTGAAGGGACGAAGGCATCGAATGGGGCCGACTGCCAGATCCAGTGAAACTTCTGCTTCGGGGCAAGTTGATTCGAGGCCGAGCACAAGGGATCGATTGTGTTTGTATCTTCGGCTTGGGAATCTTGGTAAAGTTGACTTGAAAGTCCCTCGTCTCGTTATTGTCCCAGAACTCTTGACCGTTCACATTATAGCGAATGCAGACAAACATGGTCTTCTTGTCGAGATTCGTCTGCTCGTCGAGTCTGATGTTGAACATGAACCGGTCGTAGCCATCCTGCAGCTGCTTTTGTCGAGCATCGTGACTGTACTCGGCAGTCACTTCCGAGGTTGTCTTCCAGCTGTCAAAAGTGAAGCGGGCCGCAACATGTTTCTGGAACGCGAGATTAGCAACCACTACCATGCCGACCAAAGAGTTCTTGTCGGACGAGAGGAACAAGCGCTCAAGGCGAACACGTTGATGAGGCTGAGATGGCGGCTTGTGTGGAAAGTTCGACAAGCGAAGTCCCCATTCATAGGATAGCTCGGACTCCGTGTTGGTAAACGGATATTCTCCATCTGCATCAAGGTCCTCCACAGGTGATGTATTGGCACTAACAGCCTGTGGCTTGTCAAGCTGCAGGAAGTGGCGGATATGCTCCAATTGAGCATCAAAGTGGACTGCTTTTGAGTATGTTGGAGTTCCAGGCATGCTTGAGGGTCGCCGACGAGCAGATGGTGGGCGCAAAGCGGGTCTCACAAGCTCCCCAGACTTTTTGCGGACCATCGGATATTTGGCTCTGGGCTCATCATCTCGATCACTCTCCTCTGGAGAGCTCGTCAACGCCTCCTCCTGCTTCCGACTAATGGCGTTTTCAACGAAGGAGCGAGAACGAGAAATCATTCGGTTGTCTTTTGTCAGACACGGCCGAGATGGTTTCCCAGCATGGGTTGCCGTCGTGCCCTTGCTTCCTGCGTGCATGTCCTCTGGCTGTTTCCTCTCTGGCGATGACGAACGCTTCTGCTCGATTGATCTGACAGCCGCCTCCAGTTCCTCCAGTTGAAGTACATCCCTCGGTTGACTAGCCGACTCTTCATCACTAGAGTTCTGTCCAGACTCCGGCGGGGAAAGCAGGGCCCCAGGTGGGATCGGTCCCTCGCTCACAGGCGGAGGGGATTGCCTGATACTGGCATAGATATCGGTGTTTTGCTCCAACTCCCAATTGTTCTCTGGTGCTGGAAACACAAATGACTTGCTATTTGAGGGAGAACGTCGATGGCGACGAACATATGAAGCTGAGTAGGACTGAGGAAGAATTAGGTCGACGGCATGAGGGTCCGCCACGGTGGGTGAGCTAGGAGAAGGGGGTGTGCTTGGATCGGAGTGTTCAATATGTTGCGTAGAAGGCGTCGTCTTCAACGGCGCAGTGTATGGCATCCGGCCGGTCTTGTGAAGGAACACAAGGAGCGGGCAAGGCGAGGTGAAGAGGGAAGACGGGAGGAGCGCTCTGCGGACGCGGATATGGAGTAATTAAAGAATCAGTCGAGAGGCGATGTATCTGTAAATAGAGCCTTCTGGTTGGGGTCAGCAGCTTATCAAGCGAGGCATGGGTTGCACAAAACGGCGGACGGTGGCGCCAGATGTGAAGGCTCACAGATGTACATGCAGGGTTCAGACGATAGAAGTGAAGCATAGTATGCTGGGAGACTTGAAGCCCCTAGAAAGTCCGGGAGTTCAGGAGCTCAATGGAACAAGTTGGTCCGGGTGGCCAGAGGAACATGACGAAACAGGGAGGAGCGATGCAGCAACTTTAGCTGATCAAGGACAGGCAGGTACCACGACACGACACACGCGTCACACCATGGAAGCAGGCAACGGCGGCAAGAGAAGCTCAACGAGAGGGAAAGTGACCGATGCGACAGTCCGAGTGGGACGACAAAAGCAGCTGTCCTGAAATCAGAGTGATCATACCTTGTATATACGACATCAACGCTGGTGATAGTCAAAAGGTGCGCGGAATGCGGCGGGTATAGCAAGCAACAAGGACGAAAAAAAGGGAAGAGGAGTATATTAAGCTAGCAGGGCGATGAAGAAGCAGATGATCTAAAATCAAGAAATAAACTGCACGAAGGGCAGGGGCGGCAAAGAAGAGAAGGATTCCAGATCATGGAGGAGTGGGGGGGAAGAGAAGGAGGCGCCTGGTTAGCTCCTCGAGGTGATATATAGATTATAGTTCGTGGAGGGGAGAGCATTAATAAAAGAATTATCAGGAGCGGGAGCCAGAGATTAATAGATTAAATTCTTGGGAGAGTCATGTAATAGTCGTCATTTTATCAATGGGTTAGTATAAGAGACTAAGCCTGCCAGTCAGTTCTTGTTAGTCTGAGACCCGCCCGGAGCTGCATGCACGCAGTGCACTGATATTGGTGATAAGGCGGGCCCCGGAGAGGATCTGACCGGAGGCAAGGAAAATTTCGATTCCTCAAAGCTCGTGAGGGGCAACGAGCCCACCCCCAAGTCGCTTGTCGCCTGGCTCGCATTGGCCTCGGTGCATGTTATGATACATGGTAGCTCTCTCCAGAATTTTAGACTTCCTCGACCAGAATTTTACTGCTTATCAGAGTTTCTTTGACCTGAACTCTTGGTTCCCGGATACGGGGAAAAAAAACCTAAGGTTCGAGACTCGGCAACCCCATTGATGATTGGGGGTTGCCGCCGCACCCGGGCCAGGCAAGGCACACGGCAACCTTGGAAGTTGGCTGGAGAATGAAGGATTATTATCTTGATCGCAATGATGATGACGCCGATTACTATGATTCTAGGGTGACAGCCGCGCCTGTCACTAGTACTGGTAATTTTCACATTGATAATAGTATAGGTGACTAACCAACTTAAAATAGGCGATCGAACGGTCTGGGACGGTGGGACCATCCCTCCAAGACTCCAAGAGAGGCAGCTCAAAAAAGCCACTGAATGCGCCCCCCCAGGACGACGGGCCACTGGAGAAGAGAGGTCGCACTGTGCCACCTCTGTCGGATTTCGCCTCCCGATCGCACGATTCAGATGCATGTTAAGCCAGCGACAAAGAAAAGTCTGATATACTACTTTTCACGTTCTCTCAGCAGCCAGGACTCCTCGGAGCATTCGCCATTCGCCAGCTTGGTGTCTGAGCGGGCCGTACGCTCAGTCATCGACTCATGGCAAATCCAGCGGTGAGTGCTAGAACTATATTCTCCACCGGTGAGAAGGATGATGATTGGGAAAAAGGAAAAAAGGATGGTAACTTTCATGTTTCAGCAGGTGGAATTGCCTATCTCCTCTCTTCCATCTCGCACATGGGCTACGATTATCTTTGAGACCTGGAGAGCTCTCGACCAGGTGATCTTCATGGCTGCATCTCCGGAGTCTTCTGTCTGGTCCACCCTGGCGCTGCATGTCTGGGAGAAATGAATGCTAACTCGGTCGGTACTAGAGGCTCTGACCCTTCCCTCACTGCCGCCAGGAAAACAAGGCAGGGGTGCATTACTCCGGTTTCTTGTCTATCGCCTGTTCCAAGTTTTTTTCTTTTTTTTTTTCTCAAGATTTTCTTTGCGCCGTATTTGCTTTTTTCGCACATCCGCCTCTCCCTCCAAAAACTGGGAATAGCATCATATTCGACGAGCGCCGCTGAGAGCAAATTGAAGCCACCACCTGTCAGTTTGGTGGACAGCAAAGGTTCCGATGCTAAATTGCCACTTTGATTGACAAGAGATAAGATGTCCCATGGAAAAAGTCCTCCTCTCCTCCCCCCTACTCCTCCCTCACCTCCCGGACTGATCGAGTGAGTGTCTGGAAGCTCCCAAGGAATTCGAGCAGTCATCATGACAGGAGGGTCTGGGTTAAGATAACCGTGGGAGGCCTTTTAGTCTCCACCGTTGACCCACCGTAACTCCCTCGGTATTCCGCACTAAGGGCGTCCAGGCCTTTGTCCTTTGCGCCCTCGCTATCCAACCACAGCCCTGCCACGGGGGTTGTTGAGGCGAACACAGTCAGACCCTGTTTATTTATTATTCATCGTTTTCAATCTCAACTTCCTTCAAACGCGTGGATTCGATGAGTTTGAGATATGTTATATATGTCCCGGTTTTGATCCCCCCAGGTCCCAAGGAATGATGGAGAAGTCAATGGGGCCATCAGCTCAGCCTCTTGCGTCAATCACAACGTTGCAGCCGTTGGAAGCCTGGGAGGCTTCACCCCACGAGACTCATTAACTCTTAAAAGGAATGTTGACTCTCTTCTCATGGTTACCGGGCAATCTCCAGAATTTTCGATCCAATATACTACTCTCGCTCCGCTTCAGCTAGGACTGGTCGCTTGTCGCGAGGGATGAATCCCTCGTGGTAAACCTGGGGCTATATCCATGCAGGATCGCACATAAGTGATCACCACCCCTCATTCTACTTTCATCAAAATCATATGGGCCGAGGCGCGCACCTGGCCACTGAGTTTATCTGGTGTCCGATCTCGACGGAACGAAGTTTTTCGCAGGTGCAACAACCCATCGACTCACTGTTCGCAATCCTGGATCCTGGCAACCCAAAGCCGTTACCCATCGGCATATATGGGGCAGGCCATTGCTAGCCCTGCCCCAGGCGTAAGGATCAGGACCGCGTTCGACTTACGACTCTTGCGAGTGAAAAAGGATTGATATCAAAACGCGAATGCCTTGGAAATGCTTCTTAATGACGTCATATCTTCTCAGCACTCCACCTCATTCTGGATTTCCGCATTGCGGGCCTCTACTCGTGCGCGGAGTACGGAGTACGCTGAGAAATAATTCTCCGGACATCAAGATTCATGATACCTGCACAGACCGTCATTCATCAATGGAATCGTCCTGCCGCTGGCCAATGATGCTCTCCTGGACTATTCTACAGTAAGAATAGATTTGTGTGAAGAGGTGGGATATTCGTCTTGGCTTCTGAGCGTACAATCTCTATGGTTCCTAACCGATTCCGGCATCTCGGTGGTTTCCTGCACAGATCGCAAGGACGCGGCATGAAGAAGATTTTCCCCATGGATGCTTGACGGCACACAACCGCGCATATCTGGGGGAATTGGATCTGATCTCTTTTCTGGTTATCGTGTAGCTGCCTTCGCTCTCTCCAGCCCCTAACCGAGAGTTCGAAAAGATCTGCAAACTATCTAGAACTCCTCGATCACGCCATTTTCAAGGAACAGCATAAGTTCTCTTTGTCTGCTGTATAACTGTCGGAAAGGTGTCTATCATGTATCTCGCGCTACTGTAGAACGATTTGATATACCCCAGCCGTAGCTAAAACTCCCTGAGGGGCTGCTGTCTTCCACCCCTGGAGTCCATAAACTGTCAACGGTCTTTTATTCCGGACATCGGAGCTTCCCTGAGCCGTACTGGGTATCAAACTTGGAATACGCCCCGTGTTTGCATGCCAGCAGCTTCCATGATGAAGAGCGTCCGGGCGCTTGTCTCGCACATGCGATCCACTCTTATCAAACCCCTACAAGTGTAATCAAACTACGACTCCTCAGTTGCTCGGCGGTTCCCCGCCAGAGAACGAGGACTCCATCGGTGCATCGCGTGTGTCGAGTCTCGAGGATGTCGAGGGACAGTGGTACAACATCGCAGTTTGCCACCGGCTTTTTCATTTGCTAATTTTATTTACAACTGATATTACCTGCAATCGCCAGGCCCACAATCAACATCTGTGCTTCAGAATTGTCTCTCCGAAGCAAGGTACATTATTCCCTAAGGCGTGGTCGAGAGAAGAAGCGACTCACAATTGTGTTGATCTTGGATGAATCTATCACTCGATATTGGCTGTCAGTGGTAGCATCTCCCGCCAATCAGGCGACCCCAACGGCTGCTGAGTCCGAGAAAACAAGGAATGCTGCAACCCTCCCAACACCTTAACACCGGTGCTATTGCATCGGCTTCTCGCGCCCCGACCGTCGTGCCGGGAGGCGATTCCAATGTTGCTGAATTACCGCTATCCTAGCCTTCCCAGAAAAGTTCTATAACTTAACTTGAGGCGATGCATAGCCCTACCAAGCCGAGCATCGAGTTGAAAAAGACAACCTGCGTACGGGATTACAATAATAGCTCGAAAACTTCTGGAGTCTGGGCCTGAGGGGTACGCTGTCTGCCCCTTGAAACTCCTCTTTTCATCGAGTCTGAGCGCTCTCGCGAAGGAGATCCCTGTCCTCACGGCCCTGACCCTTGCACCTGCCACCTGTGCGTTGTCAATGATATCCAGCTATATCCAATCCTCAGCACGGGCCAGGCGGTTAGATCTCGAGGGCAGGCTTGCTAGATATCAGACATGTCAAGCGCCGGAGGGGATAGCCAGAGATGATTCGTGCGCCCATACTTCCAGATCGGCAGTACGGCCACGGTCGAGCCCTTCGGATTGCCTTTTCTAGTCTTCCTCATCAGGAGTATACTTTGCTGCTACCGATTTCCATGTCGCAATGGGCTGGGGGTGTTCTGAAACGGCGGTCAACTAACTTTGCCGCAGCAGATGATATTGCGAAGACGGGCGTCTACTAAGAGTTGCTCTCGACATGGAAAACTCTATTCTCGATGAGTACCCAAATTCTGTGATGGCCGGAGTCCGCCGCTTATCTCGCCATGGTTGCTTGCACGCTATCCTAGAGACCGTCTACGGATAACATCTTTAGGCAGTCGCCGAGAAAGGGCCGTCCCGCTCAGATTTGGTCAACTGATGGCAGCTTTGACGATATCTTCATCAGTGCAGACAACAATGAGGCCCGAGTCCCCATGGGGAGTCGGGGAACAATGCACTCTTACTTGCGTCGGAGCTTGCTGGTCCACCGTCGTTATCAGTGGAGTGCGCGATGCCCCGCTTCAACTCCTCTTCACGGTGAGCTTTTTGCTCCATCAAAGTTTCTGGTCCACCCGCCTGTATGCCATCGCCGACTCATGGGCGCAGTGTTGGCGACGAGGATGGAAATGGAACATCACTTACCTTTCAGGAATCTCCTATCGCTAGTCTTCCTGAGCATCTGCAGGACGGCGTCTGATTGCCCGGCCGAATCGACAAACTTCGGCTTCCATGCAAAGAATCTGCACCGTCCGACCACCTGACTCTTGCTTGATCGACGAGCGACCGTCTCAAGAGGCCGACAGGTACTCGGAAGTATTGCGACATTCGGACTCCGTACCTGAGGCGAACAAGGTCCCAGATTGAAATAATCTCTTATTGCGCCCCGGTCGAGCCATAGCGCCCGCTGTGCAATGGACCACCCAATAGGCGTGCTCGCAAGGCGCACTCATTGTGAGGTGACAGCGACGAGGCGCTAATTATTTGTCCAGACCACACGAGGCCGTGCTCTGCAGTTGATGGCGCACTGGCGGTGGGGCTCGAAGCTTACGGGCTTATTTTAGTGTCGCGAACTGACATTTTATCTGCAGCCAATGCATTAGGCTGGGGCCAAAGCTCGATAACGGCGCAGTCTCGACATTCGGAGCTTGAGGCGCTATGCATGTATGCATGTATGCACCTGTGCTCTCGGACCCCAGCCCTTCATCGAGAGTTGACTCGACGCGACCCAACGCCACTGCTGCAGCGAGTGAAATCCACGCTTGGGGCATCATTTCAGATTATTCCGCTCCGTATATCAATCTCCAACGCGGATCAGCCGGAATGTCGCACTGCGATGCATTGCAAATCGAGCCGATCTGTCGTGCACCATATACTATGGTATACTATTGGACTGCAAATCGCCACCCCACCCACAGTTATACTCGAAAAATATCGTGCGATTGCAGCATTGAGTCCTCTTAGCCTCGACTTCTAATCCGACCTCAGGAAGTATTTTAAGCACAGTCCGCCGCTTAAACTTCAAACTATCCTCCACCCTCGATTCTGGGCCCTTAGCTCATTCCGCCCCTCTGAACTTTATTCTCCGGGATTGACTCAATTTCCCCTTGTCGCCGCCTGTAACAACGAATAGCTTCGCCACTGGAGTATATCTCCCAGACCATATGGCTGGCTGGCGCTCATAACCATGGGTAGCGCTGGCGGGGGGGAAGTAAAACGCAGATCCGAGCGCTATCAACCCCTCCTCGCGGTCTCTGCGTGGCCGTGGCGAAGCCGCCAAAGCACATGTCAACAGCCCCCTAGTTGAAGTGGCTTTTCAGAACTTAATCCGACCCTTGAGAATAACTTCCATTAGCGGTCAGAGCTTTGCGGCAGACGGTACGAGATATTCTGCGGGGTGCATTTGAATCCTCCCTGTAAGCGCGAACTCGGCTCGAGACATGACATGTCAGCTGTCGCTACAGTCATAGATGGGTATAGATGCCTTGCGGGGTAGATAACGTTTTTGACAGCACATCAATCTCACCTACCGTGCGCAATGAGCGCCTAGCCGAAGAGCTAGCCCTGGCTATACGAGTGAGCCGGCCTAACAACATCCGACCCTGGCTCACTTAGTATCAGCTAACTCACCCTCGGCCGATATCCGCTATTTGTCGCGCCATCGTTTTCTTCAGATGATCTCGTATCTCAGACGGCCCGCAAGGTCTGTGTCCCTATAGCGTCGACAAGGTAGGTATAAGATGTAGCAAACACAAAAGGGACAAAAGTACCAGCACCGCCAGTTTCGGGGTCGGATGGGATTTCTCCTCTCTTTTCTCAGGTTTCTTCTCACCTCGCGGAAAATTGTTCCCGATGGGCTCAGTAACCGCGAGTATGATACCATCGTCTCCATGGTGCTACCTATTCACCCTGCTCTCTCACACCTCCCTTCCTCTAGCATATGCGGAATCTATCGAGTCACTACAGCAGACCCGGTCTACACCTGAGCAAGTTTAGAATGATACAAACTGTATGTTTATACCTATATAGAACCACCATCTAACCGAAAGGATACTGGGAACCGTCGCCCCTTATCTCTCCCGTCTCCCTTGCGCTGCTTGGATGGGCTGCACATGCCATAGGTTTCTTCGCTTAACCCCCTCCCAGTACCATAATAGTACTATCCAGGTAGGCACCGGGGCATCTGGCGATATACATTCTTATCTCGCCCTCGCAGCGCTAAACAAAATCAGCGATCGGTCCATCTGTGGCAGGAGCTTGGAAGCTCATGGGCCTACAGCAGCGGTATCAACCTTCTCAACGTGCCTATATACCTCTAGATCGCTAACGGACGACTCATCTCCCCGTCAGTCTGATTCCATAGAAGTGCGAGGTTGAACACCCTGATTCCAACCGCCAGACCTTCCCTCGAGAGAACATATCCACAGGAAACCAGAACGGAGCAAAGACATTGTCCCTGTGAGAGTCCTAATCCATGTACGTCAAGAAGTGAGGCTTCTGAATTGTGAGACTGACGCTGCTGGTCGATGAGATGGCCAGAAGACTAGAATACAGCCTAACCACCTAACGAATTGACTACCAGTCTTGTCAGTGTGGGCAGTATTTCCTCAAGGTATTCCATCCTCCGAGCGTGGTTACTATTGTGCTATTGTGCTATTGTGCTCAATTTGCCTTTGGCTCACTCACTGTGAGTTTGACTGAAAGTGAAAACCATCGCCGACACTGGCAAATTCTATTGCTTGGGGGAGTCAGCGCTGTATTTCAATGCCGTCTATCTACTATGCTTTTGAACGCTGATACTTCTCAGAACTACATAGGGCACCATGGTACCCTCTACGCTAATCATATCGTCTCCAATAGAGAGTCTACCTAGTTCTCTTACCGAATGCCTTTTTTTTTGGCTGGTTCTTGAATGTCCGTGGCTGTCGACATCCGTGCCATTGCTTCAGACAGGTTGGTGCCGTATCGCCGGAGAGTGTCTCCATGGTATTCAGAAACCTGACGTCGTCGGTAGCGAAGCAGGAGAGCTGAAGCCCAGTCAATACCAGTCAACTGACACCCACCCACGGTCTGTAGGTCCTCGTCTTCATTCAATTCGCGTGTCCTTCGTCCCTCAGCCAGACCGTCGGGCGAGCCTAAATACATGTCTAGCACACGCACACCACGCACAGCCGAAGCAAAGTTCGGTGAAGCCGCCTCCTCTATCGGGCCAAAAGATGGAGAAACTCTCGAAGGAGGACACTCAACGCCGAAGCCAAGTGGGTCCGGCTTCGGAGGCATTCGGTCGTAACCACCACACCCCTTCTCGTGTATTCACCATCGTTAGGAATGAGTAATACCTTGAACTGATATATACCTTGACTTGGCTGGTCTTATCAACCATTCTTTTTTCCATTTTTGATTTAGCGTTTTTGAGCCCAAAACACCAAGATGCGTAGCCGTCCACACTTGTGTATAGATGCGCGCCAAGACCCCCAATGACCTCCTCGCTCCGAGACCAGGGCATGTGCAATGGGGCGGACTGTGTGGGTATATACTAAGAGTATCTAAGGGAGAAGTAGTCTTGTTGATATAAAGAGTTACTCAGAGCTGTTTTCTCGGGGGGGTTGTAAATAATTTATGCGTCAAGCAACTATATATCGCAGCGACTGATTCACTACTACGACCACGACCTTCATATTGCTCAGAGAATATTCTATCCGATTACAGCAGAACAAGAACAACAACCATCAAGAGAAAGCGCACGTCAGTAGCAAGAGCAGGTCTCACAAAATGACAATGTTCGTCCTTCGTCTATCCTTCCTTCCAAATCGCCTCGAAGAAAACTAACCGCCATCACAGGCAGCCACAACTACAAATACCTCAAACCCAGCAACACCACCTCCAACTCCAGCCCCCTTCAAAAACCACAAGACATCCATCAACGCTCTCCCCACAAGAACTCGACCTCGACTATGACTACGACGATATCGACATCTTCCCAACAGGTCTGACCCCAGACCTAACCTGGATCGACCTCCCAGTTGCCGCGCGAAACGCAGACACTGCAGACATCTCAACCTCGAATCTGAGTGTGCGTGATGCTTTTGATATCTTGGATATATCGCTCCCGGATCCGGTAGGCTGGAGCCCGTACGAGTCCTCGGCTTCGGGGTCTGTGAGTTCGATGCCTTCACACCAGCCGACTGCAGAGGCTCTTTCCAGATCATCGAGTCCGAGTACAGCCACATTTACAGCTACAGCTACGAATACCTTGTCGGACGACTCTTTTCAGTTCATAAATGCGGCACCGGTAGCTGCAGGCACCGGCACCGGAATGACACTCACAACACCCCCGGAGCCAGGCCCAGGGCCACAAACAAGGCCCAACCTACTTCTCTTGCCACAATCTACCGCCACATCTTCACCTACGGGTACTCCATTTGATTCATCTCTTGCAAAAACGAGGGGAGTATCGAAGCGTCAGCTCAACACGGAGGCGGCGCGGCGATACCGGCAGCGGAAAGTGGATCGAATGAATCAGCTTGAGGAGGAGTTGGAGCTTATAAAGAAGGAGAGGGATGAGTTGCGGATGAGGGTGTCGAAGCTTGCGGGGGAGACGGAGGGACTGAAGAGGTTGTTGGATGTTAAGACTTAGTCTGGGCTTAGATATATATCTTAGGAAATCTGAATTAACAATTGGCCCTGGCTTCTAAATGTGTATGGAATATGATCTAAAGACTGGTTGATCTACTAATACTACATGTAAAGCTCTGAATTTGGATTGATTTGATTGAATCTGCAGACCGTATCTAGGCCGTTATACCACATTAATCCTCATCATTCAACATATCCGACATCCGGTAATGGCCATCGCTGGCTACAGTCTTAATTCTTGAATTAAGATAGGAAAGGAAAAAAGCAATGCAAAAAAACAGAAATCCACCCAAAGGTCCAGCTTCATGGCAGAGGAGAAGGGAAATTGAGATACATGTTCATCGTGGAGTATCGTGTAACAGTGCAGGGCATAAAACAGTCATACAGCCACCCGAATGCAAAAAAAAAAAAAAAAACAGAAAGCGAAAAAAAGAACTACAAAGACTGAAAAAGAAGAAAAGGCGCCAGTGACTAAGACTGGATACCTTGATCATCTTTCGCTGACAAAGCTGACATAATTATAAGTAATATAGTAAAGTGGATCGAGGCATATCGTTAATCGTGTGGTTCATCATCATGTATATCGTTGCAAGGCGAGTAACGCGCTAAACACTCGCTGTTCGGCGCTTCTCGCTCGGTTTCTGTGTATATGCAATCAACAGGCGGAAGCCTGTGCCTCGCTGCTGGCATTCGCGGAGGACTTTCTTGTTGGCCCAGATGCTGCGGTCAACGTCGCCGTTGGGAAGCACGGGGCTTTCGTAACAGCGCGTGTACCACCAGCGACCTACCCGTGCGACGATTTTTCGGATAGACTCGTCGTTCGAGGGGGATGGGGATGGGTCGGAGAGAAGGTCTCCGAGAGACAGGACGGTATCGTTAGACGAGGATTTCTCGTGTGTGTTTGACCGGAAGCTGGATGACCCGGAGGTGGCAGAGGTCGCGGAGAGCGCAGTGGACGAGGTGACCGCGGCAGTCAATGTGGATGGATTGGATGAGGATGTCGAGGTCGAAGAGGCAGACGTGCGGACAATCATTCCCGCGACGGGGATCTGTACCATGCATCGGCGGAGACTGTCAAAACCATGCGTTCCTAAGAGTCTCTGGATATTGTCGCTGGCGGGCTTGAGGCTGATGCTAGCGTCCGACAGATACATCGTCTCCTTTAGCTTCCTCACTGCTCGGCGAGTGCGAACTCCCATGTTCACCATATCGTGGTCGAGGATGCTCATCTCTAGGTAGCCGCCCGGGCGAAGTACGCGCTTGCACTCCGAGATGATGTTGTTTTGTGCTGCCTCGGAGCAAGCGGCGGGGAATCGCAAAACAGTCACAGCAAAGAATCCCTTGGGGAACGGAACAGGATTCTCAAGACTGGAATGATGGATCGTATGATGATTTGATGGGGGTTGCCAGGCAGCCGGGTGTCTCGACGCGGTTGGAGTAGGCCCTTCATGGAGACAATATACGACGGCCTTGGGATAAGTCAGGGCGCAGTAAAATGACCAATCGTCATTTCCTAAACCATCGACTACTAAAATCCTCTCCTGCTCTTGCTTGACGTGGTTGTGCGCTGGACTGAAAAGAACTCTTCCAAAAGACAACCAGCGACTAGTCATCAATGACCCGGACCGAATGTTTGTTTGCGCCGTGGGACCCTCACGGTCGCGCTCGGCGATGTCGAACAAGATGGTATTTCGCTGCCGACAATTCTCGAAGCTCGGCGAGGGGTCTAGGCTCGGAGAGCTGAGAAGACTTGACGGCGGCTGTTCCACTGCAATTGTAGGTGTTGGCATTTCGGTGGTCAATTCAGCCTCTGGTTCCTCGTTGATCTTGTCATCGCGGTAACGGGCCATGAGATCGCTGACAGAAGGTTGAGAAGTCGGGCTAAGAGACGCATGTAGGGCGTTGGCGATCTTGGACCGGCGAAGGTGAACGCTCGAACGAGGTGACGCAGGCGTCAGAGAAACCATCGGCTGCTCGGGGGTGCTGGGCACAACAAGCTTGCTGTTGAGGCCAGCCTGGAGAGCACGGCTTGCTCTTGCTGCCAGCTCAAACTTTTCACAGGTCTCAAGGCCACGAGGAAACGGAAGGTTAGGAGTCTCGGGGGAGAGAACGTGGTCAATAAACTCGTCGTATTCTCCCCATACCTCATCCTCGGTGAGGTCAGTTCCAGGCCTTGGAATTACGGCGGTGATTGCAGCCAGGCTTTCAGATCCGCTTGAAGTCGAAAAGACCGAATCCTTGCGAGGAGAGAACGCTAGGAACTCTTGCCTCGAGTATGGACCCGAGAGAAAATCCAAAACGCTACCTTTTGGGTCGCCAAACGGGGAGGTCAGATCAAAACTAGGGTTCTCCAACTTGTGATGCAGATCAGGGTGCAGGCCTTGCTCGTGTCGATCCGGACTGGAAAATGCGTGTGAACGGTCGTTGGCAGTAACAGTCAGAGAAGGAGATTCGGTTATACTGAAAGGCCTGGAGAACGACTGTAACGCGGGCTTGTGCTGTCTGTCCCGTCTGGAAACCACGCGAGGAATTCGGCCAACGGAGGCTAGGCGGCTTGGGCGCTGCTCAGGAGATGTTTCGGTCTTCGAAGCGACTGCTGACTTTGGCGAATCCGTCTTGGATGGAGAGGGCCGGATGACTGGAAACTCACTTTGTAGCGTTGGAGGAGACGGTAGGAGAATAGATTCATGTTGTTTTCTGATCCTCAACCCCGCAGGTACTTCCACTGGCGCCATAACTTCTTCTTCCTCGGTCGGTGGAGAGTCCTCTAGATTGTGAAAGATATCCTCCAAGGGATCCGAATCGGTATCGACCATGGCATAATGAGCAACTGGACGGCGTGCGCCCACGGTAGCAACCTGCGCAGGCAATTGTTCGGCCGGACGGCCTTTCGCTGTCTGTTTAGGGAGCGGAGGTTCCGAGTCTCTCTGGAAGAACGGCCATTTGAGGTGAAGTCCCCGCTTAGATGGCTTTTTCAGTTGGGTCTGTGTCGGAGCATGACGTGCAGCGGTATCCGGCTGGATACTCCGAGCTTGAGTCTGAGTAGGAGATCTAATGTCCGCGCCAGACTTTGACTTTTCAGGGGAGGCCAGTGTTGGTGCCTTGGTCCTAGGGGCAGATATTGTTGCTGGACTCGAAAGGTCTCTTCGGTGAACAGCACTTCCCCCCTTTGAGGTTGCTGAAGGCTCGTAGAAATACCCCGACGGAGGAACTGGGGTGTGGCCTGGTGCAGATTTGGTACTAAGAGCTCCTGTGCTTTGCTCGCTTTGCGTCCGAGACAAACTAGCCCCATCCATACCACCGCCATTGATGTAAACAGGTTCCAGGCGTTCAAGAAAAAAGTCGTCAAGTTCTGTGTCAGCCCGGCTTCTGGTACTGGCCTTGCTAGAAGCGGACTTGGTGGTGCTTGTTGACCTTGCTCTAGTGTCGCTAGAGCTGCTAACGCTTGTCTTGCGGCCACGCTGCGCATACTTGCCATATCCTTCATGGCCTGTCCCAGCAGCGGGACCTTTCCTAGCAGGGCGAGCCTCGGTTTGACGGGCATCCAGATCAGGCTTTGATTTCCTTGGGAAAAGTCCAAACCTTCGGGTTTTTGCAGGGCTAGTGTCCGCAGGTGACGCTTTGTGTGGGTCCTTGGTCAGAGTTCGTGGAGACTTCCGTGACACTTCAGGTGAAGTAGGACTGCGGATGCGAGACGACGCAAGAGAGTTTAGGGAATCCACTGATGTAGCCGCGGATTGATTTGAGGCCAAGGCACCACTGGTGCTTTCTGCGGAAATGCGTCGTTTATGGCCCCTGATCACTCGTGCGGGTATATTCGCTCTGACAACGGGGGATGGTTCCAGGTCCAACTGTGTAGTGCCTTCCCTGCTCGGCCTAACTGGAATTTGAGGTGATGGTCTTGAAGGGCTCGACACCCCGGCAGCACCAGGCGAATCGGCGACAACACGCTTGGGATCTACCTTTTCAGATTTTGGAGGAATATCCGGAGTAGTTCTGACCTGTCTTGGGAGAGAGGATTTCATTGACATCCTCCTGGGTAGAAGACTTGGCGTCGGAGGCTTTGTGGTTTCAGGAGTTTCCGTTGCGTTCTCGCGGTTTTCAGTGACCAACGACGTAGTGGACCCAAATGTCTGTACTAAATTAGGGGACTTTCCAGCAGCCGGGCTACTCGGCAAGGATGGCTTCTGTGCCTGGGGTGAGAAAACTGGGAGTCTGGTCTGGGAAGGGCTCGGTTGTCTGAGACGGGGACCAACCTTCATAGGTTGAATAATGCCTGGAGAACATGACGAGAGCGAAGCGGGTGTCGATGTGGATGCCCTGCTCCATACGCCTGGAGATCCCGAATACCGTGTCGATGGAGTACTAGCCGAAGGGAAAATCGGAGTAAAAGGTGGCAAGTTTTGTGTGTTGATAGTAGTAGTTCGAAGGCTGGCCAGCTCCTTTGGGCCAGTATATGTCGGCTGCTCCGCGGATGAATTGGTAGTATGCCTCTCCGAAGAAACCATTGGTGACGGGGTCTTCCTAGCTAATTCCGTCTGACTGGATGACTGGGAAGAGCTAGGAATAATCACATTCAGGCCACCGGGACTCATGGACTCCGTCTGCGACTTGGGTTTGGCGCTATGCTGACCTATTGTCGGTGCTCTCCTCCTTAGTACATTCCGAGGTCGAGACTGGGCGGATGTGCGATTGTCGATGGGCGTTTGAGGTACGACAGGCGGATGCAGGGCTCGCGGCACCTGTCTATCTATCGTGGCACTCTGAGGAGACTGAGAAAGAGGTGGATGGGTCGGCGCTCGGGGAGGTATGTACGGACGAGGATCCGGGTTGAGTAAAGGATTTGACTGTGCAACGATTGGGCGACTCTGTTCTGCGTCTGACATCGAGGCAGTCCTCCTGCTTTTTGTCGACGGTGTGATTAATTTTGGAATCTGTAGCCTCGATGATGACGGCGGCGCACCCGACCCCGAGGAGCTGGTCTGAGTGGCAATCGCCGGCGTTGAGGCATTTCGACTTTGATATCCGAAATCCCTTAATCGAGGTATTCGCCCTCCATCAGACTTGTACGACATGGTGTGACCCCAACTTCAATTGCCAGCTGGAATCTAGAGTGTAACAATCAGAACGTGGCAAATGGTAATGTGATCTTGAAATCATTCCGCCTCTGTGAAGTCGATGGGCGCTGTTACGAGAGCACTTGATAGTAATCATGATCAGCCTGGAGTTAGAATAGACCGTGATATCAAATCACACTTACACTGTGAGAGCATGATATGAATCGCAAGGTAAACTTGAAGGATCGGTCCGCGCGAGCGGTGGTATCTCTAAGCGAAAAAGGGTACGAAAAGGCAATCCGCGTTTGGGTATAGTCGAATTAAAGAACAAGGGAAACCGGCACCCTTTCTATGCAGCAGGAACAAAAAAGTGACGTCGCAAGAAGAATGGCGGTCAAGTGAAAAATATATGAAGCTGTAGCTCACTCATGAAGAAAAGCTAGCAGGAAAAAAGCAAATGCGACAAGAATATACATGCCCAAGCGGATAATTAGCAAAGGATGCAGGCTTCGCCACAGGCGCGTCCGATGTGGCTAAGGCAGAATAGATCCGAGCTGGGTCTGCACGACCACGTCAGAGGTCGCATATACTTTGGGACAAGCGCCTAGTGTCGAAAAGGAAATGGTATACCGAATCAGCTGCGCGTGCGACAGAAGAGAAAAAGAGCGAAATTAGCGGTCGAGAAAAGAGAGCATGAGAGAAATAATGGGATTCCAGCATTCTTGACCCAGGATAGATCTGGACCTTTTTCAACGAGAGAACGTGCCTCGCGCTAACTATAACCCTGTTGGGGCTACTGGGCCTAGTGGGGGAATCAGATCCCTATTCGCAGGTTAACGATCCATCTAAAGGCGACGATGAGGGATCCTGGCGCGCTTTGAGCGATCGACGCCGGTCTCGGATTCGATGTTGATGTGATGGCGAAGATTATTGGCGCGAGAATTGCTCAGATTTTTTTCTTGAGCATTATCAACCGTCGCAGGAGTTAGGGCCTAGGGGAAGAGGGCCATCGCAGTCAGCCCTTCCTCAAGTCAGATGCCGTTGGGTGCACAGGTGCAAAGGGCGATAGGACTGGGTTAACGAAAAGAGCCGTGCCCGCCCCGCCTGGTTAGTCCATCCATGCCTGTACTTGCAACGACTGGGCGGAACTAGGAGGGCGCAGTACCAGCGGGTTCGTAGCCCTCTGAGCAGTAACCGTTGACAGGTTGAGTTGGGGACGAGTGGCGGGAGATAGCGGACAGCCGGTCTTCGCAGGACGAGCCATAGAAAAATGGAAGAATAATATCAGAAACCCCACCAGTCAACTATAGGTACAGAAAGCATTATGAATGCGATGAGCACAAGGGACTCTGCAGTAGTTCTGAGCTCTATTTGGCCGGAGGCTCTGGGGCAAAGTAGTCTGATTTGATAGTGGATCGGGAATTTTTCCTTGTTGGACTTTTTTTTTTTCCTGAAGGCACAGTCAGCACCTGGTCAGGTGGTGGTCACTGACTTGAGACGATCACGACCGGAGAGACCGAAGACCAGTCCTGTTGACTCGTGTCCCTCTCTCGCCAAAGGCTACGCACGCTCGAAACTGACTACTACTGTACTAACCATGCATAAAGGCAGATCCTTCGCCTTGCATGATTTTCGTTCCAGTCGTTCGCCTTGCTGACCTAAAAAAAGAAAAATCCGCATTTACCCCACTACTCGGGTCGATGATATCTACGAGTCACGACACAAGGCGCACTCACTACGTGCAGGGCTACTTGAAGCCAACACATAGTGGTTCAGCTAAAAAAACACTTTTTACTTTGATATATCCAAGTTTTCAAAGTCTTTCTTGCTAACAATAAACTTTCTTTGTCCAGTGGAATTACCCCTGACGAGAAAACAATATGGAGCACTTGGAAGGTTCGCCCCGAACTCTCCATTACACAGTCAGCACCATTCCAACGCTGTACAGAGACTGGATTGGTCGAGGACGGTGGTACGGTCACAGATAACGTTGACATGCACAGCCAGTGACGGGCATGAAAGGGTACCCTTGTTTTTAAAGCTGAGACCTCCGCTCAAAGTTATGTTGGGACGGGCCGTGAACCAGAGAGAGTCGCTTTCTGGTTCTGAACGGCTGGCAGTTCTGTCCGCAGCAATTCTGATCAATCTGTGGTCGCTGCCTTCAAGACCGGGGTCGCTGAGCCGTGGGTCCAGATCCGCCGCTAACCCATCGCTGAGTCTTGGGCCGTTCAATGCTTAACGGAGACTGGTTGACTCTAGGCAATCCAACAGACGCAGCCATATCCAGTCCAGTTTTAGTCTGACGGACAAACAGTGACTTCAGCGCGGGGATTCGTCAGAGAGAGTAGAGGCCCTGGCGGTCCTGGAGAACTCCAAGTGGAGATGGCGGTAAATCAAACCGTTCGACAGGGTAGAGGCAGGGAGTCAATTTCAGCCACAAAGCCAATGAGTAGCCTTAAATCCCAATCGGAGATTTGGATCTGTAAAGAAACTGTTGGTTAGAGTTCTTGCTTCGCTTTCTTCGAGCTCGTGCAGTCTGGAGAGCATGCAAAGCATCTTGGAAATGTCGCGAGGTGAAGCTGCAGCCAGAGCGTCGATCGGGATGGTTTGCTGCAGGAACCGCTTCCAAGGTTGCCGCGCCGCAGTTCAGCTGGAGTTGTCAATGTGCTGGCCGCCACCCAGCCCCGTGACTCACAGTCGGCGGAATGACGGCCGGCAACACGGGAGAGATCGAGTAAAAGACGTGAGCTTCTCCAACGCGTTGGAGATAATGCGATAGATGCGATAGAGCTGAAGCTACTGATAGCATCCCGCTCTGCCCAGTTATACGCTTCTACAAGGAATGCGACTGGCACATGGTCATTATGGAGGATTACAGACTCCAACCTTGGGGCGGCCAGGAGTGACTATCGCTCGAATCCATCCATCAGCTCTGCAACGATTCTGTGATTCATTGATTCCGTTCCGCGGACAAATCGATACTAACCTGACCCTATCAGAAATCGCCTATCGATCTATCTACGAGCTTGCGATACATCCATGACCTCTATCTACCCAGGAAGCAAATGCCCACTAAAAATGAGGTTTAGATTTCGTCCCATAACGCCGAATCAATTGACAACATAGCAGAATAAATAAGACATCGAGATAGAAAATAAAACGAAGAGAATGTGTGCCGTTGATCGACTGTGATATCACGCGGCGAAGCGCTTCTTCCGCGCCTCCATGGCCGCTTTATCCTTCTCACTCCACCCATTCGCGGCGCTATTTGTGCTGCGCTTCTGGGTTTGTCCCTGGGCCGGTCCTTGATTCTGTCCCTGGTTCCGGTTTCCTCCCTTTCCGCGTTGACGCTGATTGTTTCGTCCGTTAAAGTTTCGCTTCTTTCCTCCTCGGGATCCCTGGTCATTCTCACCGCGACCTCTCTTGCGCGATCTTTCCGGAAGAGCCTGGTCAAGTCGACTAATGGCGGCAGCATCGGTCGTTTCAGAAACAGTCTCAGCTCCAAAGCGCTTGGCACGCTCAAGCTTCTTCTCCGCATCGTCAATAGCAGCCTTGCTTTCCTCGGTGATACCAAACTTTTCGGCGCGGGCCTTGCGCTTCTTCAGTTCCTCCTCCAGATCAGTCACAGACAGTCCAATTGAGTAGTTATGAGCCGGTTTCTCCTCTGGCTGAGCTTCAGGCTCTGTTGTTCCGGTGATCGTTCCCTCTGATCCTTCCTGGCTGGCGTCCGCAGCGGGAGCATCCTCTGCCTTTGTTTCTTCGGCCGCGGAAGCGCTCTCCTCCACAGGCGCTGTAGTTTCCGCGGGTATCGCAGGCGCAGCGCCCTCCGCAGAAACCTCGTCATCCTCCCAGTCGATCACGTCCTCTGCGGCGGCGGGCGCAGAGGCGCTCTTCGTATCATCCTCTTGCAAACGGGCGACCATCTCTGCTTTCTTGCCGGTATGGGGGAGACTGCGAGACTTGAGTATCTCAATCAGCTCGGCGTTGGTCTTCTTAGCGTAGTCGGTAGTCATGACGAATATTTGAGGTGTTAATTGCACAAGTTTGTGTTTCGGATTCGGAGCGGCTTGAGTTGCGGAGATGGAGCTAGAGAATGACGGAAAGCGTTTGGTTTGGGGGTGCGTCGGATAGGTGGAGATGTGTATATCTTTAGTAGAAATTGCGCATAATGCGATGGATTCGAGGATGTGGAACGGAAAAGCCTTGGTGAATGAGACAGTGACAAAGGACCACTGTCGACTCTGACCTGAACGCGTTCACGCGGCGTGGTTCAAGACTCAAGTCACGTGTAGAGTCACGTGAGTGCGGCTGGTGCGTTAAAGCTTCCATCAAGAGTTACAACGTACGTACATCAGTATCTACAGAGTAGTAATCTACGAATGGAGACCCCTGACAACATGACTCCTAGAGTCCTCTAAACAGCAGGAAACCCTTGCGCTGGATGATGCCTATGCAGGCAACATGCTCATCTACATTCATCCCTAACAGTGCAACACCAACATTTCCAGTCGAAACTCGGTACCCCCGAATCACCAATATCGCGCCTATTTACACTCCCTGACTCAATGGAGCCACGTCTACGACGCCAAAACTCACTTTCAGGCGATCCAGGTTCTCGGAACCCACGAAAGCAGGCTTTAAGCGCCTCGGGCAATATCGAGTCGCGATGATCTGAGCTTATCGGGGCCACCGAGGCGGCGCAGGAGACGGTGGACAGGGTTGACAGCTCCAGCTGAGGCGGCGGCAAGCTTCGCTGATGTGGCAGTCGTTCTGTGGTTGTGGCGAGCCACGCGAGGCTAGAACGACGTCATCGGACAGGCACTGCCACAGGTCAGGTGGGCTCGTGGCTATGGTGGCTGTCATGTGATTACTGGAGGGCGACGCGGCGATAATCCATGCCGTGTTGAATGTTCCATGACTACGGGGTACTGGCACGGTCTTGGCCGAGCAGGGAAGGATAATACACCGATCAGTTACCTATGAGGGTCATGCATGTACTCGTTGGTCGGCTTTGGACTCACAAGTAACGAGCCTGCTCCTTCCCTCGCGGCATTCGCCCTGAGGCCGGGCGTTGATACAATCGCCTACGCTAGGCTGACCGTCTACTCTCTCCGCTGAGTGTCTCATTGAAAGGGATGAGAAGAAGAGTAAATGTCGGGCAACCCAGTCTTCTCTCTAGCGCAATACGTCCCTCTATGTCGATTCCGAATTGCGGGCGGTATTTCTGCCATTGCGGCCGTCGCGACGCTTGCCAGCCTTGTAATTGACTGTTAACCAGGGCAACCCTTTCTCACTCTCTTGAGCCGCATCGAACATGACTGCAGGGGTGGGGATGCCCGGTTTCTCGTTCTTGAATCTCTAGTGAAGGCTCCATATTCCCCTGCGAAGGGCTGCTAACACACGCATACTCAAATTGAGTATCCTCGGCTCAGGCTAGATATTCTGCACGATCCAAGGTTATGTGCACGGATTCAAGCTTCCAATGGTGTTTTGCATGTCCGAACAGCTAGTTCTACTCTTACCAGCATCTTCCACACCTGGACTCACGCTCGGAAATGTCAGGGAGACATTGAACTTGGATCACACATATCGCACCTTCCGCATTCGCACACCTGAGCCCTTAGAACTCTAGGTCGCACTTTCCTTTCTCATCTATACATCCTATTTTCCCCTTATGGAAGGTACGGCATCAACAACGTCGGTCGCACCTTCCATACTATGGGCGCGTATCCAGCAGCATTGCAGGAAGGAACGACCCATGCCATCCATCGTACCTTCCGTACTCTGGTCGTCGACTCCTGGCTCGTACCTGCCTAACATTGTTTTCATTCTCCTAAACAGGAAGCTACGCTCTTATCAAGACCCGGTCGCACCATCTTCTCTGCACAGTATAAGCCTGATTGATCTCTCTCTTCCTTGCCACGAGACTGATCGGCCATTGTTGTCTAAAGTCAATCCCACACCACTATCTTCACGACTGATGAAGGCTCGAGTCGAGATTATCTTGTGTGGGCGGCATCGAGGACACTACTTCCTCTTAGTTAGAGAGGGAGAGGGGCGTAGACAGGAACAAATAGAAGCATGTGAGTTAGAGGATATAAAATTGAATGGACGCCATTCAACAACAGTACTTCTTTAACATATACGTTAGATAGCTTTTGCCTTAGCAATCTCAATCCAGAACATCCTGCTTCAATGTTTACGTTCCAGTCTCATCTGACCCTTTCTCCGCCAGAAGGCAACAGAGCGAATAAGGGTTCACAGGCTCCCTACGAGAAGAGAGATGCTCCTTCATCCGAGCGCACCAATGCCTCTCTATATACTCCGACACTGAAAGGCCAAGCTCTGTATACCCCACCTGAAGCTCTTCGAGAAAAACTTCAAAATCTTCAAGATATTCCCTCGCCTCATCGTGGATTTTCTCTGTTTCTTGTGCGTCAAACTCGTGAATAAACGTGCGTCTGGTCAGTAACAGGACCGACGATCCGCCACTCAAACCGGCAGCATGTATGGGTAAGGACGAAATAACTGAGTGTGAGAAACCGGACAACACTCTTGGCGTCATACAGCGTTCTCCCAGTCTCTTGTATGAGGAATAGGTGCAGGAGCCTTTGCACTTGCAGCCAGAATTGACTTTCTTTCGATACCCACGGGGGTAATTCGATGCCTTGTAGGCACCGGGGCCGGTCGAGACAGTGCTGGAGATCGCAACGCGAGTGATCAAATATCGTGAGTGGAGTGTCGCCATATTCATCAAGGGAATCCACATTGCAGGATCCATCTTCGTAAAGCGTCTTCATCTAGCCTGGTCGCAGTCTAGCCGATTGAAAAACTGGGAAATGGTTCTAGGCGCCGATGGCAAAAAAACGTCAACGCCTTGAGCTCGTAAGATGGGATCCATGTCATGCAAACTACGTTTCAAGTGCAGTCCCGCTTGATAATGTTGTGCCAGCTCATTCTCCGTGGCCGCTTCTAGCTGTGCTCTCCCAGATGCAAGTTCCTTGAGGAAGCAGTATCTCCATCTCATGGGAGTTGCGAAGAGCAACAAGTCGTGGATCAAGACAACTTTCCCAGCTCAACAGAACTTTCCCAGATTCCAGCAAGCCCAGATGCCCGGCACTATAAACGATGCACTAGCTGGGTTTTGCGCTGTGTCTCAATAATACTTCCATTACTCGCGGCAAAACAGAGCAAGGTATAAGCCATGAGTGATGTCTCCTTGGCCCGCTTAGGATCTCTTTTCCGATTCCAAGGACCTGTAGAGACCCGTCTCAGACTCTTCCACCATTGCTCTGACAAGGCCCAACACTTCTGGTCACCAATGTCAACTGCATATGGCCCATGATCACTGGTTGTCTGGAAACCGCCGTGGACTGCTTAATCTGAGCCCTATAAGCTTCAGTCAAGCCAACCATATTTTGACGGAAAGGTCTCTCAGGACAACCGCACATGAAGAGCCGTATGGAGGTTCGTCTGCAACTCAGACAAAAGATCCTGCATGCGCAATAGCATCTCCCTTGCAAACGGATATCTCGCTTTCCGCACCACATCGCGAACCTTGTCGTGGAATCCAGTCGCTTGACCAGAAGCAACGCCACATTTAACGAGCCGTTCGTCGAGCTTGATGATTTGCGCGCTGTTTGACAGTGCAATTCCCCGGATATTATTTGTGAGCGCCAGATCTAGACCTTCAGCGTCGTCTGACACTCCCCTCAAGTGACTCAGGGTGTGGGGTAGTTGTTCAGCCTTGAGCGTGAGGCTCGCGATCTCAGTATCCCAACCCCGCCATGCGTCGCAGTAGTTGATGATCCCCTTGCAGAACTCGAGTCCAAGAGAAAGGACACCAGCTACACCAGCAGCAATGCAGAGCGGGTCAGTCATTGTCCTACTTTGCCAATGAATGTCGAGGAGGAGGAGGAGGAGGAGGAGGAGGAGGAGGAGGAGGGAGAGCTATGAAGCGGCAGACCTGAGTTGAAAAGGCAGCCAAAGATTGCTGGCAAGGCTGAATTCGTCCCGCTTTTGGTGGCTGCATAGTCACTAGCGGCCTTTCGCTCAATGATATTTGACGCTGCGGCAGGGGGCGGTTGGAATATTAAGCCATGACTGACGCTTCGTTGCACAGGTTGACGAGAAAGAATGAATCGACGGTGGACGTAGCCGCTGCCTGATGAGGGGTGTGGGCTTTCTAGTTGGGGAAACTGCGGAGGTCAAACAACTGAGCGAGAACGATTCCGCTATATCAAGAGATCAAGGTGATTGTTGAATATAGCAAGTTCTCAATTAGCCCTCTTCACCGCGGGGGGAAAGCGGCCCCGGATACTAAAAACGCACTGTTATTTTCTTTCAAACGAGTCTAACCACCCAAGTAACCCGGTAATTATAGGCAATCCAAGACTATACAGATAAATGCAATATGTACTTGAAGAGAAGACTCGAACGCATGACAAACAAAAAGCCGCCCATACCCAACCCCAATTTATCCGTAGAACCAGTACTGCGAAGTATAATCCACCGTAAACACCTCGGGCATACCCTGGCACGTAGCAGGCGCTGCACCTCCAGACGTATGTAGTCGGTACACCTCCTAAAGCTTCGTCAGTACGTTGCGTAACCACTATCTGATGCATGAAGGGAAGCAAAGAAGAACTTACACTAATTCCACCCTCAACCCGCATCAGCTTCAACCACGCCACATCTCCGGTAAGGCCGTACCCAGGCTTCGCCGGGGCATCCATCTCATCATCCTTTGCTGCAGCGATCCAGGAATCAGTGGTCGACCTCGAGTTGTCCGAGGACGAACCACGGAAGTCGAAGAAGGGCACTCCGTCCTTGGTGAAATAATGTGTGCCGATGACGAGATTCTGGCCAGTGAAGTGGGTGATGAGGCTGGTGAGGAAGTCTGCGCTGCCCAGTGGGACGGATCGTAGCACGTCCGGCAGGAGGTCGAGGAGGGACTGGCCCTGAGACTCGGGACCGTCGGAGTCAGTGTCGACATCGAGAGCTGCAAGGCAGGAGACGTCAAATAGCGTGGCGGTTGCACCTGTGGCTTCAGGGGTTGAGGTGTTTGTATTTGTTGCGCAGGTGTAGTTTTGCGTACCCCGGCCCAGAGTCAGGTATTGCAGAGACAGACCTTCGGAGGGTTCTGGGAGTGTGGATTGTGGTAGACTCGTTCCGTCAAGGGGGCAGCTGATGAGATCAAGGTTTGTGAAGAGGTTTGTCAAGATTGAGCCATAGATGGAGCCTGAGGAGAAGTGGTTTCTGGCGTGGGCGGTCCTGATGCAGAGACAGAGGGCGACGATTGGGAGCGTTACTGTTGCCCAAGCCATGGCGAAGTACAGATGCTGGAGCAGTTCAGGGGAAAGAATAGTAGGTGTCCGGGGGGGATAGTTGACTGTAGCTGTAGTTTGTCCCTGTTGTTATCCAGAACTCACCAAGATGGCCAACAACCCTTTTATAAAGAATGAGCTCTTTGAACGATGTTTGCTGCAGTTCGGACCCATTGTGGGGAATAAGCCATCCAACATCGACCCAACATATCCTAGTGCTCCTTCAACTGCAACTGCAATATCGACGGCGCTTATCTCAAACCTTGTTGGTTTGATCTCGGTTGCACACCAGAGACACCGCACACGGCAGTGCTGGAGGCTAGCATCGCGCGCGCCTTACCTCATGTAGTTTGATGGATTCTGAAGACGAAAATGAAGCGAGCGCGAAAGCGGTTCTAGTCTCGATTCTTCACGTTCGCCAGCAGGGATAAATTCGCCGGCGAGTCTATTTTCGGCAACGAGGCAGACACCTAGAGTTCTCCAAGACAGATCTTGCCGCCGGGATCGCGCCAACGGAACCAACAACGGGGAATTTCTCCAACACCAGGTGGATTAGACTGCGCCTTGCCACGTTGAACGCTTGTTGTTCGGAGCTCCCTTTTGTCCTTGCTTTTGCTCGTTGATTAATCGTATCGGAAGACTTTAGCCCCAAGGAAGAGGCTTTGCAAGGGAAACGAATGGCGAAGAGCTCTCCGGTAAAGGAACTACAAAGCCACTATAGTAGAGCGTCGCTTTCCCACCAATCTTCAATCGCTCGGCCGTAACTCTCTGGCTCCAGAAACATGTGGTCCGTGATTCCTTCCAGTGTTGGGTCCGAAATCATCCCAAAGGGATCCAGATCTATCGAAGACACAGCCGCTGCCTGCGCTTCTGCTTCTACTGGGGGCGGTGTTGTCACGGTCTCTGGTGGATGTGTGTATATTTCTTTCGCAACCGTCTTGTGGCCTGTAATACCTGCGGAGCCCACTAGAGGGAAATTCGGGTCAGGTGTCATGCGCGCGGTCGGTCGTCCTGAGGAGTCGGAAAGCGTCGCGCCCAGGATTGAGCTCGGCAGAGGAGACCGACCTGCACGGTCGTACACCAGGAGCTCCCATAGGAGCTGGGCGTTGGTTGTCCAAGCTTGCCGAGAGTGGGAGGCTTGGGGGTCACCAGCGGAGACGTTCTCTCGGAGTCGGGTTAGTCGGTCGATCTTAAATAAGGAATGTTAGCCTAGTCTGCCTTTCTATACGGCGCTTAACGCAGTTATCAGCCCATACCATATTCTGGACGTGTGGCCATCGCTGTGCCAATGGATGGAGAAACCGAACACACTTGGTGAAGCCTCTCCGCGCTTTCTCCCGAAAACTAGCGTCTTCGACAAAACTATGTTGGAGATGGATTGTGGCGATGATGAGGACACAGTGCGCAAGCGTTGGGTCACAGATCTCGAAGCCCTTGTGTTCGATCAGGTCAATCAGGTGGAGGATCCATGCGGCGTTGTTGGTAATGGTCTCGAACGACTGGCGGATGAACGACTGCGGCATGGTGTGTCGGAAACCGCGAAGCCGTCTCGAGAGCAGAAACGGATGGTTCAAGAGGCACGGAATGGCCAAGTAGAGGAACTGAGTGAACAGCCACGGGCCCCAGAACTCTCGCCGCTGATTGAGCTCGTGAAGACGGTGCTCGTGGAATTTGTTGGCATCATATCGGTATTTGAGTGGCACCCGGCTGTCAAACTCCATATGCCGGTATGTAACAATGGAATAGTCAGACCGTGGAGACCACGGCGCCGGTGCGTCTGGCTCAACTCGGCTAGCAGCGTATGCCATTGCCATAGACCAGACTTCGCCAACCTGTACTGCATAAGAAACAAGATCAAGCTCCTCCCTCAAGCAATTCGGAATGCTGTCCGGCATTGAAGTCAGGTCATAGGTCCGTGAGAATCCCGAGCCAGTATTGAAGAGTGTTCGCACGCCAGAGATGAGTCGAGCACTCTGCAGGCCGTCCCCCTGAAGGCTTTGAAGAAGATAGATACTCCAAAGGCATCTCCGCTTCTCGTCCAGATCGGCATGTAACGCTCCTAGAGTTTCCCCGTTCATATTGACGCTCTGGGCTAGGTATGCTGCCATATTGAGATGCAGCCCGGCCTGTACGGCATCACCAGCTTCGATATGTCAGTACCAACAATGAAGCAAAAACGCGAACGCAGAATCGGTACCGGTGAAATCAAACATGGCCAGAAGACAAAGGGTTTGAAGTGTTGAAAGCTCCACAGACCCGCGGCCCACGCGCTCCATTACAAGAGTGCGCGCTCTACGAGCGCAATCCCCGATATAAGGGCGAAGGTCACTGCCAGCCGGACTGCGCCCGAAGCGAAGGCTGATGGCATGGATTGCCAAAATCAACTCCGGATCGCGACCCTCGAGGGACTCTACGAAGCCATCGGGATAAAACAGCGGCAGAGGCTGGTAGTTGCAGCAGGTAAGAAAGAGGTGAGCAACTGTCGACAGGTCATTCTGCTGCAGGTTGGGCTGCACGAGTGGTGGACGCGTGACTTCCGGTGTCGAATGGGGTCTGGTTTTCCATTAGAATCAGTCTCGAGGCCCTTATGAAACTCATCGTTCTGGTGGCTCGTAGTACCTCAGGCTCCGAGTGAGCTCCTCTAGCTTGTCTTCGACGCTTGATAGCCGTTTAGCCTGGTGGAACACATCAACACAAGCAGCTCATCTCGGTCAGGCGGGAGCCATACAATATCAGCAGCCGGCATTTCGGCCTCCGGCTGAGCGTAGACACATTGCTGGCCCAGACGTTCACAAAAGGAGCATACAGGCTTCTCTCCGGGACACCGCGACTTTTTCCGCCTATGTGGTTCATGAGCCGCATGATCGACGCGACGGGGAGGAGCTTAGGCATCACTAACCGGCATGGTTCACAGGCTTGCCGAACGCGCTTGAGAGGTCTTTGGTCGTCAGTCATGATTGGGCCAATTCAGTGGCGAGGTTCAGGCGCTATCATAACGTTTCCATCTCGATGATGTTGGGAGCGGAAAAAGCACGGAAAGGATTATTGGAGTAGAGGATGTGGTAGTGTTTTTTTTGCGGGGCCTTTTCAAAGACAAAGGCGGAGAGAAAATGAATCGTCGAGGGAAGAAACGCGCAACACAATAGTCGCGACTTAGGCCCTCTTCGAGCCAGACCCAATGGATATTCTGACTTCTCTAATCTTTCGAAATTGAGAAGTCTCGCCGAGAGGCAGCTACGTATCGCATCACGGAGTGGTCGCTAAATGAAGGCGTCAGCGTCGCACACGGGAAACGGCCGGGAAGTTGGAGCTACGAAAGTGAGTGGAATAGAAAGTGAGTATTCGAAAGCGGTAAATCTTCAAGGCAGGTATGTATTCTGGGCATCTATGTACAAGTCGGACAGACCGAGCAAGCACTATACACAGGGGTACATGCGACTCAGATCATGTCCATATATTAATATGCCTTTTTGCAGATCTAGATTAGACAATATCGTAGTCGTAGCGACAGTAGGTTACACAAGTCGTGTCCATCTCCCAGCGGAACTCCAGCAAGAGCAAGAGCTCGCTGTGTTCCCAGATTTTATTCTCAGGTACAAACTCAATCCTGGTCGCGGTCGCTTGTACACCTCCACAAGGAGATCTAGAAGCGTCCACCAGAAAGTCGCAAAGGACCCTGAGCAAGATTCCACAGGAGAATGGTAGAGTCCTTGTTGTTGAAAAGAAAAGAATCATCGCAGATGATTGTCCGCTGCGTTGATGAACCGGGCGCCTGAACGATCGGAAAGAAAACCATGTCACGGAAACGCATGAACATAGTCAAAACGTGTGTGTCGCAACCCATTGGTATCAGAATAGGCGAGAATGAGTAAAGATCCGAGCCTCCCACGACCGAACAAAACCAAACGCCCTAGTCTAGCGAGAGAAATGAAATAAAACGGGACCTCAACCGGAAAACAGCCGATACCTCTATGGTCATAACTTTGGTGAAAATCGAAAAGCGTCATTGAAGGGTATCCATCCAGGCCTCGAAGCCATGCCTCATCATGAGAAACAAGTCGAGAGCGTCGAAAATAAACAAGTAATCTGGGTATCAATCCTCTGCCAACGTGGCGGAGACAGAAATAATAAGAAAAGTAGCGGAAGGAGGATTTAAGCTGTTGTACAATGGATAAAATCCAATCGGGCAGAAAGTAAGGTGCCACTGTGTGATATGCGTGGAGATTCCGAGAGCCGAATCGCACACACACCATCAGTCCAGGGCAAGGGCCAGCAGAGATGCACCGAGCAGAAAGCCAGGGGGATTGAAGACGTTACTCTTCGTCATCGCCCGAGCCAGTCTCCTTGCCGCCCTTGTGGACCTTCTTGTGTCGGCGCAGGTTTGAGACGACCGAAAAGTGTCGGCCACAACCTTCCACGTCACATGCGAATGCTGTAATTCAAGGCATTAGTATCACAGAACGGCAGGTGCGGTGGTTTCTCTTTCAAGGACTTACGCTTCTCGCCAGTGTGACTGTACATATGGGTCTGTAGAGACGAGGGCCGGGTAAACCGCTTGTCACACACCTTGCACTTGTGCTTCTTTTGGGTGTTGGACGGCATCTTTGAGCTAAATTGGCTCATCATTGACTGGGGCCCCGGGGGAGCACTACCGGCCAACAAATTCGACGGGCGTGGGAGTGTTCGTGACAGATGACCATTCTCGTAAGACTCTGAAGTCGTGGAGCTGTAGTCGGTGACCGATGACTCAACCGACGCCACGGAAGCGCTGTAGTATGGATATGAGCCCGCAGATGAGATCGATGACCCAGCGGAATGGGCCAAGGGGAACCCGTAGGAATCTCCTGAGCCTCGAGAACCCCGAGGGCCATACACATTCCGGGGGGTCAAATCCTGGCTGAGCGCCACCATTCCGCGACTCGCGTCAAGCGCATCGCCGAATGTTGGGCCGGATGTGGGTTGCGATGGAGCAACACGGGCAGCATCACTGAAACATGAAGCGGGTTAGCCTAGGATCCTTCATCGGTACGATTGAGCGGGAATAGTCAGGGCAAGTCTTACGCATGGGACATTCTGCGGCTGTCCTGGTGAACATGAGAGGCGTAGCTGATTGGTGCATAGCTCCCTGGTGCGAAACTGCTCATTGACGGAGCTGTGGTGTATGCAGGCGTTTGTTCGAAAGATGTGCGAGGAATGTCATGAGCGAGTCCCATCATCTCGGGGGCGGGATAGCTCGTAGATGTGCCGGCCGTGGAATAGTTGCTTCCGGCAACCATTGATGGAGCGGAAACCGACATGGAGTATGGCATGGAGATGTGAGAGGGTCGGCTGCCTTCGTCTTGCTTGATGCCCACCGAAGTCGCGTAGACCGGGGGAGTCGAGTGAGATGATGTGGTGTGAGCAGCAGCCCAAGGGTCTGTGAATTGTGGTGGTTGACTGTGGTGCGGAACACTATGCTGGTACACACTGTCAAACCCCATCCCGCCGTACTGGCGGTTCTGGTTTTCAATGACCATCGTCATTGAGAATGATTGTTGTCTGAAGACTGTGGCTTTCGCAAGTTCGTTTCGCTCACAACCACTACGGCTGGAGTCAAGATCGAGATATAGTAAAGGATTGGTTGTCACGCAGGTACAGCCGACACGAGCAGAGACAGCTAGGTACAGAAGCCGCGCACGAGACGAAGGGGGAGTAGCACAGGCAGAATCGACCGAGATAGCTGAAGATCAGGAAGAGGAACAGGTCAAGGGATGATCGATCGAGGCCAGGGCACAGCGAAGTCAATCTTGAGGGAGCGAAGATCCGCGCAACGGTTGTGAAGATGCGCGCAGGTGCAGCAGGTTGTGGGAGAGACGGGAGTAGTAATAAGAGCGACAATCTGTTCAAGGGGAAGAGACAAAGTTGAGAACCTGACAGGCAGGGAGGAAATGAAAGACAGTCTGGGGAAGGGGATCGACGAAGCTTATGAACAAATACAGGCTCGCAGCATGAGGATGATGGCCGCAGGGACGAAGGAAAGCCCTGGCGTTATGATGGACTAGTGCCACTGACGACGTCCCGTCGGGGGACGGTTGCAGATCGTTACTTTGGGCCGCTTAGGCTTCGAAACGGCGCCAGTGTTGATTGAGAAAAAATAAATAATTCAGAAAACAAGGGCAAATTTTTTCGAAAATGCACTACTAGCGCGTGGAAAAGGAGAGGCCAGTGGGAAATCCTCAAATGAGAACCAGTTCCTCGGGTGACCCTCAAGGTTCCGATGGGGCTGCTTCAATTGTTCTTTTTCCCAATTGCGACGATTATTTTATTTTATTTAATCCTCATTTCTTCACCTCCCCCTACCAAGAATTGGCACGAAGCTTTAGGGCGGATCACATCCCGTGAGTATTAATTTGCGGCTTTCGATTTCAACAGTTTGATGATTGATCGAGATTGAGCCAGACCGCTGGCTCGGAATTGCAGAGGAGATACTCCTGTTGAAAGAACGGGGAACAGGGGTGAGTTGGGATAGGTGCTCACCGCTGGGACTTCCCAGGCATCAGCGAGAGAAGGGGACCACTAGAAAAAAACAATTATGATGCTGAAAACAAAGAGCCGTGACAGAACCATCCATCCATCTCGAAGGAGAATCACAAATAATACAGCCACACCAAGCAGGGGCAAGGGAAAGCATCTGAAACTCCGGGATCGGACTTGGAACATGGATGTCAGTCTGGTCAGAGCACAACTACTTTCGAATCTGTGGAGTATTGACTGCAGGCCGTCAGCAAAGAAAAGTGGATAGCCGTCAAATAATTCGACCAAGTTCAAAGAGCCAAACCCAATTTCTCTCTTTCCTCATAGGATAGCGCACATTAACCTCTATCACAGGGCCAAGGGGAGTGGTTGATGATGACAGGGGTGAGAGGAACGGGCTCAGGCAGTGGGTTCGCACAAAGAGGGAAAAGGCAAACGCAGCACAGGTCAGAGGCAAAACACGAGACTCCAGCAAATTTCAGATACAACCTGAGCGTTCATAACAACCTTCCTGTCCCAGCCGCGCGAGATAGGAGAACCCAGTTTTCTCAGCGCTGAGCAGAGGAACGATAGCCCGAGAGTCTGGAGTCTTCCCATTCTTAATGCTCAGTCCATATTCGGGAAACAGTGCGGTCGACTCAACTTGCCTCGGGCAGTGGACACCAGTGGAGGACCTGAGGTTTGGCTCTGGGGAGTCAGGGACCTATAAAGTTATGCTTAGCAGTGAGTGGTTGGAAGCGCAGAGAGAGGAGCCAGTAGTGGGCACTCTTGGTGCAGTCTGTGCCGTGTCTCCAGATGGAGCGTGCCAGAGGATGGCCAGGTGTGGTATGTATTTGTCAGGAAAAAGACGACAGCGCCGAGGCCTGGGCGCAAGCTCATCCACCAGGGTTCGCGTTAGCCTTCAACTTTCAACCTCAGCAAAGCATATTATTCAAGAAGTTGAGGGAGCGGGGAAGTGGGAGATCACATAGATACATCCATGTCCGAGTCTGCAAAACTGCGTGGGGTGGCTTTGATTATTTGTGCCAGTACGGAGTGGCTGGGCGCTTGCCACTTTTCTCTCCAGTCACATCGATACATAGTTCGTCTCCTGCGAAGTCCTTATTGAATCTAGTTCCTATCATTATTTTGACACCATCATCGCATGAGTTTCTATCAGAGACAACCGCAGGATGCGCACTGACTTGGCCTTTCAACCCGCTCGCTCAATCACTGCTCCGCTGGGTTGCTTTGCAGGGCTCTCCTCAATATTACCATCAATAATACTAACTATTATTATTACTCTTCGTGTGCCAGTCGTCATCGGCATTTTGGATGGCCAAAGGAAGAATGGGGCGGACGGCTCAAGCCGATGGGAAGAGGAGCGGTTTGCTCACCAAATTCATTGTAGTGACGAGACGATGCAAAGATAGTGCTGCACAAGATCAGATTAATTTGTAACCAGATGGCCAGTCGAAACCATTCATCTCTGCAGAGTGACGACATTGAGGCCGGGATAAGTTTCCCCAGTCGCATTCCTGCAGAGATCCAGCGACCAGTCTTTAGCCTCACATATTAATATGTTCTGCTGATAGCGTCATGGTCTTCCCCACCAACACCAAACTTGTGTGGCAGAACACAATAACATCATAGCCACTACTGGAAAACTAACGCGACAGCAACTCAGCGAGTGAGGATTGCACAACTGTCCGACCGCGAAAGAGCAAAAGATTTGTTGATATCGAGGATTATCCGGGATCGACTCGAACTTTGGGAGATCTGTCCGTCATCGTCTGGAAGCTGAAGAAGGCCGCTGCTTCCTCGTCCCCACTCACGCCCTCCGTCTACAGTCCCGGCGCTGCAAGTGTTCAACACTACCCCGCGGCTTGGTTGTTTTCTTCAGCAATCAGCACTGGGCAGCCTCTTCGTCTTCTCGAGATTAATCTTGACTCCCGATATGAGTCTCCCTCCACCGGACGACCACCGACGTCAGCGGCCATCAGATTCAATCCACATCCTTGCACTAGCGGCAGTGCATCAACGAATCCCCTCTGTATGCAACCCATCCATTGCACAATTCAACCATTTTGCCGTCTAGCAATGTCTCCCGTGTTGTTGGAATGCGAATCCGCTCTTGCTGCCGTGTTTACCACCCCGTAACAAAGGCGTTGACAAGACTTGTGGGAGGACCATGCGACCGCTGAAAGGCCAGGTAAACATTTATATCGTGGATTCGCAGTCAACCTACCGGAGTAGATCCAAGATCGAGATCTAAACCTTAAGCACCAAGAGGATAGACATGATCATCATGATCGCAGTGATGCTTCAAGCTTGTGCAAAATTCGCCGGGGACGATTTCCTCTGTGCTCCGTTCGCTGGCGCTCGCTGGCTTCGCTCCGGTGGGGGCGTCTTGCCAGAACGCCATGACCGACAAGCCTACTGAGCGCCCGCAGCGACTCTTGATTTGATAGGCACAACTCATCACACCTTTAGCCTAGCCGAGTTTATCGGAACTCTCCCGCGTTCATCCTGGGAATCAGTCGTCCATGATTCGCCGATAACCGCCTGTTCATGCAGATGGAGACTGAGCGACAGGGGAAAGAGCGGGCATGCCCACTCGCCCCCTCTCTCCAATCCGATTCTTCAGGACGATCGAACTTGAGGTTCTTTTGCGCACACGAAAGTTTGGGTTCAAGAACGCAAGACACGAACCAGTTCCTTGGAAGACGAACTACGGAGTAGAGAAAACTTCGATGGTCGTGTGGCTGAAGAACACCTCAATTTTAACTGCGGGTCAGAAGAAGAATTCGACATGCCTAAAACAGCAGGTGCAGAGTTTGGTGGTGAAGTTCTTCGTGCTGGGCCTTTGGGCCTTTGGCGCACGGGAGTTGTGGAGTGCGGCAAGAGGAAGCGGGTCTCCGACTTCTATCAAGCCGTGCACGAGCACCTTCATTTATTAATCTTGAATGAAGTTTAAGGCTAATGAATGGAGCTTTGACGGCGTTGATGGTCTCGGAGGTCGGATCAGAAGCTGTTATGGTCTTGGTTCGGGCGACATATGACTCCAGGCACAGCCGAATACTTGGAGGTACCGACAGCTCAAGACAGTCAAAAAAACGATAGCTGATATCAATGTGCAAGCTTCAGACTTGACAGAGGAAATACAGGAAGGTTCTTCATGTCCGTCATGGAGCGCGTATTTCCATCCCCCATGTTTCAGCTCGAATTTGGACTTCGTCCGACATCGATTTAACGAACGCTGAACTTGAATGGAGACGAGGAGATTACTTTGGTGGACACGATGTGGCCTCGGCGGAATATACCGACCTTACCAAATTTCCCCAAAAGCACAGAACCATATCGGTTCTTGAGAGAAAATTGGTAACTTGGTGGCAGAGACACTACACTCCTACGCATCACAGTTGATGATGCTTTCAATTGGATGAACTAATGTTATGTACCAGAAACTGCGACGGGAGACTTGGCGACCTCAATCCGATGTGTTCCGTATGAGCCTTGCAGGTTTTGGGCATCAAAGATCCTCCATGACTATGTCTTAGCTCTCAGATTGCTGACGAAAAATGGTCCTCTATCATCCTTAAGGGCATCAAGACATCATCCGCATGCCAGCCCAGAAGTTATTGGATGGTTTATCAGCGGTGGTCAAGAAGTACGCCTGATTATCATCCAATGAGGCACATCTCAAACAAGCTCACCAGAACCCTCACAAGACAAGATGATTTTAGCTTTAACGTTGCTTTTGAGCATCCAAGCCCGCCTTTTCTCACCACTCTTGAATTCTTGCAAGTTCACCGCTTGCCAGCAACTCTTGAGCCCCATTCGTTGGCTTGATTTGAGCCCACATCCCCGCTATACCCTAATTGACCTGGCGGGGGCGCTGGAAGTCTTTCCAAGGGACAGGGATGCTGCCTAAGCCCATCCTGGCAGCTCGTACGCTGCAGTTTTAGGAAAATAGTGGGTCCCCAACACGGCACATCATCCCTTAAACGCGTAATCGCTCAGAGCCTTC